GCATGGATCCTGATCAGACTACGCGGATGCGCAGGCTGGTCTGGATCCATGCTGGTCGCAAATGCAATATGTTGGTTTTGTCGTGACGCGGCTCATTTATATTTTCATAATATTCTAGATGTATTCTAGGCTTAATGAGGATCCATCAGCCCATCCAGGCTTTTGAGATCTACCGAGCCTCAATAATATTCTAGATTATTATTTAGCGGATATTTTAAAACTTACTTAATTTTTAAAATGTAAGTTGATTAGAAAGTTGGTAAGTTAATCTCTGTTTCACAAAAGTTAATCAGTTGTACAAATAATGTACAATGCCTTTGCTGTAGGAGTTTAAATGTTCATTAATTTACCTTTTTATAGTACCGTCACTTTTGTTCTTTTTAAATCAAATTTTAAGATTGCCAAATGTGCAGCCAATATAAACTAGAGTTTTTCTATGTGAAATAGCTTCATATTTTTAATCACAATACTTTTTCAGTGATTACATTTATTTACTTTGTTGTTTTACATTATATACTTACATACTTTAGACAGAAAGCTAGCCAAGACTTTGCTATTAAAATTTCTAGAAATACTTTTTATCTTTTGTTGTTTTTTTGTCCTCCCAAACTTCAAAGCTTGATTATTGTCTTGTACATGCTTTTAGAGCAAGAAATTGCCCCTTATACATGCTTTTAGTGCAATGACTTGTCCATGGTATTGCTTTAAATACAAGAAATTTGACTCTAACCAGAAATTGCATACATGCCTTGAATACAAGTAATTAACTTATACAAATTAGATAAGTAAATGAAACTGATAGGAACATAGTACATGCATGTACTCAATATTATTTGTAGTCTCTTGGATAATTATTTAGGGGTAGTCTTTGGGTGGCTATTGACTTCAAACCATTTGTCCTTTAGGGCATGGGTTCAGTCAGACTGGGGAAGCTATCTAACGTGATGGTTCTACTCAAGTGCCCGCTAGTGCTTGAAATAATGAACAAGGCACCAAAGGGTCTTCCTCCATCAATAAAGCTTGAGGGTCACTATTTGACCTTTTACAATATTGGTGTAATAGTGACCCAAACAGTCAATCCATGACCATTTATTTTCAGAATGACTTCGAAGTAAGAAAGCTGATAGTAAATCTGGATGCAAACATTTTAAAGAAGAAAATTGTTTTGTTCTAATGTCTGTGTAATTGTTAGACTTACGTGAATTAATAATATCTATACCAGTATATCTGTGGAGATTGTCAAACTCAATACTAAGGACTAAGTAAAATTTAAACACATATTTACCAATTAATTAAAAAAAAATTGGCCTCAGTACTTCAGTCATAAAAGTAAGCATTCTCACTTGGGTGGGTCAAGGGTAATAAAAAGAACAAATATGTCTTTTAAGGTCAAAGTCTGTCTTTTTAATTGTTTAATTGGTCCATTTATAAATCCTGAAATACTTACAATAAATAATTACAACAACAACAAATTAAAACAACACCTCAACACTAATTTACTCTTAGACAATTTCCTTCACATTACACTAAATGGTGACATATAAATTAATTACATTACAATCACAATTCATTACTTAGTAATCTTTATTGTGTAAGATTATTTTATGTAGATCTGGTTATATGATGATTTTAAAGCGAATACAACACAATATACAGTCATCTTACACTGATTTCATCTGTTAAACATGACTACAGGTTGTTAAACATTCAAGATATTGAACCTTCTTCCCATTAGTTCTTCTTCATAACAACCAGTAAAAAACTTGTAATATATCAAGACTCAAACTTCTCCACCTTAAATAATTTATTAGGTTTAGCTTAAGTTTCAATTCAATTTTCAATTAAGTTTTACAAGTCAGTATTAAGATGTAATACATGCATATTAATTTTGTTACAGCTTCTTTTTTTTGATAAAGTACATTACATGAGCATGCATCTGAAAACTACGGAAACGTATAGCGACCATCCCTATATGATATATATCAAATGACTTTTTTTACAGTTTTATAGTATGTTTGTTATATGCAAATATGATCTGAGGAAAGAATTACATATTTAAAAATATGTAAGTGTTTTATTTTTTCATTTTGTCAAAAAGTTAATAGTTGTTTATCTTGCATTATAAGATAAAAACGTACGAAAGATTACAAAAAATACGTATTATATATGATTAACAATATTACTTGATTTAATTGCTTCCTTTATCAAATACAAATGTTTGACTTTTCTCGTGTCACATATCATATAAGAAGAAATATCGCTTGCGCTTTGGGATCTATGTTCCTATAATAACATCAACTAGTCGAATATTCCTTTTTATATAATATATTTCATGTACCATCCTCTGTATATACATTTAAATTGGTAAATTTGTCAGTAGTTATCGTTTTAAGCTCTATATTATATATCTTACAAAAATGTAATGGTTTCTATGATAACTAATTTACATCAGGTACTACTTCACGAGCTTATTTTATGCTTATTAACATATTATCAAATATAAATTGTAAAATATGTTATATTATATTTTATAATGTTAGGGGAATGCGAATAAAAAGCCTCAATATATAAAACTAATACATATAAATGAACAGAAAAATGTCACATAAATTTGAATCAGGCAACATAAACAGCAGATTGAGTAAATGATATATATTCAAGATCAAATATCGATGTAAATATTGTCAAATATATATCGTGTATAAAATAAATTGTCTTAAATTCTGTTTTCACCAACATGCAGGGGCTGTATATATTACTAGATAAATATTTCAGATCAAGTAAGTTTGTAAAAATTGGTAAGGTATATAATATGTATTAAATAAATTGTCAAAAATTCTGTTTTAACTAACATATAGGGGTGGTCGCTATACGTTTCCGTAGAAAACAGCATTTTTTCAATTTTCTAAATATATTAATATCTTGATGAAAATAAAAAGGAATTATTTCTTCTAATAATTACAACAAAGATTAAGATAGAATAATGTTTGTGAAATAAACATTAAGAGTCCGAAGAAAAAACATAATTCCTTGTATCAACTAGAGAACAACACTCTCTTATAAGTAACAAGGAAACTTAGAATTGAAAATGATAAACAAAATAAGAACAACAGGCTTAACATACACACTTACATGTAGTTCAAAACAAAACGATCTAATTTACTAAAACAAAGTAAGTTAATGAATATACAGTGTTAGAAGCACTTCATTGATTTCAGACATGATTAAGCTTGATCACTAAATTAACAACAATTATAGGATAAAGATTGCATATAAAACATTATATGAGCCGCGCCTCATGACAAAACCAACATAATGGGTTTTCGACCAGCATGGATCCAGACCAGCCTGCGCATCCGTGCAGTCTGATCAGGATCCATGCTGTTCGCTTACAAAGTCTATAACAAGTAGAGAAACTGATAGCGAACAGCATGGATCCTGATCAGACTGTGCGGATGCGCAGGCTGGTCGCAAACGCATTATGTTGGTTTTGTCATGATGCGGCTCATAGTTATAAAACAACACAAAACTATATTCCAACATACATAGCCAATACATAACGCTACTTATAAAAGCATGTTAAAAATAATAACTATTCTTGTAGATTATAGCACTAACTCAACTGATGTTCAATATGTATATACATTTGTATAACATAATATAAAATGTAATACATATCAAATGGTGATACTGTAGTATTAGATATAAGTCATGAAGTGAGGTAAACTCCATTCTCACAAAGTAATAGAACTTTTTTAAATGTTTTTTTTTTAAAGACAGTAGCTTTCAGTTAGTGATATAAATCATACCCCACTGATGTAAATGTTTAATACATTTACTATTATGTAACATGAAATATATAAATGTATTCAACATTTGCTGAGGCCTCCATAGGCAAGTGGTTTACATTGCTGACTTTAAAACACTTTCCCCTCAATGTTGTGGGTTCAAATCCTGGGTTTTTCATATAAGGAAGCTATCTAGCTAGCTAATGGAGGATTGGTGATTCTATTCAGCCAGGTGTCCAATTGTGTCTTCAATAATGCACAAAGGGGAACTGGAGGTTTTCTGGCAATAACGTTTGAATGTCGCAATATGACCCTGACAGTGTCAATTTGGCTTAAATTCCCAACAAAGTTAAAAAAACAACAATGCTTTTTAAAGCAACAGAACATTGTTCACATTCATTTCAGTCTTTAAAACTTCAAATGATGTAAATATAAGTGTCACTACAATTTTACTGTTGCTACTATAAAGTTGGATGATTTGGTATCAAGCTATTTCATTTACAATTATTATCAACAGCATCAACAAGTGGAAAGCAAATAGCAACATTTGGTCACCGTAATTAAAATCATTAAGAAAGTTTTTCAGCATTTCTCTTTCATAATATCACATATCAACAATTCTAATAAAGTGCATATAAATTACTTTTACAAAGTGCTTTTCAATATATATTTACTATAAAATAAGGAGAATGAGAATGTAACTTGAATTTCTATGTCTAAAGACTCTAAACCTTTTTCTTATATGCTTGCCAGAACAAATTCTACCTGTGACAAGTGCAGACCACGATCAGCCGGTACATTAGTGCTGTCGGCCCCTGGTCTGCACTGTTTGTTATACAGTCACTACATTTTAGAAATTTTCCTTAAAATTTGAATGGTTTTGGTCAGTTTAAAAGATTGACAGGTCTATTTAAGATATTTAACATAGTAAAGATCAAATAATTTGTTAAATACTGAATTTATTTCATTTTTTCAATTTTATGATAAAAAGAAACCTGAAATGCAATACTTAATATGGCTAACACAAAATGAACAGTAATAACATAATGCGTATACATAGATTATAATACTATTCATGGTCTCACAGATCAATTATTGGTATAATGTTTTGATGGAAACATAATATACCAAGTAGGTTACAACTGGCAGTCAAAATGTATATCTTCAAAATCAATATCTGTTATTCCAAATAATGAAATTTCTACTTGACATTTTATTTTAAGATCACAAATCAATAAAAATTTATGAATTTTTAAGTACAGTTTCTGAATAAAAAATGAACACATTATAATTATGAATTGCTGTGGTGAAAAATGACAGTGACTTATTGTGAAACTTTATTTAAATAATTATATAAATTGTTCAACTAACTGTAGGAATATTCAGTTACCCTGTCTCAAAATTATATTTGTATCATAGTTTGGGGACCTTTCTGTTGAAAATGTGTCCGAGTTAAATTATATACATGCACAGTGTGTTAACTGGAGTGCAGGTATTAGTTACCCGCACTCTAGAGAATGCCCATTGATTGGCTTATTTTTGCTGGGGTTTACTTACTGTGACAGCAGAGAAAAGGGAAAGTGACAGAAATTTCATATTTAGATGCTCGCCCATTGGTTAATTTTCTGCGGGGTTTCATATTGTGACCACCGGATACTTGTTTTTATGTTTGACTATGATACAAAAGAGAAAGAACATCAAAATACTCGACAATCTGATTAATACTCGGGGGCTATGCCCCCTCGTACAAATCAGATAGCCTCGTGTTTTGATGCTCTTTCTATTACTTATTTATATCAAATCAAGCCTACATGTAAATGCTACATTTATGTGAAATAAATATTTCACTTCATTGGCAATCATAAATAAAACTAGTTTACTATAATTGACTGAAATAAGAAATGAAAGCTTTATACCAATACATACAATATCATATTGTATCCAAATTTGAATCAGTTAAACTCATAGAAATTCTTTTCCAAAGAGAAAACCTTTTTTTAAAGATTATCTTTTACACACATGATTGTAATGGGAGATTATGATTTAGGTAGACAGTTAAGGAGTTCTGTATATGGAGAGTCATGTATATTTGTGCTAGCTGTGTGGAATGTTGACTGGAAACTACGACGCTGTGTTTCGTCTGTTAGTTGAGAGAAGAACTCGAGACCAGCCAAACAAAACAGGTGCTTGTCAATTACATCTATCTTTCCCATTCTTGTCAACACATACGATAATCTAACATCTTTGTTAAGGTAATAACTTTGATAAAGTGTCATTATGCCTATCCATGTGTAGGTGGTATGTGATGTTAAGGTAAAAATTAGAATAACTACATTATGACATAATCTTCTAAATATCATTTTCTGCTTCACACAGTCAAAAACGAAAGTGACCCATGTAACTTTCTATAAATATCCTTAGTAATTTATCAGTAACATTCAGCTGATATTTAGGGCAGTTTATTTTTTTCTTTCATATTTTATCCAAATGATCTTTTATTATTAATTTTTGGTCAATCAGAATTGCAATTTTCAACCTTCTGAAGAATAATTATACATGTAGCAAATTCAGCTAAATTTAAGCATTTAAGCATACTTATGACTTTTAAAGTAAATTACTCTAAACTAGTGTTAAATAATCAATAAATATCACTCAAACATATATTATTTCTTAAATAAATAGAGGCATTGATAGTAACTTGGAGGGAAAAGGAAATATACTTGTGCCTAAAAATCTAAAGGATACAGATTTCTGAGCCAGGGATTGGTTGAAGCACTGATGAAGAAACAAGTGAGTGACCACATTGCCATGGAAACTGGAGTTCTTTGTGTAAAGTTAGATAATGAGAGCATCACCCAGTCACGTAGTAAACCATGCTGTCTCTGATCATGTAGGTTACTAAACACCTGTAAAACCATATAACAATATTACGTGAAACTCTTCCTAAATATATCACAAGTTGCACTGAATTAAAGATATACAATACTATGCTCAAATTTGGTAATTTAGTTTTCTGATAATTGGTGTTTTTTAATGTATAACAAACACCTTTTGAGTACATATGTTATTTTTAAAACTATACAGTCATGCTATAGATTAAAACTGGCAGTTTTCTTTTCTTTTTTCGCATCTTCTAGTTTGTGCATTCTTTTCAAATTAGACATATCCAGTAAGAATTTCCTAGATTTCAATAAATTTCTGCAATAAAAGTATTTTTACCCAAAGATGAGCATAGTGTATCTTTAAATTAAAATCACTCTAACAAATTCATGAAAGCTGTAATATTATTTAATATTCATTTTGTTCACGATTCAAATATCTTTATATCTACATGTACAAGTAAATGTTAAACAATATTTGTGAAATAAATGGAAAGTGCAATTTTGAATGATTTCAGAAATTCTTTTGTTAAGACTTTCCTGACTTACAGGTTACACAAAGCAGTAAAGAGCTATATAAGAAAGCATTCAAACAACATTCACATATATATTGATACCTGAAAGACAACTTTAGCAATAAGCTGTGGGTATGGTTGCTGGCTTGACAAGAACTCCCCTATCACTTTGTTCATGATATCCTGAGCTGGGAAGAAGTCAGCTAGGAATGCTGGTAGCACTCGTCCAATAACTCGAGCTTCATACGGGTAACCTTTCTTTATTCTACATAAAATATAACGCAAGCTAAAACATCTTAAACCATACATATGAAAGATTTGATGCAGCAGATCAAGGATTATTATAGAATAAGAACTGTTTTGTGATTACAATCTTAACAACTACTTTGTATCTATAGTTTACGGGCATGGTGGGAAATTACTGGAATAGTTTGTTTAAGCTCGGCTAGAAAATCATAATCTTAATTTTTTTTAATATCACTGCACAATTGGTACCAAGAGAGTGGTAATAATCTTATAGCTTAATAGCTTTCCTGTGTATCAAACACAAATAAAATTTTCATGGATTAAAGTAACGACAGTTTTCAAATGTTGTCATTAAAGCATTGCCATGCATTTAGTTCCAGGTACAATACATCAAGGAAAAGACAGAGCTGTTTTTACATACAGGATACAAATGTAAGCTTTTTTCAATGATGAAGCTAATCAAATATCAATATATGTAACACAATCATAATGGTACATGATCTAACCTATCAAACAGTACAGTCACACGTTCCATGGCTAGAATTAGTGACTCCGGATCCTGTAACAGATTGGTTGGTTCCTCCATGTTGAAAGTTTCATGTTCCCGCGGACGTGGACTATATCCATCATACTGTTTGCCTATAGTAATGAATAAGTCATGAAATTCTAGATTACTGATTATAAATGAAAGATCCTTCATGCATACTCAAATATACACAAAAGCTGAATTATTTAAACTTTTTAACACCTTTATTTGATTCAATGTAAATACACATAGTCAAAAATGTTAATCAAAGTTTCACGAGTCTTTTATATTTTTATAAATGGGACAGACCTACGAAAAGAGTGAACAAAGTATTTCTCTCAATTATTTGTATCTTTCAGTATAATATACTGAATAAAATTATTTAGGACTATTTAAATACAGGTAACTGTACTCACCTGAATACATGCATGTAAACAGAAGGCCTAGGGCAGCCAAAGATCTCTGAGGGCTGGGTAAACACAACCTAAAATATATATCAAAACTTAATCTACAATCTAAAACATGAACATATATTTGTATTTTTATAAAAGTTATACTAAATGAGTCCAATTTGTACAGATAAGCTATTAATTAACTACCACTAACAATAAAATATTATTAAATGTTATAAAAACTGCCATGTCAAGACAACCATATTGATAGGATAACATTTTGGTTTTGCAAAAAAATATATGATTATGATACAATGAACAGGGCACTTTTCATTTCTCAATGGATAAATGGGATTTTAGTGTTATGACAGTTTTAAGCTATATTTGAGCGATGTCATGACAAAACCAACATAATGGGTTTGTGACCAGCATGGATCTAGACCAGCCTGCGCATCCGCACAGTCTGATCAGGATCCATGCTGTTCGCAATCAGTTTCTCTACTTGTAATAAAGTTGGTAAGCGAACAGCATGGATCCTGATCAGACTGTGCGGATGCGCAGGCTGGTCTGGATCCATGCTGGTCGCAAAAGCATTACGTTGGTTTTGTCATGACATGGCTCATTTATGGATACCAGTGTTTGTCACACATGACATACCGGTACTTACTATCTATTCTCTGAATTTTTACTGGTTAATACATTGTCTCTTGTATGGTTATGAAAAGTGCAACTATTTAAACAGCACATTATTTGCACTTCAAATTAAATGATGAAATATTTAAATAACTTGTATCTGACAGATGACAAACAGAAGTTGTAGTAAGTTTATGCTCAGAACCCAATGAAAGGAGATAAAAGCAGATAATAGCACTAACAGATACGTAAGTTTTGAAGAAAAAATTCTATGCTACAAACCATTTTAAATGAAAGAACAAAAGGTGCACACAATACTCATTTAGTTTTCATCTGTTTATATAAATAAAATGATAATACAAATGTAGTAGTTTGGGCTACAAAATAATCCATCTTACAGTACAATAATCATAGATCTAAAATTAAAATCAGAAATGATAAGAGGAAATGATCTATATGGCATGCTGAAATAAGTTAGGTAAAGCAGCACTGTCTAGAGACAATATCTCAATAATTAAAGAAAATAAATCTGAACTGAAATGATATAAACAAAAAATAGCATAATAAAAATCAGAAATACTACAGGAGTTGTTCTGAAACAATATGTATATCACAAATTATAGCCACTCAGTAGTAAAGGTAATTAGCGAATGCCTCTGTATTTATCTGTAGAAGTGATAAAACTTGTAATAAAGTTGCTATTTTAAGGTTTTAATTTTGTCTATGTGAAATAAACGTATCCTGTCTCTGTGTACTACACACTTGACTTTGTAAACTGTATTTTAGGCTGGTGAAATTTCATTAGATCAGATTAAAAAAGTAAATGCTACTCTTTCATCAAATGATTTAATATAAAGATGGTTTCTTCTTTGCATTGTTTTGGAAGCAAGTAAGTTTACATAAGAATTTGGCAAGATTCAAACAGAGACATTTATATCAGTGACAAGTGATTTTGAATTAGCTGTTTTGATCACTCAGTTATCTAAGGTTTGAATTTACATTTATATAGTGTTGAGATGAATCGCTGTAAGTTTTTAAATCTTGAAAACATTAGGTTTTATCCTGCTAGAAACAAACATGATTAGCATTTGCCACCGGCATAGAGCCAGTCCAGCCTTCACAACCAGGCAGTCTCTATACTGTTAGCTGAACAACTAAACTTCATCTTAAAGTTAATAATGGACTGTTCTAAAACTGGAAACTGGACAAATCCATTTAAGAAAATTCAACAGGTTATGGTTTAATGGCAACTTCTAATGTCCTTGATAAATCAACATAATTCATGAAAGACAGCTCTTGTCATAAAACACAATTAATTGTTGTTCATAGACCAACATATACAATGATATATATACTGGTAGGTATAAGGTATAATACTGTAATCAAGATGCACAAGAAGGCACACACACAATCTCTGCTGGGTGATACCAACATGACTATCTCATAATGCATCTAATTGGCAATAAACTGCAAATCATACTCACTTGAGAAAACTAAAAGTAAATAAGGAGTGAAAATGTATGATATGTATTTCTTGCACACAATGAAAAACCTGAAAACTTGCTATAATTTATTTTATCTTTTCATTTTATGTATATTTCCCCTAAAAAAAGTCTTTAGACTTTAAAAAAACAAATTTCCCAGCTTCATTCTGTTATATCTGAACTAATGTTTTTATCCTATCAGTCCATTTTGTTATTGTTTAGCCCAACAATACTGTATGAATAGGAAGTACAAATGATTACAAAAAATTAAAACTGGTATGAAAATGAAAAACAAATGAAAAACAAACCAATTGCATTTTGCACAAGAGCCCAGAGAAGTTTTATATCATTCACTCGAGTACATGGAAAAGTAGAAAAAAATACCAATAGGCTTGATCATTTTCAGATAGCAGATTTTTCATATATCAACTATTTATGAAAGATAATCAAGAAATAATTTTGTTATTAGCATTATTCATTGCCTATATGCATATAGCTTAACAGCTTTGTAAGTCTGATGTATACATAAAACAACAAGACTAAGATGCTGTTTAAAGAAGTTGTAAATAACACTGCATGACAAATGATGGGCATCGAGTAATTACTTAAATCATGACCTTTGATCAATTTGTGGCGAGATGAGCTGGAAATATGACAGGAATTCAATAAGATCAAAGGCAGAATGAAATAGTCCTTATAAAAAATCTGTCTTTATATCCCAATATTTACTTAGAAACATCAATGTTCCATCAATATCTACAAACAACAAAGTAAAAAAACATATCTTTATTCCATATAACCCCAAAAAAGTAAAATAAAACATTGTTCCCCAAACACATACCAAAACAAATAGGTTAGGGTAATATTTCCTGAATTAAAACCAATAATAAACAGACATTCCCATAGGGTAGGTTAGGGTGAGTCCCATATCTCTATAGTATAAATAGATACCTAAATAGACGATAGTTTAACCTGTAACATGATCAATTTTAAATGATGATAAATAAGTTATATTTTCTTAAAATCATTAAAGCAAAAATAATTAAAATTATTAAATTAATGTAAAATTCAAACATAATTTTTTCTGTCTTGAAATATAATGGTACAACATTGTGATATAATCTCTGAACAAATGTTATAATTATAAACTGTAAATTGAAGTACAAAGAGAAAACCATAGGTAATACATTATTAACTTGTGACCCGTGAAATTCATTCCTGGAGTTAAGAGGGACTTTATTTCATACAAATTTGACTGTATTTCAAAATTATCTTTATTGATCTGGTATAAAAATGGAAATTTAACACAGCAGCAACATAAACAGATAACGTTTAGCAAAGATGATTAAAATGTTAATAGATACACACTGAATAGCAGTTAGTGAAAAGTGATCACAAAAAGCAAAATCCAAATATGTAAAAATTTTCAAAATGACAACACAATCTCAGTCAGACAATAAAACTCAAAAATATGTTAAGATATGCTAAATAAATAGAAGTATGAGGAAAATACCTGGATTTGATAATAAATTGCTGATTGTCATTTAAGATAAATGTAATTTGAAAAAAAAACAACATGAAGCAAATAGAAAGTACAGTTCTGATATACATACCTATCAACACTCAGTTTGACAATGACTTCAGCATCTTGGGATGTGAGTACATCAGTGAGTAGAAGTCTTTCCAAGCCTTTCAGGATAGCCAGATATACAGTGGTGGACACACCCTCTTCACTGCTAGAGGCCATACTGATTGCAAGCTAGAAACAGTTGTATAAACATATCATATAGTAAGAAGATTGTACAACGTGTATACTGTATTATACCAACGCTGTATGACCAACCATAAACTCACGTGTTTCTTACCACACTTAGGTAACATTCAAGACTACCTGCACCTTGTACTTAAAATTTGTTAATAAATTGAATCTTAGAGATACCTTATTCTCAGATATACCTTATTTTTTAGATGAAACATTCAATTAATTTTTACATTTGCCCTTTAAGAGTGACCTTGACAGTGTGGGTATCAACCTAGTTGTTGCACTCTGCACATCATCTCATAATGATGATCATTTGTGCCAAGTTATTTTAAAATTGTTTCATTTGTTTAAAAGTTATTAAGCAGACATAAAAATGTTACGGAGGAATGACAGACATAGGCTTTTACTATTTTTGTTTGTTTGTTTCATTTTACGCCTTTTCCCAACAGTATTTCAGTCATATAGGCGGTAGTTTCCTAACCATCGTTCCTGGAGAGTTACACCAGTACTAGATTACCTTCCTCTGTGCAATACAATGACAGACAAAGGCTTTTACTATTTTTGTTTGTTTGTTTCATTTTTGTAAGCCTTTTCCCAACAGTATTTCAGTCATATAGGCGGGTAGTTTCCTAACCATCGTTCCTGGAGAGTTACACCAGTACTAGATTACCTTCCTCCGTGCTAAACTACCAAAGCATCTCCCGGGGATCGAACCCATGCCAGAGAAGTAAGTGGATTAGAAGTCATCGACTCTAACCCCTCGACCACGGAGGCGGTCTAGGGCTTTTACTATAATACCTTCTCCGCTATGTGGCAGGGGATTAATAATGTTTAAATTGCACATATAAAGGAAGACAAATTATCATAAAGATAAAATAAGAACCTGTAAAATCTGTGTAGGGAAATCTGTGTCCTTGACATCAGTGTTGTAATTCTCTAGGATATAAAATGATGTAGCCCACATAGTTAACAGATACTTCTGACTGCATACAGATTGTCTGTAATGAAACAAACAGTACATGTATTATAATAAAACATATCTGACAAGACAAGTCTTTACATAAAGAAGTAGATGACTAACTTAACTCTATCTAAAAATAATGTTTGATGGTGTAAATTATCCTAGTGTCATTGACTATGCTTCATTATATGTCACCAGCAATGTTTAGTCAAGGAAGTCGGCTTGAAAATGTGTAGGTTAATTAGATATATCAATATATTTATTTTCACAACCAAACTGATATAAAATATTTAAAATCATGCAAGACTTATTATAGGAAATATAAGAAAATATTTATAAACATACAGGTAAACTACCACATACAACTCTGTTTTTAATTGAATTACATGAATGACCATTTTATCATGTTATATATTACAGTTTTCAGTTACTTCAAGAATGTGAAGCATAAAATAAAGTCATCTATACATTAAATAACATAATACAAGTGTCAAACTTACTGTGAAACTGACGTTAATGTTTTCAGTAAGAATTCAGTTATGAGGGGAACCAGTGGTTTACTAACTTCCGGAATACCAGCTTCAAGTAGATATAGTACCCCGTGTAGAGATGACACCTTGCTAGGTATATGGGTGCTACGTAAACCATTATCTATAATCTTTATAAGCCTGTCTGCTGATGTGTTATCCTGCAAAGTAAGAAATCATATATAAACCTTACAATGGTATATAAACTGACATCAACAAAGTTACCAATTGTATATTTTTTTACCAGATACTGCAGAGCTGACTAGTAAGTTCATAGCCTTGCATTTAAGGACTTAAACTGGGCTGCATATTGTTAACTCTATTATTCATTGACTACTTACTTTGATGTCACCAATCACCTTAGTCATTTACATGTTCATATTGTAAGCGCTATAATATAAACAGGGCTACTAAATGTGACATTTGCAAAAATTGGTAACAGGCAGATGAGACATTTATTTAGAAGTGGCATTGAGGCACTCAACTGTTGCTTGCATAAATGTAAGGACATTGAAGGGGAAAATATTGAGAAATATTAAATCTCTTTTAAAAGTCAAACGTTCACAAGAATGGCTCAAAATATTTCAATCAACTCTAGAATATAATATCTTAGCAATGAACATGCTGTTTGTTATTCCAATCATATTTTGCTCTTCATTTAAAATTTAGTTTCAAGATTATAACCTGTTCAGTACAAAATAGTACGAACTATTAGTCTCCTAATGTACTTACTATTCTACAAGGTTTTTTTTTTCTATATCATTCAACAGTATAATATATTTTTCACTGAGAAGCTACAATTATTTTGCTGGAACATTTACCATAACAGTTGTTTTCAACAAAGTTAAGAAATACATGTAGATATTTTGACATTTGATGTTATTAGCAGAACTAACATTTAAAGGCAAAACTTTGTGTAATCTGATTACAATGTATCCTTAACACAATGCAGTGCATAAATATAAATGTAGCATTGTTCAATTTTCTGTGTAGTTTACAGAGAGGGTTTGAAGTTGTTTGGAAGGATGGTGCTGTGTCAGTAAATGAAAAATGTTTAGTGAGCAAAATCATTGATTTGATGGGATGATTGAAATGTTTGGAAGAAGCAGACATGTTAGTTTTTTACTTTAAGGGATAATGTATTTTATTTCTGGGTACTACAAATAATCTTGCTTGTTTGTAGGAGGGAATATAAACCTAAATATTAAAACTGAAAGCCAATCTGAGACATGCTGCTCTTTACTTTAAAGAAAGAAACATTTCTAAATCATGCTGTTCCATTCACACATTTAACAGAATCATCTAAAAAGATATATACACATCTTCATTTGTTACAATTTGAGTTGTTCTCTTAAAATAGTTATTGTGGCACAAATGACCTCACACAGTAAAATGGACTTAATTAAGTTTAAAATGTTTCAATATCAATATTAATTGACCTATTGACTGGCATATAGGCAAAACCTACAACCCCTTATATACAGCAGATGCCTTTTACTAAACTTTTTTTTACAATGTTTACTACAATAGATTTATTTTGTCTTTTAATTACCAACACTAGATATCATGTAACTTAACTAATGCACATCTATATTTATCAAAACCACAGAATAAGCATGCTTGAAAATAAAATAAAAATGTTCACAGACTCAACTTTCGTCTTTCTTAAGTTAAATAAAACACTGCAACATAATGCTCACAGTAAAGTTACTGATATTGTGGAATCATACAAACACAATAATTCTGTCTTCGTTATGCACAATAATGTATAAACATTTACAATCAACCTAACTATAAATTAAAATTTGCAAGGCTTTGCTTTAACTTTTTTTGTTTGCATACTTACAGGTGCTTGGTGATTCATCAACTGGGTATAAAAAAGTAACAATTGTAACAAAAATAACTTCAAGCCTACAGTTTGATACTGCCACATCATAATTAATACCTTGCTTACAAATTGGAAAAGATTTTTCTTACAGAAATTTTATCAACTGATATTGAACCTTGGGGGTTAGTGTGAGATGTAATTTTAGCATCATATTAAAAGAAAACATTAATAAGAATGGAAAATATCAATAACAAGAACTGTCGGAGGACAGTATTGGCTCGACTATTCAAAATGTTGTCACAAGGGTGATTTATTGAGTATAATAATGCTAGTTACCTATGAATACATAAAATTGACTGAAAAGGTACACAGGCTTGTTATAAAGATGTTTTATCAAGTAAATCACTGCTTTATTATTATGAATGCATAAAAATGTCCCCAAAAAGGCACAAACTATTCAGTAGTTATGGAGATAACAGCTTACAAGCAAAATTTTACTATGAATTTTTAAGTTGAAAAAGGGGGAAAAAATCAGCCTAAATGCAAGATAGAATTATGGATCTTGGTCAGTGACCTACAATTATGATTGTAAATGCATATGTGAAGTTTAAATAAATATCTTTAATAGTTATTGAGATATGTAATACTTGCATGTAAACATTAACCAATAGACTAAGTAGAAAAGGGGAGATGAATCAGCCTAAATGCGAGTAGAGTTATGGAACTTGGTCAGTGACATACAATTATGAATCTCCAATTATGACCCTAAGCACATGTGTAAAGTTTCAAGTAAATATCTTTGAAGAACTTTAACCTTTAACCAAAATTTCTTAGAGTTTCAAAGGGGCAAATAATTCTGCAAATATTGCAGTCAGAGTTATGCAATTTTGCAAACTGATGTACATTGTTACTATAAAAAAGTATTGTAAATTTCAATTGAATATCTCAAGCAATAATTGAGATATCTGACTTTACAAAAAAAAACTTTAACCAAATTTCTAAGTTATAAAGGGGCATAATTCTGTAAATATTATAGGCAGAGTTATTCAACTTGTCAATATGATGAGCATTGTTACTGTAAATAAGTATTGTAAGTTTCAATTGAATATCTCGAGCAATAATTGAGATATTTGAATTTACAAAAACTTTAACCAAAATTTCTAAGTTAAAAAGGGGCATAATTCTGTAAATATTGTAGGCAGAGTTATCGAACTTGTCAATCTGATGTATATTGTTACTATAAATAAGTATTGTAAGTTTCAATTGAATATCTCAAGCAATAATTGAGATATTTGAATTTACAAAAAATTTTAACCAAAATTTCTAAGTTAAAAAGGGGCATAATTCTGTCAATATTGTAGGCAGAGTTATCCAACTTGTCAATCTGATGTATATTGTTACTATAAATAAGTATTGTAAGTTTCAATTGAATATCTCAAGCAATAATTGAGATATTTGAATTTACAAAAAACTTTAACCAAAATTTCTAAGTTAAAAAGGGGCATAATTCTGTCAATATTGTAGGCAGAGTTATCCAACTTGTCAATCTGATGTATATTGTTACTATAAATAAGTATTGTAAGTTTCAATTGAATATCAGAACAGAACAGAACAGAACATATACTTTATTTCTGACTTGGGCTCAACACCCATCATCATAACATACATATACATGTATAATTATTATCTCAAGCAATAATTGAGATATTTGAATTTACAATAAACTTTAACCAACGCAGACGCCGACGCGGACGCCGACGCCGGGGCGACTACAATAGCTCTCATATTCTTCGAATAGTCGAGCTAAAAATGCGTGATCATTATTGCATTATAAGACTTTGTTAACCATCTTATTGGAGGGTGAAAAAAAGAACAGCCACATTATATATTTGGTCACTTACAAGTGTTTATTGGTAATTGTCTTCTTTGTGTAAAGTGACAATTTCATGATGCATGTAAGAATATTTAATAATGTTTAAATAATAGAAAATTTCACAATCTCAAACGCAGTCATGATTACCACCATCTCTCCCTCCACCAAAGAAAAGTTGTATAACCGTAAATAAGCTAAACTAAGAGCAAAATAAACAAAACTAGATCTGTAATTGACACAAAGTGTTTGCACTGAAATTGAGATTGTTTTTCCAGTGTAGGTCTAGTTAGGAGAATAAATTGGTACACAATGTCTCAGTAAGAAATAGCATTAAATAACTATCACCAAAAACCAGAGTGCATAAATTAAACAAATCAACTTAAAAATTAAGAGAATTAAATTTTCTGAAGAAAATATAAGAAAAGATACTGACCACTCCTACCACAGCAGCCGCCTTACATATGCCAACATTGAGATATTGTAATGAAATCTCGTCTTCTCCAGGGTGAGCCTTGTATACCTCAAACATTGTATCTAACATCCAGTCAAACTGTTCCCTCTCAGCAAACAGGTCAGATAAACAAACAACCTATATAACATATAATACAGTCAATGATTCAACATACCTCAACAATTATAAATCTTCTACATTGTAATTGTTAAGCAAAATACTAATAATCAAGTTAAGATGTAGATTCTTTTTTATTTCTGATCTTTATATTTTATCTGTAAAGACCTCCTTTCCCAACAAGTCATTAGAAATGAAGGACTTATTCTAAAAAAGAATTTTAGACAACTGCTTATTATTTAACACAATTATGAAATGGTGAAATTTTATGCCATCTTATTTGAACTCTCTTCCTGACTCTCTGACTTAAAGAAAGGACAGAATTTCTGACAAAAATTTCTGAAGAAATAAACTTGTGCTTGATAGTAAAAGTTTTTTTAACTTGATACTTATATCTTTATATAAGAATGCTGTACTCACTGATTTAATCACTTCATTGAGCAACATAAGTGGTGGCTTAGTGCTGGAGTTAGGGATCAGCCATTGTCTGTACAGGTCAAGTAGGAACTGAAGACAAGAGTGCACATCTAAACCTCCAGCTGATAATGACGGATCCCTGGTTATTGTTGTTTCAGAAGGACTCGTTGCTAGGTTAGTAAGAGGCGTGTCCTGGTGGACGGGACTATCTATAGAATCTGTGGTATCCGACATATCTGACATGTTAGACTCTAAAACACCAACAACTGACCAGATAGACTCTATAGATACCTTCAATATAAAAACAACATTACAACATTTCACTACTGGCAATTCTGTTAGTCAAATTAACTCAGTGCAAAACTATATATGTTTTAAATAAGGTTTATAAATATATTTGCAATACGTTATGACTTTCATCAATAACTTAAATCATTAAAATTGGTAAATATTTGTAGGGAATTGGCTCACATGTGTGTGCTGTTAAATGATGCTGAAGTAAGCATGAAGTTAGAGTATGTCTCCTCCTATATTTTGTAGTATGAAACGTAAGAAGTTTAGAATAGACATATAACACAGACACATTGTGTTGTACATTCTTTTCTGTAACATAAAGCTAAAACAGCAACTTAGTGAAAATATACTTGTCCTAGTCTAAACATTCATGACCAAGTTCAAGTATTTAGAGTATATTAAATGAGTGTTGGTTCAATAGTGAATTTATTTATATATTTATTATATCATGCGAGCCTCTGTCACAAAAGCAGCATAGGTATGTGATAAAAACATGTATGTCCTAATGAAAATATACTTGTCCTAGCGGCAATTTTAATAATAACATATATGTTGTAGTGTAAACATACTTATTATTGTGTAAATAAATCTTTTCTATTGTAACAAATCTTTCTACAGTAAACATACCTGGCCAAGTGTAAAATCATCTATACACGTATCTCTCTCAAGGTTGGAATCAAACATATATTTCACAGAGTCTGCAGCAGGACCAGTATTTCTTCTGAAAAATTAAAATTCACAAGTTTTGTCTGCATACATATATCTGTGTATATAACATATGATAAACAATTTAAATCATCTGAATTCAAAATGAAGGAAACATTGGGTTTTTTTTGGCACATACCTATTAAGAGCTGTAATATGTGCTTGACTGTTCTCAATTTTTGATATCAAAACAAGAGCCTGGATAATGAAAAATTTTCCAAGGTCAATATGGCCATAATTCAGTGAAAACCATTGTTAGAGTTTTGCCTTGGACAGTGACCTCCTATTTTGCTCTCAAATAAGTTTGTAGAGTTACAGTTAACAGTATAAAGTCCAGTCAAATTATGTTGATGAATACTCTAACATAGCTCTATACTTAAGGTAAATGCATGCTATTGTCACATACTGATGGCACTAATAAAGTTAGACATACAACACACACCTATTGTTTGCTGAAAATCTCAATACTTCATGTTCAACTACACCTCTTATCACAGTCAGCTTTTTACCACACCTGTAATACAAATCAATACATTAACATACTAATTTAAATAAAATACACATGCAAAAAAAATCAAGATACTTCAACCCCTTTACAGCAACAACTGTTGACAGTTATACCAATTATCATATTGATTTATTCAGGGAATAAAGCATAAAAATTTTGTGTCAGAAAATCTAAAGACAGTTTCCAATAATTGGATTGTGAAAAACTTCACATGTAATGAAGATTTGGAGAAATACAAGAATTTTGGCACGTGTATAATATATTTTATGTAAGTCAATAAAAATATAATTATCATTAGGAAAAAATATGTTGTAACAGTATATAGATAGAGACCTTGTGTGAAGGAATGCAAGTGGTTTATCCCTGGGTTGTATATCAAACTGTCCCTGGGTCGGGTTTCCTGGGAATGGTACTATCATAGTTTGTACAAGCATGTTAGTGATGGCTCTAACAGCATATACCATACAGTGAGTCCTCTCTACTTCCTCCTACACAAATATAACATCAGTGTTAGTAAAATATGTATACATATATTATTATAACTTCATAATAACATAAAAATGTTTGTCCATATCAAGTTAAACTTTATGGTAGGAAATTTGAAAAAAAAACTACATTTTGCTTAGTCAGCAATATTATCCATTAAATCTACAACTAACAAGTCATTACCTATATAAGAAACAGGGTGTCATTAAATTTGCTATATATTCAGATCAATGTGTATTGAGCAGGGCTTCCATTAGTAGAAGTTTGGGAGCTATTTACTCCTGATTTTGGCTTGTGACTTCCCAAGTATAAACCTTTTTCTTCTTTACCTATATAATGTGACTTCCAATGTCAGACATTTTGCAGTCTCTGACTTCCAAATTTTGGAACTTAATGGAAGCCCTGATCGGGCAAAATGCACTTAAGCCTCAAATGTCTCTCTCTGGGTTATTTAATATTGGAACATGTTTCATTTTTACCATTCATACAGAGTTTACACCATTCATACAAAGTTTACAATTGTTTCGAAGTTTTTTGTTCAAAATCTTCACTCCTTATCAAGATATATATTCTATGTTCACAAAAAACAAACAAATGTCTACTACATTTTTATATTAACTTGACATTAACTACATGTACATTTATATTTGGCAAATGAACTTGACATTATTGTAAGTGTACCTCGGGAGAGAAATGTTGTTCTGGTGAGACTGGATTTAATACACCTAGTAAACACATCCATGTCTCCTCAAACTGTTGCCTTGATATCCACCCTGTAGTACACACACAAATCCATTAAAATACATAATTATAGTTTGTATTCAATACATGACAATTTTTTATTTCTTTCAATCAAATTTCTTTATAATAGAAAATTTCATGTCCTGATTTTTAAATCATACAACTTCTATGTGACAAAATAGGGATGATATTGTTTGTGCTTTACAAAGTCTATTTAATTTTCTGAATAAGAGAAGTAATGAGTTAATATCAAAATTCTAATTTTTCCAAAATCAACCTATAAAAGAGCATTCATAATATAAATGCAAATTACGAACATATCACAGCAAATAAACTTGAAATGAAATTAGAACAGTTAAATATATATCTGGTAGTTTTTTGTTTGTTTTGTTGGGTTTTACGTCACATAGGCACTGTAATGGTCATATGTGTCCATCCATTCAATTTCATTAGGTAGAACCGACATTCTTTAGCTAGTTGAATAGCTTCCTCACATGAAAGGATTCAAAATCACTTGCGGGATTAAAACCCACAATAGTGGGGACAAGAGGTTTGAAGTCAACAACCTTAACCACTCAGGCACAGACACCTCCTGTCTGGTAGTTCCAAGGAAATATTTAGTACAAAAGAAACTGTGCAGCCTTAGGTGAACATTTTGCAAGTCTCCCATCCTAAAACCAGTACACACTGCCGTTCAGACTGTTATATCCATTTCTAAGTTTTTGATAACATTCAAACTATAAAAAGACCTACCTATCATGCTTATCCTGTTGACAAATTCTCTCAGAACTTCTTTATCCAACATTAGATCTATTGGCAGGGGAGGTAACTTTGTCTTTGGTTCCCCACTTGGTGTAGGGATCCAACCCATTTTCCATACAATCGGTGGTGTCCTCGCAAAACTATTCAACACTGGAGTTCTTGAAAGACCTATGACAATTTTAATGGGAGAAAATAGTTCAGATTCTTTCATACATTCTACAGACATATTTTTTACTATATATAATAGGATAGGATGATATGCAATCTCAATCAGTGACTTGTGTGCAGCTGACAAAATCTAAATTGAAAATCAAAATGTTAAATAAATTTCTTGTACAGACAGCAAAAGCAATTTTTAACTAATTTCTTGAACACATAACTTTTTAACAGAAATGACCAGAAAAAGATATAAGACAAGTCCACATGCTTAGCTCAATAGGGAGAGGAGTGTGTTAGTAACCAGGAGTAGTTCATATAAGTAATCCAGGGGTTGTTGGTCCAATCTTCAGGCAAGGCATGATTTTTTCCTTGACAACTGATCTTGAACATTGAGTCTCATGGTCATTTGTCTCTCACTTCTGACTTTGACATCATGTGGGAATTATTCACTCACTTGTGGAGAAGTTGGTAATTACTGGCTAGTTATCCAGGAAAGCCAGTTAGGTGGATCATCTATGAGATATGACCAAAATTTGTTAAAATCAATTTAATAGCAGAGACATGTTGAATCATTCTCTTCAAATTAACTTCGACTTATTTATATCACTTACCAATAACAAGAGAACATATAAGACTATAGAGGTGGTTTGGAAGTATGGTTGTTCCATGGTTCACACCAGAAAGACTGGATTGATTGAGGACATATTGCACAAGTTCTGATATTTCATCACAGGCTTGAGTCAAATAATGAAGGTCTGAAAATATAAATAGGAAAAGTCAGTCATATACATCATCAAATACTTTGGTGAAAGCTTTCTAAAAGTTAGTAACCTTCACCTCTAAAAACCCCCACACATGTTCAACTCTTAACCTGCTGGATTCAAATTTTAGTCAATACATGTATATTGTATAAATCTGTTTACTTGCTAGTAATAAAGTCATCTTCTAAACAGGTTGAATAATATTATAATAGCTTTAAATTTGTTAACTCTCCTCTTCAGATCAGTATATCACTGTTCAACAATCTGTCTGTTTGTAAAGCAGTAAAATGTACAAGACGTAAATCTTTGCCAATTCATATGTATGAACTTATAACACTATTACGAAGACGCCTCCGTGGTCGAGGGGTTAGAGTCGATGACTTCTTATCCAGTTACCTCTCTGGCGTGGGTTCGATCCTTGGATGATGCTTTGGTAGTTTAGCACAGAGGAAGGTAGTCTAGTACTGGTGTAACTCTCCAGGAACGATGGTTAGGAAACTACCCGCCTGACTGAAATACTGTTGGGAAAAGGCATAAAATGAAACAAACAAACAAACAAAACAAAGTAAATATTTGCTCACCATCTTTATGAGAGTTGGTAGGTGTATCCTCATGTCTCACATGGAAACACATCTGTTGTCCTGGTAACACACACACTGAAATTATGATTGTACTATATTTAATGTATATAGAGGAATCATGCTATTTCTTCTAGGATTTGAAATTGTGTAAATTTGAAAACACATAAATATATTCTCTATCTATTATTACAGGGTCTATTGAAGATCACATTATTTGCACTTCAAATTAAATGATGAAATATTTCAATAACTTGTATCTGACAGATGACATACAGAAGTTGTAGTAAGTTTATGCTCAGAACCCAATGAAAGGAGATAAAAGCAGATAATAGCACTAACAGATACGTAAGTTTTGAAGAAAAAATTCTATGCTACAAACCATTTTAAATGAAAGAACAAAAGGTGCACACAATACTCATTTAGTTTTCATCTGTTTTATATAAATAAAATGATAATACAAATGTAGTAGTTTGGGCTACAAAAAAATCCATCTTACAGTACAATAATCATAGATCTAAAATTAAAATCAGAAATGATAAGAGGAAATGATCTATCTGGCATGCTGAAATAAAGTCAGGTAAAGCAGCACTGTCTAGAGACAATATCTCAATAATTAAAGAAAATAAATCTGAACTGAAATGATATAAACAAAAAATAGCATAGTAAAAATCAGAAATACTACAGGAGTTGTTCTGAAACAATATGTATATCACAAATTATAGCCACTCAGTAGTAAAGGTAATTAGCAAATGCCTCTGTATTTATCTGTAGAAATGAAATAGTTTCAAGTGATAAAACTTGTAATCAAGTTGCTATTTTAAGGTTTTAATTTTGTCTATGTGAAATAAACGTATCCTGTCTCTGTGTAATACACACTTGACTTTGTAAACTGTATTTTAGGCTGGTGAAATTTCATTAGATCAGATTAAAAAAGTAAATGCTACTCTTTCATCAAATGCTTTAATATAAAGATGGTTTCTTCTTTGCATTGTTTTGGAAGCAAGTAAGTTTACATAAGAATTTGGCAAGATTCAAACCAAGACATTTATATCAGTGACAAGTGATTTTGAATTAGCTGTTTTGATCACTCAGTTATCTAAGGTTTGAATTTACATTTATATAGTGTTGAGATGAATCGCTGTAAGTTTTTAAATCTTGAAAACATTAGGTTTTATCCTGCTAGAAACAAACATGATTAGCATTTGCCACCGGCATAGAGCCAGTCCAGCCTTCACAACCTTGCAGTCTCTATACTGTTAGCTGAACAACTAAACTTCATCTTAAAGTTAATAATGGACTGTTCTAAAACTGGAAACTGGACAAATCCATTTAAGAAAATTCAACAGGTTATGGTTTAATGGCAACTTCTAATGTCCTTGATAAATCAACATAATTCATGAAAGACAGCTCTTGTCATAAAACACTATTATTACAGGGTCTATTGAAGATCTTTAGCTCTATTTAGATAAATGATCCTATTTCTTAATATATTATGTTATAAACTGAGTACTGACCAATAGCATTACAAAGAAAAATTAAAAACACTTTGGTACTTGAATTTATACAGGTGAACAAAAATAATATTTAAAATAATTCAACTAGCATTACAATCAAATCTGAAAATTGCCTTTAGTATTAGAATAACTAATGTTTCATTGAGTAATTAATTTTACATAAACCTTTTAAACAAAAACTATCAGAACTTAAATCAAGAATTAAATTTACATACTATATAAGACAATATAATAAATTTCAATTAACAACCAAGGAAGGTCATCCCAGTAAGCGTCAAATCATGTAATGGTACATTCTATATGAATAAGATTTGCGACAACTAAACTCTGCTTATTCACAATACACAATCTATAAATAGACTTACATGTAGACACAATTTGATACACTGTTTTGGTAATTGAGCAGACCCAGGTCACATGATCAGTTTGACCAATGAGTGAGCAGAGTTGTGGATTCTGCAGAACTTTTCTCACACATTGCAAACTGGTACTCAGCTGTTCTGCTGTTGGAATGTGGTTGTTGCTTAGCAACCAGCTTACACACTGTAAAAGAAAGAAATTTAGTAAAGTTAAATGCACATGGACTTAAAGTAATTTTTTTCACACTCAAAATAATATTGAAATATATTTATCATTATGTAAAATCTGAACAAATATTCATTAAGGAGAGATTCCTCATTACAAAGTGATCAAGTATCGTGCCTACATACATATATGATTTATGTGCAGACAAAATAGTGACAATATCGTTATCACTTATATCATGTTTTTTTCCAAAAAAAGCTGATCATTAAAATTGACCTATTTGTGATATTACAATTTCTGTTGTCAAAAAAAACAAAACACTTTCAGTATCAATGAAAATGTGCTTTTGATCATGGCTTCCAGTTTTAATAAAACTTTTCTCTCAGATATGTCTTTGATCTCAGAATTTTCATTGGTCATTACACATTCTGTGTCATTTTCTGACCCATTAAATACAAAAGATCTGAGTTTGAAAAATTCTTTATAACCTTGGCACATGAGCCCAACTAACTATCCAACTTTAATATCAAAAGAACCATATTATATAATTTTTCCAAAACTGCTTACATACAAGATCTTATAAAAATATTTGTTGTGACTTATTTTGAAGAATGTTAAAAGATATTTTTATTACTCACCTCCATACAAAATGTACAAAATCTACAAACATCATTCTGAGATTCTGCTGGCACTTTAGGTTTCCATGGAAACACAGAAATTGATACTAAATATTGTAACAAAGAAGAAGTTAGAGTGAACACTATATCTAACGATGAACTGTCCGAGAAAAAATCCTCTAATTTTTCTAAATATTTCGACATGTGTACATCTTTGGCATCACAGAAGTTGACAATTTCATGTGGAACTGGTAACATATTTACAATATTGTTTATATGTCTCATCAAGGTCAGCTGAGAGGCTTGAAACAACGGATCAAGCATCCACTCATCTGACTGGTTCCCAGTTGATGGAATGTCTGCTTCTCTACTGTATTTATGAAGTGTTCGCTGGGTACCAATGGAAATACATTCTTCCATAACATTCAAGTTGAATTCCTGAAGAAATTGATATTTATTTTTTTAAAAGTCAAAATGACAACAAATCTTAATTTCAGACAAAATTTGATCATCAAATATTTAAGCATTATAATTTGAATCAAAGGCTGAAAAATGTTTCTTAAAAATTAAAATTTTCTTTGCATTCTTTTTTATGTCTTTCATCTACATGTTATTCAAGAAAAAGTTTCACTTATGTACCAGCAAGTTTTAAGCCCATTTCATGTCCTAATTTTGTAGTAAATGTGAAACATGGCAAATTTACATAAAATATACACAGAAATAAGAAGCACTAGTTTTTTATTCTTTCATGTCTAGCTAGAAGGACTGCAAAATTTTCATTAATAATGGTAATAAAGTATATGATATAAATACCTTTGTCATCATGATAACTAACATATCAGCATAGTCTAGATGTTGCAGGAGACTGGCACATTCACGACTACTACCATTCTGGGCGTAACATTGTTCTCGTACTAAATACATGTACCTTTCCTGATAACAACATAAATAAACATGTCATGTCAGATATAGAAATGTAAAAACACTACATTTTTTCAAATTAAATATCAAAGCTTTAGTTGAATTTTGTCCTTTCACAAGTACAATAAATCATTTTTGATCTAAACTTTTAAAGAACGTCAAACTATAAGCAGTTATGAGAGGTTATAAATTCAGTGGCTGAAAAGAATAGTTAAGGTGAAACTTTTCTCATTTTATTACATTTACCAGAAGGCTTTCTTCTTACTTTCAATAATTCTGTGTGAAATTATTAGTACAATTTTAAATCAATGCCTTTGCGTCACAAGGAGATTACTAGAAATGAGTCCATAGGACATGGATGCACCAACATTCCACTGTTTTTTTTATCTAAGGATGGACATTTGAATGGATAAAGGCAAATCTTAAAGTGGGGACATAATTTTTTTTGTTGTTGAGAATTTAAGTGATTAAGTTTGTGAAAGAGAAACTTTTAAGTTGTACCTTATCCAGTTGAAGATCCCCTGTCAAGGGAGGTAACTTTAGAGAATGTGAAACTTCAGCTAGTATTGGAGACTTTGTGTCGTCTGCTATGGACTCTCTAAACTTTCCTAACAGTGACAGCAGACGGGCATGTCTGAAATGGATGAATTTTGATAATGTAAAACTTGAGTTTCATAAACCATGTACAATCTTTTCCAGCATACTTAAACAACATTAAATATTTTTTTCTCGCATGAAATAAATATGGACTTAATTGCTGAAAGTGTAAGATTTATTAATACCCTCATGAAAGTTAAGCATTTTTTTTCAGGTAAATATCACACTGTGATTGTCAAAAAAGATAGAAGCTTTTATTATATTCTAGCAGAATTGCTTCACAGCAAGGCTCAGACATATATTCTGTTACCCAAAACCTCTCAGATATATCTATAATACATGTATAGTTATTATCAGCTAACAAGAGAACAAAGGATGTACTTTGAAATCAGTTTGTTATTCTTCATGAAGATTAGCAACTTGTCAAGGTCATCCAAAGGCAACTGTTTTGCTCTCTCCTGAAAAATACAACATAATTTAGGTCACATTGTAAACAAATCAGATGAACTTTTGGTAGCTACCTACATTAAATTAAGAACACACTATTAATGTTTTAACAGCATTTATGCCAGAGCCCCTTGACAATGTAGTTTATTGTGAAATAGATTCTAATGCAATAGGTCAAATTTTTATCAATTCTTCCAAAAAAAAACCACTTCACAATGTTCTTTAAACTCTCTGAGGCTCTCTAGAGCAACACCTCTTAACAACAACCAAAAATAATTGTCTCCCTAAGAGGTTTTGCTCTACAGAAGTTATACTGTATATGTGTAGTATAAGTGTGGTTTACCTGTGGGGATTCAGCTAGCAACATCTCTACCCTGCGACAAGCTATACTGTCACATGCTCGAGACACGGCCAGGTGGTGAGAGCAGAGAAACTTGTCAATCAGTAGTGTCAGTAACGCTCCACTTTGTGAGAAATGTATAGCATCCAAACACTTTAATGTCTTCCTAACTAATGATGGTTTAGTGACATCCTCCCAGCGGGCATGTATAGCTTGTATAAATAGACTGCTCGCAGCAGAATTCCTGTGTATTGCTCTGAAAATTAAATAAGGCAACATATAATTAATAAATAGCTATTATCATTCATCATGCCAACATTTAAGAAAGAAATAAATGTTATCATTTATCATTTTTTAAAAATGCTCTGTATCACTAATGCCAAATTGTATGTGCTTCGTTTTCTACATGACAATAACTTCAATTCAGTGTGCTTTTTGTATAACAATTTTGGGAGCTACATTACTAAACCATAACATCTGTAATTTAAAAGTACATGTACATCAATTAAAAACAAACCATTTCATCTTAAAAATAATCTTATTACACAAACAAATGTATTCAAAGAACTAAAACAGGTTTCATATTAATGTTTTGAATTTATGAAAAAAAACAATGATAACATGTATTATTTGGTAATTTGTCCTATTAAACAGATACAGTCAACTGTTTCTCTACATACATGTAGATACTGACCCAATAAAATCTTGTACAGGAGCCTCCTCTGACAGTTCAATCAGGTCTCTCACATGATTTATCAACACCCATGTCATATGTTCCGAGTCATTCAGGTTCTCACACTGAAAACATATAATACAGGAAATCATCTTAACTTCTTTAAAATCCTTACACTTATTGTCATAGGAAGATCATCAGACAAAATCAACAAATCAAAACAGTATCACTTCTAAAATGTTTTTTTAAAAAGCTATAATTATATAAGGCATATTTTGAATTTAAAAATACATGTTAATAATAACAGTCATGCAATTCAGTCTTTCAAGTGCTACAGACAGGAGATACAAATTCCCTCTCATTAAGGATGACTTTTTAACTTACAAGATTTATACCCATGTTGTCATTCTTGAAACACAATAAATCAAGGATATAAAACTAAACCTATACCGTTCAATAGATTATTTTATCAAATACAATATAATATCACCTTAGTGCATGATAACGGATTAACTCCTTTTAAAATGAGAAGGACTTAACCCGTTACTGCACTAAGGTGATGATACTAGTTAATATTAAATCTTTAGTAGCTGCAATTGAAGCCTAAAATTTTGTTAGGATGCTTAATCATTTAGTGTTTTTTTTCCAGCATAAATTGAAATATTCTGGAGTGTATATTTTGGTATAAAGTAGAAGATACATACAGCATAATCACAGAAGAGAATAAGTCCACCACGTCTCAATATCTCATCATTACAACACCTCTGTGTCTGTACAGTTTGTTGTGTGTCACCTAACTCCTCTAATGTCTTCTCATCCACTGAACTATACAAAATAAAATCAACTGTCATAATTGCTATGAAGAGTTTATAGTTTAAGCAGTAGAAATGTATAATATAAAAGAGTAACAGAAAATATATGGTAACAAAACACTTATGGATCAAGAACTACATGTCGTATTAAATCCTTCAATAATTCAATCCTACACACTTTTTCACATACTTTTTATCAAAAAGAGAGCAACTTACATATAAACTTACATGTGTTTGTTTTGCTACAGTATATAAGGTTTAATGCACAATTTAATACGAGGGCTGTTCAAAAAGTAATAGGACTGCAGTTCTACTGTTCACATTTTTTAATTTACGTGCACAATTTTTTAAGGTCATAATATCAGAACATATCCTCTATATACAGTGAAAAAATCAATAAAATATGTTTAAAAATAACGAGTCTGTGAAAATTTCAAATGACAAAGGGTACGCGACCCGGCGCACACTAACAGCACAATAGATGACGTTTATGACGTCGGAAAATAAAAACAAAATGTATCAAGCGTCATCCTTTCTGAAAGAATTCTCTCTAGTGTTCTAGATATCTAAATCATGTAACTTTGACCAGACCTCATATGTGGAGATGTAGCGAGAAAGAAAACAATCACATTCTTGTTCCACTTTCCGAGAAAAAAAGCCCGATAGCCGGCCACTCTCCGCTTTTCTCTTATTTTTGTATCTTATAGTAATCAATATAGATTAAACAGGCATGAACTTATGATGTTAATGAAAAAGCGATTAATAGAATTATTTTAAAAATATGATCGTACGTTCTTAAACAATATGATTATGTAAGTAAAATAACAATAGTTATCAACTGAAAAGTATACTTTCCTACTAGGAACAGCGTATCATTTTTAAAAGAAAATCGGGGAAAATATTAATAATTACCGTTAAACATTATAACATTAATTTATTGATAACACATATATCTAGATAAATGAAATAGAATTTTGTTTGAAACAAATCATTTAGGCAGAACTGAATCAATAGACCCGATGCAGAAATCAAACATGCCGGACAGTTTGTGGACTGTTTACCGTCGATCATTTTGTAGCGCTTTTTCATTTGACGTCACTAACTTCCCGTCAATTTCCCGCTATCATTCTCATCCTTTCCTGTTTGTGATTTCGTATGTGCAGTTTTTGAATTGTTTGCGCAAGCTGAGAACGAGTATCCTGATAGCCGATTAATTGTACTGTGTTAATTTTATGTTTTCATATGTATCTGAAGGAGTATCGCCAATTTGTTGGCAAAGTTTAACGATCGCACACATTTTCAGTTTTTTAACGAACGTCAAATTTCTACATTTAACGTTATGACCACTGCTGTTCAAAACTTGATGATTTAGCCATTTCATGTCTGAATGACGTCAAATTTGGGCATAATGTCACTTAAATATAATAAATTGTGTTGGTGGAATAAATGGGGAAAAAAGAAAATAAATTATGAATAAAATAGAAGTTCAACTAAGCTTCAATAACCTTTTTATGTGCTGCGCCGGGTGCGTGTTACCATGGTTATTCAATAACACAGGGAACACGCGTTAAGCATAAGAATTCAATATTTTTATGTTTAAATTGAAGAAAACATTTTTCGATCGCTGTACATATAAAAATATTCTAAATTGAATTGAATATGAAGATGCAAGACTCTTAGTCCTATTACTTTTTGAACAACCCTCGTAGTAATTCATTTATAATCAGGTGGTGTAAAAATGTGTATGTATTTTTGTAACATTATACCTGATAATATTTCTGTCAGGAAAAAAAACAACAATACACTTATTTCCAGACACATACAATGTCAAGTTGCCCCCATTGAAATTTTGATTATATGTAACCTGTAGACATGAAAACATGACACTTACCTTGAAGATGATGCCATGATATATTTCTTTGGTGTTTTCACAACATCACTCCAGAAACTCTGATCACTAAAGTTCAGTAAGATCAGAACATTACACCATTGTAAGGTCAAGGTCGGCTGTGTTACCCCTAGCAACAAGAACTCCTGGTTGATCGCTTTGATGTCATAGTAACACAATAGTGACCTTTGTCTTGTTTGCTGAACTGAGGCAGTTGCTACCCTTCTAAATGAACCTTGGAATATAAAAAAATTATTTTTTTACTAAAATTATTATTACAAAATTGAAAACACAGTCTGATAGACATACTACTTGACATAGAAACAAACTATTGTCAGAAAAAATATACACATAAAGTTACTTTTAAAATGTCTTTTAGAGCAATAGATATGTAATAAAGGTGTAAAAATCTATTTGTTTAAAAAATACATAGCTTCAACATAAACCACCTATTATTTTTCTGCTTATAGATCATGTTTGAAATAAATACAGTAAATCTTACCAGACTGGAACATGTGTGTGATGTACATGAGAAGATGAGACAGTTGTTGAGACAGAAAGTCACATGACCCATCACCTGACCCTGATTGCATGGATTCCTGGTTTATCGTTGAAACACAAAGACCAATAATCTGCAGGAAAAATCTGGAAAGCAAAACAAAAATCTTGTGAAATTTACAAAAAGCACCACCTAAAACAAAGCAGTATTTATTACACTAATTTTATGACTGTTTAGCAAATAATCTAAACTAGTGATTATCTTGTCATGTGAAATACTCTACTTAATTGAAAGTAGCAATTCTCTTGAAAAGTCAACTTCTCAAATTAGTCTGAAATGTTAATTTCACAAAAATTTGACCTAATGAAAAAAAAATCTCATTTTTCTGGATAAAGACGGCTTCAAATACCTCAAATTTATGTTCTGAGGAATAAATATAATAATTTACTGGTCAATAATTTTACACAAAAATTATCAATTATTCTGTAAAGTACTAAAATTCAAACAAACTAATCAATTAAAGAACGGTAATTTTACCTTGCCATTATTTCCTCTGGTGATAGACTGTCCACTACATCTCTATCCCTCTCTGTCACCTCTATATCAGACGTTTTTAATACATGCATTTTAAGTCCCAGCTCATGAATCCTTGATAGAACTACTTCCTCCTTGGTCTGTGCCATCAGTACACGTAATACAGACAAAACAAGGCACATCCAACGTGATAATCCTTTACAGTTGCTCTAGAACAATGTGTAAAATTATCTTTAATCAATTCTCAATGAGGATCAATTGAACACACACTTAACACAACATATGCTTTGTTTTGTTTGGTTTTATGGTGCACCAACACAATTTAGGTCATATGGCGCCAAAACAAAAAAGATGATTTTGGCTAATTTCGGTGTTACAAACGTAAAGCAAAACCAGGGGTGAAAATCAACTCACCTGCTACAGCTAAGAGATGCATTCATTCAAGTAATTCAAACCTATTTGGTTGACTCTTGCTATCACACAGGTTTAAACAGTGGCTGCAATTCTAATGCCCCAACCTGTTAAGGCAACCCCTCAACCACAAGGTTTGTGTCAGAACCTTTATATACAGGTATATTATTTCTGTATCAAATGTAAAACACAGACAAACATACATATGTCTAATGTTTGCTGGTTTTATTTCATAATAAGGAATGTAAACTACCAAAAAATATACAATATAAATAACTAAAAATGTTACCTGCAAAAGAACATACAATGTTTGCTGGTCTCATTACTTAGGAAGAATATTAAATACAAAATAGCATATAATGTTTTATGACAAGGAATGTAAACAACCAAATTACAATGTTAGCTAATTTTTGGGTTTTATTTTTAAAATTACTTAAAAGGAATGTAAATTACAAAACAACATACAATGTTTGCTGGTTTCATTAGCAATGTCTTCAGGAGGATATCAACAGGTCGGAACACAATAGGAGCCACTGATTCAAACAATCTGTGTACAACATCCAGGGCAACCTGACCATTCAAATCAATCTAAAAATATAAATATCATGAATCAGTGATATAGATACATAAAATTCAAGTTGATATATTTTCCTATGTTGACTGATACTTCCCAATACAATACTGTCATGGCAAACTCCTTTAGATAAAATCAGTTACAACAATGTTGCATTAAATTCTTTATATAAGGTATACCATTCATATTTGTTTGCATCTATGTGAAGAAATTTATAATTTACAACTGTCTAATATGCATGTTAGTATATCATACATGGAAGTGTATTACAATTTTCAATTACAATTATATACAAATTTGTAATAAAGTTACATTGTATGTTAAGTGTAATAATGAACCTGTTGTTTAGCAAGCGCAGGTAGAACTGTATCAGTGACTTGACGTGACAATCGTTTCCATCTCTCCTCACTCTCCCTGTGACATTGTTGTAATACTATCACAAACATCTCTATAGCCTGTAAATATAATATACATACAGTCTTTATGCTTGTATATTGCCTGAAAATTCCCAACATTAACCCTCCAAATATATGTATAAATTCGGAATTAATATGGTTATAGTCTACAGTGAAAAGAGTGTCTAAAAATATTTCAATTAAATAATATATCTTTCGATCTTGATCTTTTTATATTCTTATATTCCTTTTATATTCTAAGGTCAAATTATGTTCTATCAAAACAAGAGAAGATAATACCTGGTGATACTGTATAAGTCGGAGTAACATAGACACAATGACCTCCCTTTGTGTCTCTAATTCTTTACTGATATCAGACTTACTGGCTCCCCTCAGTAGAAACAAGTCATGTACAATAGGTTGTAGGGCTGGTATTGCTGCAGGAAACAAAATAGAACAACTCTTGATGTATTTATACATATTTTACAAACCAAAAATACATGCTCTTTATAGTTTCATTATTATTTGAATGAACACTCATACCTAAGCCTGATTCTACATGTACCCATGTGACCAATGCAGACCAAGATAACCTGGCATATCTGTGTTATCTATTCATGTGCATTGTTCACTCATCTGTCAAGTTTCCCTACAATTGGTGAATAGTTTTGTCCATATTGAGAGAAGGTCAAGTCCTTTTAAGATATTTAGGGTGGTTAATTATGCTGTTAAATATTTCCAGAATTCTACTTCTAAAACATATACACAAAACACTTCACATGAGAAAATTATAAGTCAGTGAAATCAGGCTATTTCCATTCTTTTCATTAAATTCTTGTATGTTTCAACAAAAAGCTAATATATTCATTATCTGTACTTTTCTTTAAATTCACAATAACTTACACATGTATATGACTAAAAATATATATTCACTTTAAAAAGGCTAAATCTGGATGAACAAGACTTCATAAACAAGAGCAGTAAGTAGAACAATGTGCTCGACTCTTCTTAGTGCTCCATGGTAAACTAAGACCCTGGATAATGTAGCATTTTCCATGTTCATATAGGGCCATAATTCGGTCAAAAACCACATTAGAGTTATGATTCTTGGAAAGTGACCTCTTATGCTCTCAAACAAGTGTGTGAAGTTTTGCCCCGTTCTCTGAAGTACTTTTGAGGATACCAACTTGCATGACGAACTTAACCAAAGTATGATATCAATGCCTGGGTGAATACAATAGTTCTCCCTAGTCTTTGAGTAGTCAAGCTAACAACATATTTACCATGAATGAACAGGTCAATGTCACCTATCATGAGTAATTAGGTCAAGGCCACATACCATGAGTAGTTGGGTCAAGGCCACTGGCCATGATACCATCACAGAGCTGTATTATTTTTGGCATGGTTATCACCGGTTTACTGTGGAATTTCTCGTAGGATAACATCACTAGGAAGTTAAATATGTTTGGTACAAGTGTATTTGATCTCCTATAATACAAATAAAAATAATAGTTATCAGAACAATTATATCTTGAAACAAATTAACACAATTGTTTTACTGTCCTTATCCTTTAAATGCATAAGAAAATAGTTTTCATCAAAACTAATTTAGCTATTAAGTTTCAATAACACAGTTTGCACACAGCTCTGTTTTGTCATTCACATTGTCATTTTACAAATAACTTGAACAAAAGTATATTAACACAGATATTATAGTATTAAATATTTCATTTCATATGATCAAAGTTAAATAAAATCAATGTGAGAACACATTTGTCATGTAATAAAATGTAACAATAAATCTAACTTACAGTAATAAACAATAATGAATATAAGATATTTTACCTTATCTGGCCTTCCTCTATATACTCAAACTGTTTGATAACAAACCCAATGAAGACCTGGTCAGAGTCTAGCAGACAATAGTTGACCCTCAACTGTACCAGCTGTGCTAACAGGTCCAGCACCTGTTGCTGTAGGGGTAAGGAACTTGTCACCGTGTACTGCTTCAATGCTTTTATCACTAAAGGCTCAAACAGACGAATGTAAGCAGCAATGGCAGTCTGAAATCACATACATTTATCAACAATGACTTTTTCTTCAGTTATTTTTATTATTATTATTACATAAAAATAATCCCAATTCAATGTTCCAAAGGGATAATGAGAGTAAATTCTCTGTAATAATTAAATTCCAACAATATCAGCAACATGAGATCAGCCAATAGAAATACTTTTCATAATATATAGATGTAAATTGAAATCCTAAAGTAATCAACTCATGAAAACTTACAAACAAAATGTTTAAATTGACAGCAGTCTGATTTCAAAGTATACATGTAGACCATATATGACCTAATAGTACATAATATAAGGTTTTAAATTATTTTTAGGTATAAGATGTGAGTATAAAATGTAGCTGTAAACAAGCCTTACCTTGTCTGCTTTACTGCTAGGTTTTAAGATAGCAGGAACTTTTCTCTCAACACATTTCTTAAGCCAGGTCAAAACTCTGTAAATTTACATGTATATTACAATATGTATCTGACTATACATGTTACAAAATGCCACATATGATGTTATAGTTGTAATTACAGATCAATATGATCTCACTGCATGCATGATCAAAAATCTACCGTGCTTCATTTACACTATTTCTGTTTGCTTACTTTATTCCTATGACATATAATTATATTGCAAGATTCTAGTAATCTAATGGCAAGTATAGAAAAATACCTTGAAGAATAAGATACAAGAGGGTTGTTAATGAAGATGAACACAAGTTATTCATGTACATATCATGAAAGACAATCCTAAACCATCAACTGTAATATCCTCAGTAAATTAGGGTATGCACTACATGTTAAAAAATTTTGTCAAGTAGGAAACTAAGCAAATGGTTGTGAAATATGATATTAATCGTGACTTCAGTATACTCACCCTGTAGTGTCCTCATAATCAGGACTGACTGCTTTAATGGCGGCTGCTGCCAGTGCCTGTGTAAACTGAGAGTATGGTTGTGTAAATGTGCACTGATACAGACCGTCCTTGTTACCAGACAGTCGAGTTGTCTTCCCTTGTTTACGAGGCAAGTTCTGTACCTGATGTTCTTCCCATTGACTACATAAGTTCGTTCCAAATAAGGCTTTCAGTAACTGTTTAAGATTATAGAAATAAGTACATGTATAAAAAACAATTTCTACAAACTAATACTTTCAGTTTAAACTACAACTATTAAAATTTATGAGAAACCTTTCCTGAGAATTGCTTGTATATGATAAAATAAAAATTTGTTTGGTATTATTTCACTTGTTTTGTGCTTTGTTTAGCTCATTTTTCCCTTAAAGTTTAATATCCACATATAAGATGTTTCAAAAATGTCCTATCTTCCATAGGTGAGTTTCTCAAGTGCTTGATTAATCTTTTGTAGTATTTAGAAACTGAAAAATAAGAACTCTCAACGCTGATATTGTGACAATTGTAATATAGACTACAACATAAATGAACTTCAAAGTCGCTACCAGTATATCTTTTATTAAATCTTAGAATTACAATCTGTCCTGATGAAGGTCAAGTATTGACCAAAACGAGTAGATATAAATAAAATATTATTAACCTGTCCTGGTGATGATGTGTATTACTCTTTTACGTGAACTTATATTGATAAATTTATTTGATTCTATGCTTTTCTTAAGCTACTGGAACCAAAAGTTATCATCCTTTGCCACCAGTATAGAGCCAGGCCAGCCTGCACATCTGTGCAGTCTGACCAGGCTCTATACTGTCGGCAGCTCAATTTTTGTATTTTGTTATTGAAATCCCTTGAACTTTGAATGGACTGTTTCAAATTCAAATCTGGACACATCCATTATAGAAATATAGGAAGTTAAGGGTTAGTAGAAAAAGAGTACACAGGTTTTGTAAAGGACATATTACCTGTTGAACACAGAGAACAGTATCTGTAGGTTCTAAAGTTATAGTTGACTTGAGATAATTGAGAAATTCCTCAGCATATTTGCCAATATCGGACAAGGTGGCAACTTCCAGCACTTGTGATAACACATACAGACTCGTCTTTAACATCGCACAAAACTTGTCAGTCACTGAGAGGTCCAGTGAAATCTGTAAAGAAAACAATCATAACTTAATATAATAGTATATCACTACAACTTTTGATAATCCAACACTTGCTTTACCATTCCTAGTAGCAAACAAAATAACAATCTTCAATAGACAGGTTATAAGAATTAAACAACACAGTGATCTTTAAATATTCTTAACTTGCCACAAAATTTATATAAGACACAACATGTTTACCTTATAGTTTGAGTATGCTCCTTTCAGTACTTCATAGAACTTGACATAATGAGGAACAGTGTAAAAAGTTCCGAGACCATCTTTCTTGCTACGTTCTTTCTCTGCTTCTTTCTCTTTTTCTGAAATTTCATGATCAAAATCTACAGAAACCCTGTAGGACCTTTTCAATGTTATTTCAGTTGTGTTTTCAACTTATCATAATAAAGTAAACATCACTATATCTGTATCATCACTTATTATACCGTAATGACAATCATATCCACATGACAGGCTTTTAAATTGGTCAAAGTTTATTCCTATTTTTGTTGACACTTAAACAAGAAAGTTCTTAGGAATTTTGTTTTTTTAAGTTCTCAGGAATTAAACAGTGTAATCAATAATCTTTTTACTTCACTGGATGGTTCTAGCAGACTAGCATTATAACATATGCTATAAGACAAAGTCATGTAAAAACAACTGATAGGAAACAGATGGGTAAATTTATAGATGTAAGATTGAACATACAGCTCTAACAAATATTCACCTTTTTGTGTAGGTTTTGCTGTGCTTTTAGCATCCTGGCTGGGGGTGTTGGGTGCTGAAGCTGCCTCTTTCTCCCCTTTAGCCTTACGTTTGATTGGGCTCAAACTTGGAGCAGTAGGCAGTGAAGGTAAGGCAGTTTTCATCTGTGGTGGGCCTGGTTGCTGCTCATCTATCACATGAGCAAATGCATTCAATATCCTGTAGACATGAACAACAACAAAAGTATATTAGATTGGGTGATTTAAACTAATACTGTATGGAAAGTATTGTTCTAATTACATTATAGTTAATACAATTAATTCTGCAAAGCAATGTATTAGTAATCTGCACTACAATGAACTCTTTAGTATAACAAGAGCAACACATGCAGTGTTAATGCTTCCTAATAAGGAACCAATATTTATTATAAACATTCTAAGTATACAAGGGAGATAACTTCTAAAAATACTGTTTTCAGGATCATGCCCTTGTCTTACAACTGTTCCGTGTCACAGTAATCAAATAAAACTGTATTTCAAGTTTCATTTTGATACCTTTTAAAGTGTGTAAAAAATGGACTAAATTAAAGTTTTAGCACGACAATGATTATTAGGACGCAGATGCAGCGATCATTATAGCTAGACTTTTTCTTTAAAACAGACCAGCTAGATCTTTTTTATATTTCTTTGCTTTTAACAGCAATGTTACGGCATACAAATGATATCAGAATGTATAAGTTTCCAATTTTTTACCTTGCAACATGAGTAAGAAGGTGATCAATCAGTGGTACTAGCAGACGATTGGATAAAGCTGACCACACCCCCTCCTCTGATTGGCCATCTGATTTTTGATGATCAATATCTTGATTCTTAAGACATCTATAAGCACTCCCTGTAAAAGTCTTCAAGTATAAATTTTGTAACTGACAATAATAGATTCAAACTTCTTTGCTGTTAATAAAAAACTGTGTGATCAAAACAAGATTAGAAATGTAGGTCTCAGTTACCAGCCCTTGTTTTAATAAGTTATCGGTATGCAAATTTTCAAATATTCAAGAATATTTAATATTTTCCATTCTGTAAATAACTTATCAAATATAGATGTGACTTTAAGCAATTCATTGCACTTAGTTATAAAATAAGTTCCCAAATCTTACTTGACTCATTCCAACAGACAAATAATTCTTGCCATAAGTTAAAGACTGGTTTTAGATTGAAATCATCTATAAATATACATGTATATGTATTGTCAAGAGTATTACCAGCAACAAGATTTCCTGCAAGTTGAAGGACCATCTGATGTGTGGTAAGGTCAAGGGTCACAGATGAGGAGGTTAACAATGATAGAATTAATGGTAATGGACCACCACCTGTACTGCTGGTTAGTTCATCCAGGCTAAATGTACTGAAAATAAAATGTAACAATTCTCAAAAACAAAATATATAAACAGTTATAAATTTAAGTGTTAATGTAAATAAGCATAGCCAAAAGGCAAAAGCATGCTGTAATGTACTTTCAAGTTAACTGAAATGGGAATTATGAAAGTAAATCCACTTCTTTATTCCTTGAGAAACAAAAAGTAAGAAAGTTATATGGATAGCTTCTATAAATGAAAAAATCTAACTTATTCAAGATTAACATATCTTAAGTAACCTGCTAAAAAATACATAAGCACTGATGCAGATTGCTGGTTTATTCATAAGGTAATGTGAATTCATTTAATTCGGTGGACATGAAATTTTGTGGTTTGTCACAAAGAACATTTTTTGTGGGTACTTAAATTTGTTGACTGTTCATTCTTCAAAAAGGTAAAATGTAAATAATGTGATGCTAAATAATCTTACAGCAGAAGAAATGAAATTTTGTCAGATCTTAAATACGTGGATTGACCTGGATAGACCTTCACGAAAATTAGAGCCTCGCAAATAATAATGATTTTGCAGTAACTGTCAGTTTCTTATTGAATAATTATAAATAAAACTACAACATTTGTGCATCAAATAAACTGACCTAGATCCACTCAGTGACCTTGTTGGAGGTCGTCTATATTTACTTGTTGTTTCTTTAGGAAGTAAAGGTACCGGAACAGCACAACCCCAGGCATGTGGATAACAACTAGTCTCATACACCTCGGACAGCATACACAATGCTTGACAACATCCAGCCTGGAATAACAAAATATGGTGATACAAGAAGCGCCACAATGCGACGAAAACCAGGTTTTCAACAACCAAGTTTTAATGTGACAGCAATCTATAGGTCAAAGTGCACTGAAGTTATTGAGTAGAAGCTAAAAATTCTATTGTAAGCAAATGACCTTGACCTTGCTCCAAGATATCTTAGTGGCAATCCAAAGCTGCAACTCAGCAAGTTTGGTGTCAATAGGTGAAAGCAAACAAGTTATAACATGAAAACTAAATACATTAACCTTTATCACAGACACCTTGGTAGCAATCCAAAGCTGCCTCTTGATATAAGCTACCCATTCATCAAGTTCGGTGTCAATAGGCCAAAGCAAACTCAAGTTATTGAGCAGAAACTGAATTTCTATTTTTAGTATCAGTGACCTTGACCACTAACCACTGACACCTGGGTAGCAATCCCAAGCTGCCTCTTGATATAACCAACCCATACACCAAGTTTGGTGCCATTAGGCCAAAGCAAACTCAAGTTATTGAGCTGAAACTGAATTTCTATTTTAGAAACAGTGACCTTGACCTTGATGACAGTTGCCTAGGTAGCAATGCCATGCTGCCTCTTGATATAAGCTACCTACACACCAAATTAGGCGTCAATAGGCCAAAGCAAACTCAAGTTATTGAGCTTAAACTTAATTTCTATTTTTAGTTACAATGACCTTGACCTTGATCACAGACACCTGGGTAGCAATCCCAAGCTGCCTCTTGATATAAGCTATCCATACACCAAGTTTGGTGTCATTAGGCCAAAGCAAACTCAAGTTATTGAGCAGAAACTGAATTTCTATTTTTAGTAACAATGACCTTGACCTTGATCTAGCAATCCCAAGCTGCCTCTTGATATAAGCTACCTACACACTAAGTTTGGTGCCAATAGGCCAAAGCAAACTAAAGTTATTGAGCAGAAACCAAAAGTTGACGCCCGACTGCCTGCCCACCCGCCGAGTTTGGCATTACAATAACCCGGTTTTCGTTGAAAACCTGGTTAAAAATAACTATGTGGAAACTAAAATCTTTTTCAACCAATCATAATTTAAAATAAACAGAAACAAGCTCTATTTGCACATACATCATATTATGTCAACAATGATTATCTGTTTATATGAAGATCACACTCTTGATGTATCAGCAAATAAATCAGTAATCTAACAGGTTGGATGTATTTTGCTATCTGGCATTGTGTAGTGTTTTCCACTTCTTAAATTAAGTTGAGAAAATGCACAGCATGAGCTTAATTAATATTTAATGGTTTTAAAATCATTCCAATTCAGTGATTAATTTGAATATAATTTTTTGCTTACTTTTTCATCAATTTTTGATTTTCTGAATATACATGTATTATCAACAATTTTGTTTGTTCATCTTTTTTTAAAAAGAAGTGCAGCTGGTACAAATTGATAGTTTAAACTTGGAAGATTTAAAATAAGACCAATTTACTCATAGTTCAAAACATTATAATTCCTTACAATAAGATATTTTGATTTTGCCATGTTAAGTTTTTCCATGAGAGATAGGACCAGTCTGGACAGGACACTTTCTACATTAGATTGTACAACCAGTCGAGGTGTCACATGATACGGTTTGACCAATCCCTGTACAGGAGGTGGAGGCTGCTGGCACCAGTCATGTAATGTGGGAACCAGGAAATTGTCAATGTTATTCCTTGTAACAGCAATAATAGGGTCTTGATGAGGGTAATCCACTGGATAGAACAACTGCTTCACCAATCTGTAACAAAAGATAAAGTTTATATTCAGATATAGGGAAAGATATCTACTACTGTCTACACAGACACTTCATCTAAAACGTTTTCACAAGTCAACTCTAACCACTACTCCTTCACCCCAGCGAATAGACTTTGTGTTATGGATTTCAAAATTGTTATGCAGAGACTGTCAAAAAGTAAAATCCTTGCTAAAAGCCCAGGCAGTGAGATTTGGGCATATTGCCATCCGTTTTACTCAAGCACAAAACCACTGCATTGATCGTGCAGGTCAGGGACAAGCAAAAACTTTTGTAAACATCGTGTATAAATGTATTTCATTTAATGCCTAAAATCTTTTAGTTCAAGAAGTGTATTATAAAGTAAATCAAAACTGGAGAAATATAGCACACCTGATTCAATTATTCATGAATGTGTGAATATCATGTCAATCTTATCAACAGAAGATATCTAATTGATGTTATCTAAATATGAGTAAAGACAATACCTAACAAGAGTGTTAGCAGCAGATTTCCTCACTCTACCATCCTCATCTCCTATATACACTAACACTATTTCCTCCAATATATGATCTTGTAAAGATAGTGGCTGCATTAAAACATAAAACTTGTACAATCAGAATGGTATCTTATAACAAGAGATATTATATGTTCCTGACTGAATGGAATTGCTTTTCAGTACAAACAAGATGAGCATAATATACATTGTATCTACATTCATATAGTTTTCACTTTATTCAAACATCTCACTTGCTTAACAATTATAACATACACAGGTATCACAGATAAACTTACATTGTATTTTGAATTAACATTAATTGCAAATGTGAAATCAAATAAAAAATGCAGATTTCTTCTCCATCACTTTTGACAAATTTTCACAAATTGCCCAGTCAAATCTATTCATAATCATATTTAAAGATCCTGTAACTCAAATCTTTATTGTTTTATATCATAAATCTGATGCTCAAATGAAGATTTATCAATATTATAAGTTCAAAGATGCATTATTACAACAAGCAAGACCTTTAATTATTTACAATCAATATAAAACTGGCTTTTTGTTTAAAAGTGTTGTCCCGTCATGGCAATCAGATGTTTGTTTAAAGTAATATTACCACAACCCATCACAAGCTCTCTGTCTATTGACTAAAAACATACATTGGATTAATTTTTAACATTGAAAGAATCAAAATCATGATATATTATTCTAAAGTAGACAATACCCCTAGGAATTGTTTGTGTCCAACTTTTACAGCACCACAGGTATGCTCTAGATGTCTAATAACCATAAAGTCTAAATTCTTCACCAGATCCATTACTTCTACCTGCAAAAAATAATAACAGCAAAACTATATCACAAGGAAAACTAATTACAACTTCATCAAAATATATAGTCAAAGGAACTGTTCACCTTTTCTGTGTACAAACAGCACTATTTTGTGGGATGCTTTTTTAACTTGCTTATTACAAATATCTGTGACTAAAGAGCAAAAATATAAACTGCAAATCAATTTCACACACACAATAGTACAAATTATTAAACACTTAATACTTATTGCGTTTCTATAAGATAAAATAATGACTTACCTTCACTAGCCAGTATGAGTTATTTTTCACTTGAAGAAGTTTGAGCAAAGCTTTGATAGCCAGGTAACCATGGTTACTGTGTATAAGTTTAGGTAGACATGTTGCTAGGGCAGACACAGCAAGCCTTGCTGCCACAGATGAGGAATCTTCTGTTATAAACAATAATGTCTCTACCAGGCTCGACAAACATAAATCTCCTGAAATATGAGGAATCTTCTGTTATAAACAATAATGTCTCTACCAGGCTTGACAAACATAAATCTCCTGAAATATGAGGAATCTTCTGTTATAAACAATAATGTCTCTACCAGACTCGACAAACATAAATCTCCTGAAATATGAGGAATCTTCTGTTATAAACAATAATGTCTCTACCAGGCTGGACAAACATAAATCTCCTGAAATATGAGGAATCTTCTGTTATAAACAATAATGTCTCTACCAGGCTTGACAAACATAAATCTCCTGAAATATGAGGAATCTTCTGTTATAAACAATAATGTCTCTACCAGACTCGACAAACATAAATCTCCTGAAATATGAGGAATCTTCTGTTATAAACAATAATGTCTCTACCAGGCTTGACAAACATAAATCTCCTGAAATATGAGGAATCTTCTGTTATAAACAATAGTGTATCTACCAGGCTTGACAAACATAAATCTCCTGAAATATGAGAAATCTTCTGTTATAAACAATATTGTCTCTACCAGGCTTGACAAACATAAATCTCCTGAAATATTAGGAATCTTCTGTTATAAACAATAATGTCTCTACCAGACTCGACAAACATAAATCTCCTGAAATATGAGGAATCTTCTGTTATAAACAATAATGTCTCTACCAGGCTTGACAAACATAAATCTCCTGAAATATGAGGAATCTTCTGTTATAAACAATAATGTCTCTACCAGACTCGACAAACATAAATCTCCTGAAATATGAGGAATCTTCTGTTATAAACAATAATGTCTCTACCAGGCTTGACAAACATAAATCTCCTGAAATATGAGGAATCTTCTGTTATAAACAATAATGTCTCTACCAGGCTTGACAAACATAAATCTCCTGAAATATGAGGAATCTTCTGTTATAAACAATAATGTCTCTACCAGGCTGGACAAACATAAATCTCCTGAAATATGAGGAATCTTCTGTTATAAACAATAATGTCTCTACCAGGCTGGACAAACATAAATCTCCTGAAATATGAGGAATCTTCTGTTATAAACAATAATGTCTCTACCAGGCTGGACAAACATAAATCTCCTGAAATATGAGGAATCTTCTGTTATAAACAATAATGTCTCTACCAGGCTTGACAAACATAAATCTCCTGAAATATGAGGAATCTTCTGTTATAAACAATAATGTCTCTACCAGGCTTGACAAACATAAATCTCCTGAAATATTAGGAATCTTCTGTTATAAACAATAATGTCTCTACCAGGCTTGACAAACATAAATCTCCTGAAATATGAGGAATCTTCTGTTATAAACAATAATGTCTCTACCAGGCTCGACAAACATAAATCTCCTGAAATATGAGGAATCTTCTGTTATAAACAATAATGTCTCTACCAGGCTCGACAAACATAAATCTCCTGAAATATGAGGAATCTTCTGTTATAAACAATAATGTCTCTACCAGGCTTGACAAACATAAATCTCCTGAAATATTAGGAATCTTCTGTTATAAACAATAATGTCTCTACCAGGCTGGACAAACATAAATCTCCTGAAATATGAGGAATCTTCTGTTATAAATATTAATGTCTCTACCAGGCTCGACAAACATAAATCTCCTGAAATATAATAATGATTTAAACACAATGACAAATATAATATGAAAATAACACTAAAAATAAGAGTTAAGGAGTCTATGACATTTCAAATGCTTTAATTTAAAGAAAAAAATAATTTGACAAAAAAATGATATAAACATTTAAGAGCTGTACCTGTCACTCACTTTTTGTTGCCATTTATTACATGTACAATCTCATTCAGTTTATGCTAAATATTTTATATAATTTCTTTAATGTTTTTTTTTTATAAAATAAAATGTTAGTCACTACATTATGAAGAATGAAGAAACATTTAGATGCCCTTCCGAGACTTTTACAGGCTCAATCAGGTATAAAAAATAAGGTCAGGTATTTGTACCAAATGCCTCGAAAAAATACAATGTCATGCAATTTTAAAATAATTTTACCTGTTTTATCAGTGTGTAGTTTGACCCATTTATCAAAGTTGCCCCTTCCCTCTGTGAGGATTGCAGCTATAAGATTACCAATTATGATGCTACAGTTACCCTTTAACTGAGGGTCAGGATGACTTGCATACAGAACTATATCACGTATTATTGCACTTGCCTCTGCACCTGAAAACAATGTTCTTAATCAAAATCATAACTGATAGATATGTTTTACATGTTGTTCAACAAATGTATATATATACATGTACATATATGTATATGCTTTGTTAAAGATTTACAATTAAAATTGCTTAGCCGCAAATTGTTACAATTTTGTCAAAAATACATTTTTATAAAGACTTGTCCGAAATTCAGAGCATTTGTAAAAAAATCTTATCAAAAACATATAAGTACCTTGTGTTTTTTGTAACTTCTGAAGGAACAATGATGGGGCCAGCTTGACTGCACTTGCCACATTACCAAGTGCCAAACTTTTAACACTGACCCTTACCCTCCTGTCTGACATCAATTCTCCTGGTTTGCCTGATAGTAAGAACCTACCACAGATTACCCTCATACAGTAAACAAGAGGTACACCCTCCGTCTCTGACCCAATCTTATCTAGAATATTCTCCACACTTTCTGTTACTACTGCAGGCACAGGTTCGTTTATCTCTGGTTCAACAATCTCAGGATTACCATTCATGTCTTGTCCTATTATCTCCAATCTGCCCTCAATCTTATTATGGGTTGGACTTAGACTCTTTATACTAAGAAGAGTTTCTCTACTCCCTGTATTAACATTTGATAAAACAGATTGTTCTGATTTGTCATCTTGTATATCGCCTATTTCAACATTAGAGTAATCTGAATCACAAGTTATCACAACACCTAAATCATTCTCTGATTCAACACTTTCAGGGCTTCCTTTAACTGTATCTGAATCTGCAGAACTTTGTTCATGTAACACTGATTCTGATTGGTTTATTTCTGAAGAATATGCAGATGAAGCTGTGTCTGACACTCCTGATTGGCTCTTTATGTCACATGACTCTGATTCCTCATCCAATCCAGTATCTTCTGATGTAACTGACAACTGACTGGTTGAGGGAACTTCAGCAAGAACTGAAAGAAATGAAAATGAAAATGGTTCCATTCATAATACTTAGCTAAAATGTCACATCACAAAGTTATTGATAAATAGTTTTACATAGTCAGGTGCTTTATGTTTATGTGACATTTCAATGAAACATAGAAATATGATCAAAAAGAAAAATCAAATGGACTATTTTATAAAAATATAATTTAACAAACAACAATAATATATTGTTCCATATATGCAAAGAGCGAATAAAATAATGTTTTGAACAAAATCTTTACAGTACACATAGAACAGGCATTTACAATAACAGAATGTTACATATTAGAAGATTTTGCATTTAATTCAAGTCAGAAACAGACTTAAAGAAAGATTACATTCATCAAAATAATCTATACTTTTACAATTGATAAGAGGGTTATGGAAAATATTAGCATAGATTTACTAGATAAGTAAAATGTTACCATTGGTGTGAGATTTCATATCTTTCTTGTATATAAATGTTTCCTTGATTCCTCCATCTCTTGTCAGTACTGTTTTCAAACTAGTGGGTGGGGTACGTAATAATTGTTGTAAGGCTTCGAGACAAGAATTCACAATATTATGATCGGAATGACTCAAATGGTAAACAAGCAACTGGTAAACCTAAAATCAAATAGAGAATTACATTAAAATCAGATATACATGTACACTTATTGGTGTCACCAAACAGAGGATATTGAATGAGTGTACGTTCAATACTGAATTTATTGCACAAGTTGAATAAAATTATATTATACGAGCCTCTGGCGAGCATAATATTATTTTATTCAACTTGGCAGTAAATTCAGTAATGAACTTACACAAATTTAATATTCTATTTATCACATACCCAAAATAAAGACTGTTGAAAGTGAAATAAGAGTCATTTTTCATTGATGCACCTATAATATAACGCTAACATTTAGCGTGTCTTTACACTATGTTTGTATAACGCTAATGACGTCACGTCAAAATATATGCACGGCCGTGCAATACCATTTTTACGGAGTCGCAAAATCGGCACAGGTGTGTGATAAATTTATTTATGTACTGATATTTGTGTAAAAAAATCTATTATTTTTAGTTATATCAAATTCTTCTGATGTATATCTGATCCTGAATATTCACCTCTATCTAAACTTCATTCTTATTCGTTCATTCTTCATTCTGCTTCTAGTTTATATTATATTGTCACAATGTATTTTTTTAAGAATTACAATAATCAATTGCAGTGAAAGTCAGAATGATTATTTTAGATTTTATGTATTCAAAACCTGTACATATACCAGTAATATAAGAAAACAGACAAAGACATAAATGAAATTATTTATTTGTTACAAAATATGAATCTATTTTATGAAACAAATCAATAAATCAGATAGATCAATTAATTATTCTTTAAATTCCAATGACAAGTATACTTGTCATATTTGCAAATAGACCATACTGGTTGGGGACCACCACAAGAGCTGTCCGTAAGACAGCGCGCTCGACTTTTTTATTGCTTGCCAATAAAAAAAGTTTTTGCAGTAAAAGGCAATACAAGAATCTCTGTATTTTTAAAGTGAACAATGGCCATGAGCATTAAGATATTTAGTGAAGAATTATTTTATTATGACATAATTTATGGTAAAGTGAACAAGTGGATAGGAATGAATTTTTTTAGATTTTTTAAGTTTTTTAGTGCTTGCCTATAATACAAAACATTGACAGTTAAGGGCCATAATTCAAATAAAATCTTTGACAGAATTACCTTCTCCTGGACATGTTTGGGAATCATGATTGTAAACAAGTATTCCAACTTTCAAATTAATATCTCAAACAGTTCAGTCAAAAAGTGGACTGGTACTAAAAACTTAACCAAGATTCTAAGTCGATAAAAGGCCTTAATTTTTAAAACAAATCCTTGACAGAGTTACCTTCTCTTGCGTACAGATGGGGGTAATGATGTGAAATAGCATTAAAAGTTTCAAAGCAATAGCTCAAAGGGTTAAGGCAATAAGTGGATTTTACCCATATTCAATGTATTTTCTAAGTCAAAAAGGGGCATAATTCTGTCAAAAACCTTGACAGAGTTATGTCCTCTTGTCTGTTGATGAAGGTCGTGATGGTAAACAAGTATGGTCAGTTTCAAAGCAATACCTCCAATGGTTTTGAAATAAAGTGAGGTGGTACAAAAAACTTAACCAAGCTCAATACACTTTCTAAGTCAAAAAAGGGCCATAATTCTGTCAAAAACCTTGACAGAGTTATGTACTCTTGTCTGTAGATGGAGGTTATGATGGTGAACAAGTATGGTAAGTTTCAAAGCCATACTTGTAATACTTCTGAAATAAAGTGGGGTGGTACGAAAAACTTAACCAAGGTGTGACGCCAACGCCGACGCCGGGGCGAGTAGGATAGCTCCCCTTTTCATAGAAAAGTCGAGCTAAAAACCGGACAACCACCAAACCCAGACGGCCCTGAAAATGCTTAATTTAGTATTTTCTTTGTTCAGTGGTAATCTGTAACTTTTTTATCAACAATAAATGTATGTTTCTTCTAAAATTAAGTAAAAAAATATATTTCAACCTACGTAAAAGGTAATATTTTAATGTCTATTTCAAGAATGTTGACAATGAAATTTGGGGGTCAAGAAAGCAATGCCTGACCTCATATACCAGCTATAATCATTTGCAGAGTAAACAATAGAATATCCAAAACTTCAGCATTTGTTGCTGAAATATTGTATATTATGTTAAAAATCAAAAATCAAAACACCCAAGCTTTTACCTGAATTAAATCACGTCATGGACATATCTGTCCGGACACATGGTAGTGTAATGTAGACAATATACCCTTCATGTCGAGTCTCAGATATAAGTGTCAATAAAATCAGAAATAAACAAACTAGTTTGTTAGTTAGGAGCAGAACCTAGCTGAACTGTGTCAAATTTTTTGGTCTCTAGGTTAAAAATGATAAAATCTGTACGGAAAAATGTTCCAAAAGTGTCCGGTTGATGGTCTCCGACCACTAATGTTTGTCACAATAAGTAGTACACACATCAGATAAGGGGTTAAGCATGTTCTGACAATACAGAGGAATACAAGCAATTATCATAGTATTGCAAGCAATCCATAAGTCTCCTACCGGTTTGAACCTCAGCAACATTCTGAAGGGCCATTGGCCATTCACTAATGTTTCAATTTTTCTCTATTTTAAGTAAATTTGTTGGAAAAGTTCTTTAACCGATTACTTCATGAGCATTTTGTGAAAAATGGCTGTTTTCATTGAAAAGTCTCCCGTTACAAGTTCAAATTGCTATAATACTATAAAAACTGCTTCAACACTAATCAAACTTGGCACAAATGTTGACTGGACCATTGCCCTTGCAACAACATGCTCAGACTTAAATTTTCTGTTATCATGGCAACGAGGGGACATCTCAAAATTGCCAAAAATCACTATCTTGCGTTGATTTTTTCCATCAAAATTGATTTCAAAGTGCTGCAACTTCTCAATGGATTGAGATACAGTCAAATGCTTTTCAGCGTTGGTTACACGTTACCTTATGATCAATCTGGGGTCATTTATAGCCTCTCACAAGTCCAAAATTTTCTTGGCGATGAGGGGGACTCCGCCCCCCTTCAAACCCCCCCGTAACAACCAATTTTTTTCAAAATAGGAAGAAAAGATAAAGACATGCATAAACTCCAGACTGCCATCTACCCATATGTCAAGTTTCATAAAAATATTTCCAGTACTTTTTGCGTTATCACTGCATCCAGTTTATATGTAAAATTTGCCATATTTTCAGTCTATTTGTTGCCATAGCAACCTGAATTTTCAAAATAGGAAGAAAAGATTAAGACATGCATAAACTCCAGACTGCCATCTACCCATATGTCAAGTTTCATAAAAATATTTTCAGACTTTTTGCGTTATCACTGGATCCTGTTTATATGTAAACTTTGCCATATTTTCAGTCTATTTGTTGCCATAGCAACCTGAATTTTCAAAATAGGAAGAAAAGATAAAGACATGCATAAACTCCAGACTGCCATCTACTCATATGTCAAGTTTCATAAAAATATTTCCAGACTTTTTGCGTTATCACTGGATCCAGTTTATATGTAAAATTTGCCATATTTTCAGTCTATTTGTTGCCATAGCAACCTGAATTTTCAACATAGGAAGAAAAGAGAAAGACGTGCATAATCTCCATGCTGCCATCGATCCATATATCAAGTTTCATAAAAATATTTTCAGTACTTTTTGCGTTATCGCAGGATCAAGTTTTGTGGACTGACGGACTGACAGACAGACGGAGAGTAAACCTAAAGTCCCCTCTGGTAAACCGGTAGGGGACTAATAAACTTTACACCTAACACTTGATCTATAAAAAGTTAAATCCTTATTTCAAAACATCAACCATGTGTCAGTCTTTCCATCATTATCATAACAAAACATTGACATGACCTTATAAAGGTCAACATTTGTCATTCATTTTTAATAATTCCCAGCAAAAAAAAGATAAAACTTTTTATGCCAAGAAATCAAGGAAGTACGTACAGTAATGATTTGTTCAGTTGACACAGTTTCTGTCTTCTGTTGTTTTGTCTCACCAAAGCTTCCTTTTAGTCCCTGACCTTCGAGACTATTTCCAGACAACAGGGGGATCACATTACGTATACACATAATTACACCAACCAAAACACGTCCCTCTAACTCCCTCTCTACTGGTAACACTATCTCTGAATTTGTTATAATTTAAAACAAGATATAAATGTTACATGTCAAAGATGAGTAATCAATTTCTTTAAAATTCAGACTTCAGAAAATAGAGAAGAATTTAAGAAATATATTACTCCTTTGTATATGGTATGCTTAATATGACTGAATATACTATTTCTATCACTATAATTTTAATGTTTTACAAACAGGGAAAAGGCTTTCTTTATAAACCAAGGTTTATTTTTTATATAAAGTGATTAAACTAGCATGTTTCACTGTATTTGAATACTTAACATTTTTTCTCTATCCAGAACACAATGTCTATTTTCATAAATGTCAGTGGAAGGATTGCTGCTCTTAGGTTAGTTTTTATAAAATATTTCAAGTACAATTTATCAGTTTAAAAACATTGTACATCACACCAGAATTCTATATTATGTGATATCTAGTGCAAGCTACAATAAGTTTGATTATTTTAGATGGATGTAATATCTAACTTTTACATATTATCATTGAATATTTTATGTTAAAAACAGATGATAAGTACCTTAGAACATGTATACAAAAGCTGTAAGCATTCTATAAAGTTCATTACCACTGAAAGCATAATGTGAATTGCTCATACTTGATAACTGATGATGTGAATTGGTTTTCTTGGTGGGTTTATTTGTGAGCTTTTGTGTGTGTGTGTTTTGTTGTTGTTTTTTTTCTTATTTGTTTTTTTTTTGTGTTTTTGGATTTTTTTTGGGTTTTTTTTCCCCCTTTTTTATGAGGGAGGGGGTGTTTGTGTGTTTTTTGGATTTTTTATGTGGTGGGATATCAAACTTACCTAAAAGACTGACTAGCAGAAATTCTATAAATGTTGGAGGATTTCTAGAGTACTGACAGATTAATGTAAGACAATTTGCCGCAGCTCTTCTACACGGTGCCAGGTTTGAACTCAAGTTTGGCAGGAATGCTTTTATCAACATCTAAAAATAGAATATAATGTAACAATAAAACATAAAATTGTATAGATTAAGTGCAAGATGTTCACACAAGTCTGCATTCCAACATCTGTCCATCAACCTTTGTAATTTTCCAAATTTAGAAAATATCACCTTGAAGATCAAGGTCATTTACGAATCAGTATCATATCCACATGTATCTCAATTTATGAAATCTAGATTAAACTTACACCATAAATAGGGTAAAGCAAAGCTTTAAATTGTCAGCAGACACCCAAACAAGATAAAATGAATATGCTTTCAGATCAATGGAGATGAAATATTGATCCAATTTTTGGAAAGATCCCCTGACAAGTTATTTGAGTTATTGCTTGGATGTTACTGGTTATTGGTAGTTGCTATTTTTATCTGCCCACTAACCTTGACCTCTGTATCAGTGGCAAACACCATTAAAGCTGGACAGATTTTCATCATAGATGCCAGCATAGTTTCTTGTATACCTTCATCTTCACGTCTACATATTCTAGCCACACATGGCAATAAATTCACTATATAAGGTCTGTAAAAACAACAAATTCATTATAACTTAACATTTTATATAATAAAACAGAAGCTCATTTAGAAAAAATTAAACAATTATGCTATTTACATTAATCAAATAAAGAATGAGACATCATTTTTGCAGATTTGGTTATCAATTCTTGTAGAACATATCAATATGTGCACTAAAATGATGTTATCAATTAACAAAATGACATATGTGATCATATTGCTTTTAAAAAATGAGAAAGAAGATATCACAATAAATACTTTCAGAAACTAACTGTTATATCACAGAAAAGTTTAGTGACAAAAGCTTATTATTGTAAGCACCAAGACTTATATGTTCCAATGCTTTATATTTCTTATTTGAATAGAATTTATTTTTCATATAGCAATAAAATGATGAGCAACAACCACAAAAAATAACAAAATATTTGCCATTTCCATGGTATATTAATAATTAACTTATACACACCTGCATTTTTGAGGTCTAATCAGATGAGCCATTTCCGAGAATCTTGAGAGTGCAGCACGTAGACAGCGAGATGATCCATTCTTCTTTATCTCTTTATATAGTTCTACCTGTAATCTACCTAGATTTGTCTCTAATAATGTCTGTGAATAAAAATGTAGAACTTTATAATACAACAAGACCTGTTGGTATGACAGGGCACTCAACTATTCTCAGTGCTTGATAGTAAAACAGGAGCTTGGATAATGTAGAGATTTTTAAGTTCAAAATTGGCCATAATTCTGTCAATATCCATGTGAGGGTTATGGGCTTTGGACAATGACCTTCTATGAAGGTCTCAAATAAGAGCCTGAAGTTTCAATCAATTCCCTTCAGTAGTTTTGATGTAGGTCTAGACCAATGAGTGCAAAGTTTCAGATCATTTGCTCACTTCGTTTTTTCCAGATTAAATTAATTATTCTAATTTTGAAAGATGATCCAAACACTTTTCACTCAAATTGGGCTAGGAATAGTGCAGAAATATGATTATCAGTTTATTTCTGAGTACATTTCTTGATTTTCTTTTGCATATATTTCTGTTTAAAATGCCCAGTCTGACCTATGAAAGAAATTCAAATTTTATGTTATTAGGCTTTTAGACCTTGGTGAAGTTCCTTTAATTTTGGAGTGTTTTTTTTTTCCAACTACATAACAAGTGATTCTTGATTCAGATATTCTAACAAAATTTATATAGTAACATCAAAATAGGAAAACTAATCAGGTAACAATACCTTGATAGATTTGTTGAGACATTCATCAGCCACCATTCGTATATCTGACTCCGGATCATCACAAAGGTTCAAGAAGGTTTCTATGGCAATTCCAAGAAATTTTGGGAAATCTGACACTGACCTATAAAAAATTAAATTTCACATGTTAAAAAATACATAAATAATTAATATTTATGTATCCTTTTTCTTTAGCTAAAAAATATCACAATCACCAATTTGATTGTTTAGCAATATGCAGAAGTATTTTCACACAAAAAAAACCCACTTGTATTGATATAGCAATTCCTCATTGTGCGCAAACGAGTACTCATAGATTTATGTTCATAATGAAGGAAAACTTACAACTAAATTAAGAAAGACCACACCTCTCTAAAATCAATGTCTAAGTTTTAAATCTACAGAATTACTTTAACAGACAATAAAGGAAAATTTTTGTTTCACAAACTTGAAAATGTTCGTTTATTATTTTAATAACAAATTTATTTATATACTCACAATATTATAAATATATTTATCCTAGGTTAAGGTAATCAAAGTTTTACTGTATTGAAGTTCATTGAATATGATACGCACGATTTTCTCGTGCGTCAGTAATATATAATAAAGTCGGATAGATGTGTATATCATTCGAGGTTTTCTGCATTGCTACACACGTTTATTTTACTCTATCGTGCACCGAATATTAATGGCTACCAACGAAGAATTAACGAGAGAGTAATTCAGCCACTTTCAGCGGCAGACGAGATTCGAACACAGAATTGTTTGATTGTATCGCCACTATTTTGACAATCAATTCAAATCGTTTTAGGGAGATTTTAGGCAGGAAGTGCGAGCAACTTCAACGACGACCTTCATAAAGTGGAATTCGGACGCGCTGTAAACAAAGGGCGAGGAAAGACCGTTACCAGTGTCTACGCCGAGTAACCTGTACTATACTCCTAGTTCTTCTTTTGTTACTCAAATCGAGGTCATGCGTTAACAAGAAGGATGGGTTTCGCATTAGGAGGATGGGGACACTTCTAGGCTGAAGTCCAAATACAACGGAAGTTAATTGCCCTATCAGCGGGTTTTCTCCGGCTTCAGCAGTTTTCAGCCAGATACACAGTCTGCCGTTCCAGAAAAACTGGTTCAAGACTCAAGACTCGGACACTGTCAGAAATTCAAAATGAACGCTATGTTAAAGATGAGTATGATTTTATAGATTTATTCAACTGTACAAAATATTTCGTTATCATCAGATCATAGATATGAATTTCTATATTTCGAGTATCAGAAAAGTATTATTCATAACCACATATTCAAATTACATAATTCTTTTGTCAAGGGGAGTTTAATTATAATAATAATAATAAAAAAAAAAAAAAAAAAAAAAAAAAAATGGTCGAGTATGAAAAAGCTAAGAGTTCAACAAGGCTAGAGCTGTCTGCTATATAATTTGCTCTACAAAGTATCGTATTGTTTATTTCTAGTAAATGAGTCTGATGGTGTACCGACAATCAAAACAGTGTTAATATATTAATGGAGGAAGCTTGAAGCCAAAGTTACATTCCGTTGTTGTTTACATTTTTTTATTTTTGTACTTTAAAAGGTATACGTTCACATATAGAGAGGGTTCAAATGGTCCAAAATCAGTTTGCAGATCAAATAAGTAACTTTTTATAACGAACAGAATTTTTTCAATGTTTTGGATGATATGACGGGACTTTTCTCGGTTTACCGATTTGTAATCATTACAATTATAAAGTTAAAAAATTTAATTCTTTGTTCTGGGTCCCGGGAACAGTCGATGCCATTTTAGTTAATTGGTCAGGGGAAAATAACTGGATGGTTACTTAGTTTTTAATTGTACCTCATTAGCCATCAGCACCGTTCTGGCAAATGTTGTTTAGTAATAGCAGTATACCCAAAATATACATTCTTGATATTTTGAGTTTACCACAAGATAAGATATTTTGGTACAATATTTGAGTAGATAAAATTTATTATTTTTTTTTGGATCTGACAAATTCAACTAACCGATTACTAGTATATTGTTCTCTTTAAATATTGACAGTTATGTTTAAGTGCTTGTTTATAATATAAGTTGATGAATCACTTATGTGAAATCATCTTACAGCCAAAATCGTGCACAAATACTACCCTTACATTATCATATAATAATGGATTATACATGGAGTAAGTTCGTTTATTTTTAAAAAACGATGACGCGATTTATTAAATTATAATTTTGTGTGGTACGCCAGCCGATTGGCAGTGGCAAGCGCCGATTGGCGAGAGTTATTTATTTAGAAATTTATGTGGTACGCCAGCCGATGGGCAGTGGCAAGCGCCGATTGGCGAGAGTTATTTATTTATAATTTTGTGTGGTACGCCAGCCGATTGGCAGTGGCAAGCGCCGATTGGCGAGAGTTATTTATTTATAATTTTGTGTGGTACGCCAGCCGATTGGCAGTGGCAAGCGCCGATTGGCGAGAGTTATTTAATTATTAATTTATGTGGTACGCCAGCCGATGGGCAGTGGCAAGCGCAGTTTGGCGAGTTATTTATTTATAATTGTGTGTGGTACGCCAGCCGATTGGCAGTGGCAAGCGCCGATTGGCGAGAGTTATTTATAATTTTGTGTGGTAAGCCAGCCGATTGGCAGTGGCAAGCACCGATTGGCGAGAGTTATTTATTTATAATTTTGTGTTGTACGCCAGCCGATTGGCAGTGGCAAGCGCCGATTGGCGAGAGTTATTTATTTATAATTTGTGTGGTACGCCAGCCGATTGGCAGTGGCAAGCGCCGATTGGCGAGAGTTATTTATTTATAATTTTGTGTGGTACGCCAGCCGATGGGCAGTGGCAGGCGCCGATTGGCGAGAGTTATTAAATTAGAAATTATGTGGCACGTCAGTCGATAGGCAGTGGCAAGCGCTGTTGTCCGAGCTTTTCTTTATTTTAAGATTTACGCTTTTATTTCACTTGCTGAATTTAAGTGGTCATAAAAACGGTTTGACTGTGGTTGAATTTCAGCTGTGAAGGCAGATTGTAATATGTTTTATTACGAATAACGAATCGACTTGAAATAAGCGTGATGAACGGTTTTATTTCATACAGACACTGTTTTCAATTATTTTTATGTTTTTCGTTTATATTTAGTTGTATTTTGACTGCTCATATTTTTTTAAATTTTGAAAATTTATTGGAATTCATTTTATATAGATTTGATAGCTTCAGAGTTGTATAGTCATTTGGTAATTTACATGAATATGGAGTTGTCCCTGTATGCCAGTGTTCCGAGAGTTGTTTTAAAGTCTCATGTTGTCAATACTAGCAAAAAGTACCAACGACCATTCAATACCTTGTGTCAAACTTAATTCTTTACCAGCTTTCAACACCGATTTTTCGCTGTATTTGATTTCAATCATTCAAAAATGTAATTCTTCTGTTGACGATGCCTATTATGGAATTAAATGGGCTCATGATTTAGCGGAATGTTCTATTAACCCTTGTCATTCAACTTTAACAAAGTCAGTTAGGGAGGCAGCTCACAGGATTCTTCCTGTTACACCGGAAATGTTAAATAAATTAGTTTCTATGTATAACAGCGATGCAAATAATATGTTTAGATTAAGAAGTACATGTATTACAATGTGTTTGCTTGAATATACAGGCTTCTTGAGATATTCGGAATTATCTTGTTTTGAGACGTTCCGATATTACTTTGCATGGCGATCATAAGGATTTTTCATTGAAAAGAGTAAAACTGACATTTAAAGAGATGGTTTAAATTAGTCTTGGATTGAAAAAAAAAAAAAAAAAAGTTTGTAAAACTTGAAAACATTTTTAGTATCATTGCTTAATTTATATCTTTAATGTTCTTAAATTAACGATGATTCTAATGAGTTCATATTTCGTTCTCTCACTTACTGTAAATATAGACAGTATTATAAATTAATATACACAGACTACGAGATCAAGGCAGATAATTCTGGATATGTTTTCCTCAGTTAGATTAGATAAATCTCATTGTTGATTACATAGTTTAAGATCGCGGACCGGTGGCGTAGTGACATTATGTTAAAAGATAATTTAAACAAACGATTATCAGTTACAAAGAATCTGGGCGTATTAGAAATCAAATATGAAATACATATTATATTGATATTGATTAATATTAAAAATACAACATTGAACATTTTTTTTTGATATTATAAAGAGTTTCATTGCACCCGTTCTTTGTTTTTGAATTCGATATACGGCAATGCAGATAACAAATCCTAAATGTGAATTTATGTATTTGTTGTTCTTTCTTCCTTCGATTGCCTTTATTATGGGATAAATAATTTATTTACGTTTGAGCGTAGCGAACTAGGAAATAAATATATTTTATCCTAGGTTAAGGTAATCGAAGTTTTACTGTTTTGAAATTCATTGAATATGATACGCACGATTTTCTCGTGCGTCAGTAATATATAATAAAGTCGGATAGATGTGTATATCATTCGAGGTTTTCTGCATTGCTACACACGTTTATTTTACTCTATCCTGCACTGATACCCTCCCACCCTCCCGAAAAGTTCACGCAGTCATAGTTAATCTGTACAGTAACAATGATTTTTCTTGGTCCATTTTTATTCTTGATAAATCGTTTTTAATTGTTTAAATCGACACGCCAATTAAAAAGGACAAGCATATTCTTACAACTGCAGAATAATTTTGCAAGGTTTATAATTGATTTATAAATACATAAATGTATTAATGGTAAATGAAGTATGGTATTATAAAGATGCATTTTTAGATTAATTCAGTCAAGTTTTTTACGTTTTTGGTAACGATTTGAATTTAACTAAAAATATTGTTAATTACTTAAGTTTATGTTTTTCAGATTTTTGTTACAAGAACAAGATGTACTACTTTCCCAGGATGTTCGTTATTTTGGAGAACGATTCTTTAGTTAGTAAAATACGATACCTTGAACTTTTATGATTTCAATTTTTATAGTCTGTATATAAGAAGAGATTCCATATTTTATACGTTTTTGTAAATGTTCTGAACTTATAAAGGTGGAAAAGCGTGCAAAATGAGTGTAATATTCGCTTTTAATAGATTTAATTAAAGGGGGTTATTATTTTATGGACTCATTTTATGTCAGAGGCAACTTACGGGAAGGTTTGGCTGGTCTTGAGTTTTGGTTTCCTTACGACGCCCCCTCCCACAATGGAGTTAGGGTTGCGCAGCCGACTCGGCAAGCTTAACGGCAGGAAAGTAACCCTGGTGGTTTTCCATGTTAATGTTGTAATAAAGATATTGAGAAATTTTTAAAAAGAAAGTCCTTTTAGAATTAGATTACAATAGATTTATGAAACGTTGAGTGTTAAGTATGTATTCTGTTTTCTAAGAACATTGTATTTAATGTAGATAACGGCAATTCGATTTTAAACAAATCCTAAAATGTGAAATTATGTTATTTGGGTTGTTCTTTCTTTCCTTCGATTGCCTTTATTATGGGATAAATAATTTATTTACGTTTGAGCGTAGCGAACTAGGAAATAATATTGAGTGAGTGTAGGCTCAATACTGAATGTATTGAACAAGTTGAATAACAAATAAAAAATATATATCATGAAGGCCTCTGGTGAGCAAAATATTATTCTATTCAACAAGTTCAATAAATTTGGTAATGAACCTACTCTATTTATCATATGCCCAAATAAAAGACTGTTTAAAGTGAAAAAGAATCATTTTTCATTGACACGCCAACATTGTAATGCTAATATTTAGCGCATCTTTACACTATGTTTGTATAACATAAATGATGTAAAGTCAACTTATATGCATAACCATGCTAAACCATTTTACAGAGCAAAATCTGCATGAGTATGTGATAAATATATCTATTAACTAGCATAAAGTTTCAATGTGAAAACAATCTTGGGGACAACTTTACAAACAATGTTTCAGACACAACTCACCTCATATTACTAGCACATATACAGTCTGCAATGAGATTGCAGTTCTGAATCTTATCCTTCTTATTCAAAGGTTGATCCTTCTTTCTACAATTCAATAAAACAATAAAATCAATCTAAAGGCAGATACACAAATACAGGCAATGTCAAATTTATTGATGAATCAAAAACAAAAATGTAGACCAGATGTCCTTATACAGCATTTGCTTAATTATTATTGTACAGAACACCGATTATATACATGCATGCAGTAGGATTACCTGCCCCTGAACAAGTTAAAATTGCAAAATAGTAAACATCTAGCTATGTCATACCAATCATCACATTCATTACAAGCCTCGTTTTCATAAATTGCATAATTCTAATAACATTTTTAATCAATATATTGAACAAAATTAACTATGTATATTTTTAGCACTTTAATGAATATGTTTTATTCAACAAAAAGATTAGAATTCACAATTAAAGACTTCTAGGATATAAGACATTTTAAGTACTTACTTCACAACAACTTCTTCCACTGCAGAAGTTGCAGGCTGAAAGACTCTGAGAGCCTCAAAGGCCTTAATCAACTTTTCTATAGTTGCCATTTTTGAAGGCAATTTTCTGTCAGCTTGGTTATTTCGTTGATGTTTCTATTTTTTCAAATTACATCAGCTAATTTTGGTTTCATCCTCCTCCTCTGAAATATTTCCTTAAAGTACAAAATCAGAAATGTAGAAACTGATCATTGTAAACCCTCTAAAAATTGAATATGAACAGTAAAATTTTAAAATTTAGAAGTACCATATCACAATACCTTATTTCCAAAGAATATTCACTGACTTAGTATTCCACATTAAATCAGTTGATTGGAATATTGAAAAGTGTTTTAAGTTTAAAAACAGCTGACAAGTTCTTTTAAATTTCTGCTAAAATTCTAAGACTCCTGCTTAAAATGGGAACATCATTGAAAATATATGACCCAGAAAACAAAAAAAACTTATATTTACAAATAATGAAGTAGTTAAGTTAAAAAACTCTTAGTTTCTTTATCTGTTATTTGTCAAACTATTATTTTGGCTGTGGCAGAGCAAGATTTATAAACAACATAAACTTATTGTTATTGCAAATAATTATAGTTCAGCATTGAGAACAAGTTTTCATAATTACTTGAGAAAATACAACATATCAATTAGATTCAACACTGAACATTACTACATACATGTATGATTGTATGAGACTTATACATTATATATTAATTGGAGCGGTGGCCTAGGGGTTAACTTAAGGTGTCTTCTCAACCCAGAGATTATGGGTTTGAGCCCTACTCGGGTCACAACCATGTTTCTTCATATGACACCAGTACTGGTTGGTTCCAGAAAATGGTCTCGAAAGAGATTAATATAAGTTGCAAGAACTTATTTCGCAATCAAGCTAAAATAAATATGTTTAAACCAAAGACTTATAAATACAAAATGAAATGCTTAAACAAAACATAAAACTTAAAGTGATAAGATGCAATCAAGACATACATAATAATCATAATCATAACTTAAGAGCCATCATTCACTCACTGCTCATGCTAACATAGGTCAAGCAAGATATATAAATCTTTAATAACAGCCTCTAAATGTATTGATTCTAACTACTTAATTGATCTACTTAAACGAAAATAATTAACTGATTAAATGATATGTAGGCTATTACTTTTGGAAAGAATCATTATTACTCTTTCAACAGAAGCAATGACAAAGTGTAGAGATAACTGAAATTTGGCTTTACTTCATAATAACTCATCAACTATCCAAAAATATATGTCCGAAATCGTGCATCTGTTGTAATTATCATATGTCAGGTGTCAATGACATTTTTCACATAAAAGACTGCAAAAAATATATAATTGCATGCAGAAACAAAGTGTCCATAAACTATTGTATGGCTGTTAACGACAAGTAATATGAAATGTGAAAATATTACATTTTTTGCAGATTTATAGGAAGTCACGTGAGAAACCAGGATAAAATCTCGTTACCGTTTATACGGACTTTCGACGCCCATTTTGTTAAATTTTCTTGCTTAATCTTAGAATTATATTATGTGTCCCCATTATCCAATTCACTTTATGACTTGACATAGAAATGCATTGAAAATTGATTAAATTGATGTTATTTTCTTGGTTCATCGGCACATTTCAATTGATTACACAGTTACATAAATGCTAGTAATAATGTTAAGAATATAATGTTCCTGATAATGCTCGTGTTACAAGTCCTTTATTCCAAAGGTACATACTTTAATTGCAAGGAAATACTTGGATTACATATTATAATAAGTTCAAAGGTCAGCTGTCAGATTTGCACATAATGACAGAGACATAGATAACATGTTATCTATGTCTCTGATAATGGGTAGTGTATCGATGATGTTAAAAAATCTTAATTGGCAATTTCTAGAGCGAGCGGCAACATAAGCTTTGCTACCCTTCTCTAAAAAATTCAAAACAATCTTTTCAGGGTCGACTATCGTCATCTGACAAAAGTAGAAACCTGAACTACCTGATACCATACTCAAGGACACAGCATATATACTATTTATTTCCCCCACAACTATTCGTTTGCGGAATGGCCTACCCGTGTTTTCTATCTCTTTACTGGGCAGCTGCATCTTTTCTACCTGTTTTAAGTCAGCTTTGTTTTTATCATCTTTTTATCTCAGTCTTGTAGTCTTCTTTTGCTATTGCAAGACAATTAATGCGCCTGCTTAGTGTATTCGTTAACGATTTCGAAGCAGTATGATGTAGATGTACTACTCGCGTTAATAAATTAAATTATGCTTTAATAACAGTGACCTTATTTCACTATAGAAATTGGACGGTGTGTTATGTAAATGAAAGTGAAGTAAAACACACTTCTTACTGTATTGTACGTACATCGCATAACGAGTTCATATATGTCTAATCTAAAACAATTTATATTATCGTCTACAATTGTTCTACCAAGTTCTTATAACCATTTCCGACCTTTCAAGCAAGACCTTAAGTTTCTACTGCTCTTCTAGCAAAGAAATATACTTTGGCAATCATTCTACAAAGTTCAGTCGCTCTGACAGGTGAGTAGGTCCCTGTCATTGTTCTACCTATTTTAGTCTTATTCTACCATTCTAGGAAGTTCCCTAGCTTCTGGCAATATTTTTAGCCTCTTAAATTGTACTGCTTTTTAAATCTTCCCAACAGTCTCTTGACTTAAATCCTTCAATTAAGTTCTTTAATTAAGTGCTTCACTTCTTGGCTTCTTAAATTGTTCTAACAAGTTTTTGGCTGCTTAATATGATAATAATTATTGTTGATGGTATAATTATCTATATATTTATCATTATTATTATTATTATTATTATTATTAAAGAAACGGCAAAAGCCGTCCATATGGCAAATATGCCGAAAAAAAATAGGGACGGCATATGCCGTCCTTATGACAGTAAAAGGCTTAAATCGTTTAAACAAGTTTTTTTTTACTTTTTCAACCATTCTAACAAGTTGTTAGATTTCTTCAGTTGTTCTAGCAAATTCTTGACCTTTTCTATCCTACTGCCATATTCTTGGCTTTTTAAATTGTTTTGTCAAGTTCTTTGCTTCTTCAATTGGTTTAACAAGTTCTTGAATTTCTCCACTCGATTTACAAGTTTTTGGCTTTTTAATCGTTCTACCAAGTCCTTAGACTTCTAGATAGCAAATTATAACTTTTTCAATCGATTTACCAAATGCTTTTTCAATCACTTTGGAAAAAATGTTTACTTCTAAAGTTGTTCTGCCAAGTTCTTTGCCTTTTTAATAGATTTAACAAGTTCTTAGACTTCTTTTAATCATTCTGCCAAGTTCTTTCTTTAGCAATCCGTTTAACAAGACCTTCGACTTTTTCATTCATTCTAGCAAAATCTTAACTTCTTCAATCGATTTATTACGTGGTTGACATCTTCAATCACTCTAGCAAATTGATCACTTTTTAAATTGAATTGTTCTATTAAGTGCTTTTTTTAAAAAATCATTCTAGCATTTTTTTTACTTTCCTCTATCGTTCTTACAAGTTCTTGACTTACTCAATCGTTCTAACAAGCCATTGACTTCCTCGATCTTTCTAACAAGTTCTTGACTTCTTAAATCGTTTTATCAAATTCTTAAATTCTTTAACTATTCTTCTTCATCAAATTTTTGGCTTCTTAAATCGTTCTATCAAGTTCTTTGACTTTTTTAATCGTTCTGCAAATTCCTCAGTCGTCTACAATCTTTCTTTCTACTTATCTGGCCTCTTCATTCTACTCAAATTCTTACACTTCTTAGGATTCTACGTAATTGGGATTACAATTGTCATTTGAATGACACATAATTATATTGATTTTGATAAATCAATCGATATTGGAAGTTGTCATATCTGTAAGGGTTAATTATAACTACAATAATCTTTGTTATGAAACAATCACCAGTGATAAAGGCATTGAGTGCTTGTCCAAGTTCCTTCAGGTTAATTTTGATAATTACTAATATTTAAAATCAATCTGAAAACTTATTATGAATCTCAGTGTATACTTTAAAAGAAATAAGAAACACTATATAGAAACCCACATTTTAATTGTGATAAATCAAAGCATTAATAACACATTAGCACAAGGCTGACTATAAAATAATAACAGAAAAAATAACAGAACACAATTATGACATACTGTACAACAACATACTTCAAAGACTCTGTCATACATAAAAAGGCATCACTTAAAGTGACTTCAATTACAAGACCTAAATGGATCAGGTACAGGTCAGTGAACCATACTTTGTGCATATTTTCAATATATATATATATATATAAACTCTCACTTAGCAACAGTTTTAATAAAAAAAATTTAAGCACTGAGTTCAAAACATATAAAAAGGTAATTTCTAAAGAAACACAGCAGACATGAGGATCAAGTAAAATTACTGGTATATGCTGTATAGTGTCAGAGTGAATATATAATTTGTAAACCATCGGCAGACAGATAGATGGACACAGCCCGTTACCATAGCCTTCTTTTTCTTTCAAAAGGCAGAGGACAATGAAAAAACAACTACAGAGTCAAAACAGAAAAATCATGAATTATATTTATATGAAAATGAACAATAGACTTTTATTTTTTTTCCCTAAAAATGCAAAGAATTCATAGTAAATACCAGGGTTGTCCCAAAAGTCTGTGACAAATCTTATAGACGGTTCATAGATTTGGTGCTAAACATCTAAGGTCTAGCTCGTTGGGTTTTTTAAAAGAAGATTTTTTCAAGTTTTTCCTTTACACATATAGTTAAAAACAATGACACACCTGGGGCAGGGCCAGTTTTGACCCCAGGACTTTTATTTGAACAATCTTTTGTAGACACTTACTAGCAAATGTTTCATGCTTAATATTTAAACTCTAGCTATTTGGGTTTTTTCAAAGAAGATTTTTAAGTTTTTGCTATACACTGTATGATATAAGGAAAATCAATGACCCCCGGGGCGGGGCCAATTTTGACCCCAGGGCTTTTATTTGAACAAACTTTGTAGACACTCACTAGAAGATGCTTCATGCTTAATATCTAAACTCTAGCTATTTGAGTTTTTTCAAAGAAGATTTTTTAAGTTTTTGTTATACACATATAACGAAAATGAATGACCCCCGGGGCGGGCCAATTTTGACCCCAGGGCTTTTATTTGAACAAACTTGGTAGACACTCACTAGAAGATGTTTCATGCTTAGTATCTAAACCTTAGCTTTTTGGTTTTTTTTTCAAAAAAGATTTTTTTAAGTTTTTGCTATACACATATACGGAAAATCAATGACCCCCGGGGCGGGGCCAATTTTGACCCCAGGGCTCTTATTTGAACAAACTTGGTAGACATCCATTAGAACATGATTCATGCTAAAATATCTTAGCTCTAGCTCTTTGGGTTCTTTAAAAGAAGTTTTTTCTATATGCATATAGGGAAAATCAATGACCCCCTAGGGCGGGGCCAATTTTGACCCCAGGGCTTTTATTTGAACAAACTTGGTACACATCCATTAGATGATGTTTTATGCTAAATATCTTAGCTGTAGCTCTTTGGGTTCTTTAAAAGAAGATTTTTTAAGATTTTACTATATGCATATAGGGAAAATCAATGACCCCCTGGGGTGGGGCCAATTTTAACCCCAGGGCTTTTATTTGAACAAACTTGGTAGACACTCACTAGAAGATGTTTCATGCCAAATATCTAAGCTCTAGCTCTTTGGGTTTTTTAGAAGAAGATATTTAAAGTTTTTTCTTTTGGTTGCCATGGCAACCAGAGTTCTGCATGGAATTAAATTCTTTGAACAATTTCAAAGGTGACCACCAAAGGAACATTCCTGTGAAGTTAAGATGAAATTGGCTTGGTGGTTTATGAGGAGATGTCATTAAAAGTAAAAGTTTACGGACGCCGGATGGACGCCGGCCAGACGCCGGACGACAAGCGATCACAAAAGCTCACCCTGACACTTTGTGACAGGTGAGCTAAAAATAGCTATGATATTTATGGCATTTTTTGGTTATTTGTTGATATTTTTCTTGTCATTTGTGAAAATGTTGCCATTGTATGGGTTTATTACAAATTAAAATATCAAATCTGTATCTATTTTATTTAGCTTTTAAACAATCTTGTCAAAGAATATTAGGACAACCCACATACATAGACACATAATATGGAATGATTATTTAGTAAAAAAAATTCAAACCTGTAAAACATCAATTTAACAGCAACATTACAAATGTTATTGTTGTCAAAATTTATCCAAATGTTATTGAACATCAATCCATAGATCAAACATTAAAAGTAACATCAAACAACCAAAACAATTTCTAAACCCTGAAATCAAAATCACAACATTTTATGAAGCTGGTTCTAATTTTAGTGACAACTAAAATCTACTTGTATATCATAATGTTATAAAATAAATAAATTAATTCTTTCTTTATTTGATAAACTTGAACACTTTTATCAATTATTTTATAGAAAATAAAATGGCACAAAGAAAAGTGATCAAATTATAAGCATTTAAACTGTATACTATTTCTATTGTAACCGAACAGAAATAGAGGATATTGAACGAGTGCAAGTTCAATACTAAATTTATTAAACTTGTTGAATAAAATAATATAATGCTCGCATCACGAATATAATATTCTATTTATCACATACCCAAAATAAGACTGTTTTAAGTGAAATAGAATCATTTCTTTCGTTGATGCTCCTAATGTGTAATGGTAACGTTTAGTGTTTCTTTACACTACGTTTGTATAATGCAAATGATGTCACATCAAAATATATGCACAACCGTGCAATAACATTTTACGGAGTCGCAGTAAGCAGCAAAGGTATGTGATAAAACCAATATACTGATTAAGAAAGTCTGTAACTTAATGACTTATAGCTAAAATTAATATTCTCTTTCTCGAAAAAATAAGAAATGAACAGATTATAATTATGTTTACCAAGAAATATCAAAATTTCTTTGACTGTTTTAATCAAACTAAATCTAAGTACATGATGTAAAAAAACAGCAACAACATTAAATTACATACTGAAATGCGATAAAATACTTTATAATTACTAAATTCTGATAAACTCTTTATGTTTGTAAAATGTTTTAATGTCCATTAGGGTAAAACCAATAAGAATTTGAAAAAAACAAAAACAAAAAAAAAACATCCAAAACATTTCAGGTATAACATTTTCATCAACTTTGTTTCTAAAAAATGAAAAAAAATTGAACATTGTGTAGTTTGCTTTTCTTCTTAGATAATATATAGTTCAGAATGAACTGAATGGATGATATATAAACAAATATGGACTTTTTAGCTGGTGAATATTATACAAATATGGACTTTTTAGCTGTTGAATATGATGTGATATGTACTGAAAAAATTAATATTGACCGAGGCGATAGCCGAGGTCAATATAAATTTTTCAGTACATATCACATCATATTCAACAGCTAAAAAGTACATATCTGTTTTATTATATAATTTATAAATAGCTTTTATATGGCTTATCAAATCTGCCATTGCATATGACGGAAATCATTATTTTTCAGCTTGTCTACTGTTTCAATAATTTGGCCCTTTCCATTGGCATGCTAATCCCTATTTTTCTTAAAAATGAAAAACGGTAACTAAAATAGACTAATTTGACTCTGATGTACACCCAACTCAACATTTTTTTCAGAATAATAACAACAAACTTGGCGTTACGTCATGTCAAAGTCTCGTGTCTTTTAGGGATTTCCAGAAAATCTATTTTTAGAAGAATAACCGGTGATTATACTCTGAAAATCTATTTTTAGGAAAAAAACAGTGAATATACTCTGATATTGACCTGTTATTTTTTACAAAAAGTTGCTTGTTAGCCAATCAGGGAAAGGCATTTCAAAGCTATTTATAGATTATATAATAATATTCGATATGTACTGAAAAAATTAATATTGACCGAGAGAAAAGCCAAGATCAATATTAATTTTTCAGTACATATCACATCATATTCACCAACTAAAAAGTCTGTATCTGTTTTATTATATAATTTATAGATAATCTTATATATGGCTTATCAAATCTGTCATTGCATACCAGGGAAATCAAAAAATTTAAATTTCAGCTTGTCTACTTTTTCCATAACTTGGCCGTCTTTTAAATGAGGGCATTTGCAGGTTAATGTTCTTAAAAATGTAAAGACGGATACTAAAAAAGACTAATTTGACTTTTATTTATGAGTCACCCGTGTTGTTTTTTTTTTCAGAAGAATAACAACGAACTTGGTGTGACATCACTTCATAGTCTCCTGTCTTTCAGGGATTTTCTGAAAATCTAATTTTAGAAGAAAAACCAGTGAATATTTATTTTTAGGAAAAAAACAAATAATGAATATACTCTGATATTGACCTGTTATTTTTTTACAAAAGATGCTTGTTAGCCAATCAGGGAATGACATTTCAAAGCTATTTATAGATTATATAATAAATTATAATATTGCATTATTCATGTGAGCAATATGGACTGACAAACACCAAATATATGATAAATATAATGTTAGTAAATGATGGCTCATAAGTTTAAAATATATATATTTTCTATACATATTCTATATCTTCACACAACAACAAATATTTCAATGGATTATGATTAATATCTATGTTTTCTTCTGTGAACAGTGCAATATGACAAACATAAGATATTAAAACAGAAAAAAGGTCTACTAAGGTCAGATCTGCATAATTGTTTTAAGGGGTATATGCTGGTGGTGGAGGGAGATTCAGCAGTGGTGGTTCAGGGATAGGGGGAGGTAACACATCCATTCCTTCATAATCATCTAAGAGTGATTCCCCTTGATTGTCTTCATACACTGGGTGACGTCTTAAGCAGTTGAATGCAGTTGCAATAACACTAAGTCCTCCTCCAGCTGTTACAAGATAGAAACTAATGTCAAAGTCAATAAGCACTTTACTGCCAGGATGAGCTTTTGTCTCTTTCTGTAGTGTTTCAACTTCAGTTGTCAGCCAGTAACAGAATAAATTTATCACTACACTTAATATCACTGGAAGAGAAATGTAAATACTTTGTAATATATACATGTATTTTGTCTCAAAACAAATGAAATTTATCATTACACAATAACCATACAGATAGATTATGATAGAATCAGAGCCCTACTAAACACGGTAAAGTTTAAAATGTTGCAGACTTGGTTTGAACATGATCATTTGTGTCTGGCCAATATAACTGCAAGCTTCCTTCTACAGGGTGTTCACTAGCCATGAAATCCTGAGGGTCATTTTGACTAAGTTTTAGCGCCTACAGGTCAAATCCCTTTTAACAAAATTTTACCCTCCAGTTAAAATCTAGACAAGTAGCACCAACTTAAGTAGAGATTAACATACCGGTTCGGGTACATGAAATATGTTTAACTAAGAATTATCAACAGCTGATGTGTTCTGTTTCATCTAGCTATTATCATGGAACCTTTATTAACATTAAAATGATTACTTGTAGCAAAGTCCAAATTTTTGTTAGGATTTAATGAATCAAGATACATGTAGTATACTACTAGAACAAGGGGGCCATGATGGCCCTTAATCCCTCACCCGAGTAGATGGTTCAAATGAAAAAAGATTGCATCGTTACAGACATTGGTAGAAACATTAATTTTACAAACTTTAGTGTTCAGGCGTTGGTGTATTAAAAGAATAAATTTGTTGAATTGATACCTTTTATATTATTATAACGTAAAAAATTAATGGACTCTGAACAGTTCAAAGTATATTAAGACCAGAACCATTTAAGCAATTTTTATAGAGGACCATCCAACGACCATTTCTGTATAGTCTTGTAATAATCGACCCTATAGTAAAGGAGATGTTGTTTAAAAGATTTTCATTTTTAACTCTGACAGCCATTTTGTTCAGCAGACTTGAACAATTTGAGATTTTTACAGAAAACTATCCAAGGTTCATTCCTGTAGAGTTTGAGAATCAAAATTTACCAGATGATACAAGTGTAGATTTTGTTTAATGCAGCACGCCTAATTTTCATGAAAATTTTGAAAATGTATTTAAACTTAAAGGTAAAATATTGTGAAATTAACAAAGAAAGTACTTGACACATTATAATCGGCACTTAAAATCCACGTAAATTACCAAAAAGAGGTCAAAATATGCATAAATAGCCCCTACTGCGTTAGTACACAAGAACTTGAAATTCTATCATTATTAATGATAATACCCAAAATATACCCCCTATACATTATAAATATTTATACTGTATAGGGGGTATATTTTGGATATTATCATTAATATTGATAGAATTTCAAGTTCCAACTTCCTGTGGTTAGTAACGCAGTAGAAATATGCTGATAAATACTACAAAATACAGTCATTAATTGCACATGATATAAGTTATCACTTGAATCTTTAATTTGTTTACTTTTCTCAAAGTTTAAGTATGGTTTTTCCATGTTTAATTTTTCTTGAAATATTTTGGGTCATCTGGAGGCATGCAGCTTTAAAGGTTTTTCTATTTCAATCTCTGGTGGTCATCTTGTTCAGCAGACCAGAAAAATTTTAGCAATTCTAGTCAAGGACTGCCCAATAATCATTTCATCAAAATCTTTGGGTGCTTGAGAACAAGATGTCATTTACACTTTTTTATATTTTGTAGCACTGGCAGCCACCTTGTTCAACAGACCAGAACCCTTTGAACAACTTTAATAAAGGCATATCTAAGGGGTATCACAACAGATCAGCTTTAAAATTGAAGATATTTTCATATCATACAAAAATATTGGGAGGTCTATTAAGATTCCAGAATTACTTTCATTTTCTGGACTGTACTTCAGCACAGACACTTGGGGTTTGGAGCTCAAAACGCCTTTTAAATCCAAATAAAATGCATATTTGTCAATCCCAGCACATGTACTGATCATATATATCCAAAAAACTTAATATAAGCCGTTTTGAAAAAATTTCATATTTCAACATCTATAATAATATTATAGATGTTGAAATATGAAATTTTTTCAAAACGGCTTATATTAAGTTTTTTGGATATACAGTCGACTCTCGTTATCTCGAAGTCATCGGGACCGTCCAAAAAATATCGTGATAACGAAATGTCGAGATAAACATATTAGGGTTTGAATAAGGCAGAAACTGATTTTTACAAAAGACATGTGCATATCTTGTGTCAAATGAACTATGAAATCCCCATGCCTTGTTTTCATAAGCCTAGTCAATATTTAACAAAATAACATTAGTGGATGTTTACCAGCGAAAATACGGGTTTCTGTGATAAAAACACATAGTGAGGTTTACTCAGTAATACACCAATATAGTGAAAACAATGTTTTCAGGGTGGTTGATCCGGATATCCTCCCGGGTTATTTATCGGGTCTTTTCTCGATGTTGTTCGACCGCTGATTGATTTGGTGGTGATGTTGTGAAATAATATTGCAACGATAGCGTTTCTATACTTTCACTTTTTCATTTACATTTAAAGTCAAAATGAATTGATACAGTGGTCGAATATCTATTAAGAACGTAAAATTCACTCATTTTGGACATGAGTCAATCAACACCCTAAACAGATTAACTTTTATAAAAACAGCTAAACATGTTACAAACATAATCATCATTATGACACGCGCTATTGCGCAATTATCGTCTAGTTTGTATTTTTCACACGTCTGAAGGGAACAGACGAAAGAAAACTATTACTCGAGATAAACAAAGGATAATAGTGTGAAAATAACTGTTGGGGCTGAAATTGTACATCGAGATACTGAAAATATCGAGATAAAAATATCGAGATAAACAAATATTTCCAATAAAGATAAAGAAAAAAGAAAATCGGGACTTTCAAAATTTCATCGAGATAACGAAATATCGAGAAAAGCGATGTCGAGATAACGATAATTGACTGTATATGATCAGTACATGTGCTGGGATTGACAAATATGCATTTTATTTGGATTTTAAAGGCGTTTTGAGCTCCAAACCCCAAGTATCTGTGTACTTCAGAGCTAGAATTTTTTTTAAAGGATGGTAACTAACTATACCACAAACACTAATGTAAAAGGAAAGTACATGTTACCAACATATTAATATGCCTGTGTTTGTGATACACAGATTACATGTACTTCTCTTTTTGTTCCAGTCAGCTATTGAGTTTCCATGCCAATATTGCTTGCCCTAAATGAGAATTCTTTACAACATTATTTGAAATTGTTTTGAAAACTTAATAGCCTTTTTCAGAAGAATACTTTAGAACATGTAAGAAGTAAAATCAACAACTTACCAGTAATAATACTTGGAATTGCATTTCTTTGCAAAAGTTTGCAGGGTCTGTTTTTTAGTGATGTGAGATCAAGTATAAAGGCCACCAGACTTGATATAATGGCGAGGAAACAAAAAGCAATCACTGTCTTCATAAGTAATGCAGCCTTGTATGTAACACAGTTGTCCATTTCTGGAATAGATTAATTCTGAAATGCTTCACACATAAACAAAATTACAAGAAAATTTTACAATCAAAATCTATAAACATGAGTATTGTACATGTGGAAAATAAAGTAGTATTGAGAGCTCACAGACATGTTTTAAAATTTTACATACACTGGCACCCTATTATAATGCTTAAGTTGGGGCCTGAGGTCTCAAGCCGAGATATACACATACTTGAACTTGTTCATCTTTCAATCTGGACAAATTACATTGCTTTGTTCACTATAGAAAGTTATAGCTCTGAAATTCAGTAAGCAGGTCGGGCTCACAACTTTTGGAATCATTTAGCCACGCTCAAAATAAATTAGCTAATGTTTGTTTTCTGTAACTTATTTATTCTTTATTCTACATTAATTTTATAGTTAATGACATCTTTGGTCTTAACTGCTTCAATGAAACGCCGCATTTTTCTTTGGCTTTTCTTTTACAAATTCAATGTAAACAAAGAGACCACCTTGATAAAGTCATGCAAACACCTGTTGAGTAAAATCCTTAATTTGAAAATTTTTGGACTGGTTCTATATTTACATCACAGGATGCTTTTGAAAAACATTAAACATGAGCATTTACACAGTTCAGATTGTTCAGTGATCTTCTTTCCTTTATCTATGTTTCTCCTAACTAAAAAATGCTTTCTACTAAAACTTAGTAAAAGTCATTTTTCCCATTCAGGAGCGCTGACAAAACAAGGGTGACATAATAGATTGCTAACAATTTACCACTATAACAATTCACCACAGTGAAATAACAATTTGCTGTGAAAAAGACTTTTTAATAATAATTCGCCTCATTGGGATTAAAACAATAATACAATGTAATCTAAGTGTGACAGGTCTCACAGACATTTGGGGTTTGGAGCTCAAAACGCCTTTAAAATCCAAATAAAATGCATATTTGTCAATCCCAGGACATGTACTGATCATATATATCAAAAAATCTTAATATATGCCGTTTTGAAAAAAAATCATATTTCAACAACTATAATAATTATAGTTGTTGAAATATGATTTTTTTTCAAAACGGCATATATTAAGATTTTTTGATATATATGATCAGTACATGTGCTGGGATTGACAAATATGCATTTTATTTGGATTTTAAAGGCGTTTTGAGCTCCAAACCCCAAATGTCTGTGACAGGTCTTAGTGTGGACAGTGGTAACGGGTATATTTCTCTGCAATTACGCGCAAAAGAAACGTGGTGGATCAATCATTTAGGAGTTTGCTTACACATCTATTGCGGAGGAAGCACAAAATTTGTACATTCCCTGCAAGCTCTACTGTAATTTACTAATTAATGAATGAAAGAAATAGAAAAAAGTAGGTAAAAGGTTTTCATCAACAGTTTGAAAATAGGTATGGAACTTTTGTATCTTACCACCTGTGGTGAAGCGTTATTTATCTGTGGCGAATCAATGGTGAATAGTTTTAGTGATGGATTGTAAGATGACCTTTAAATTTACTTTTAACTTACTATACCTTGAAAGTTCTGTTTCATATATTGTAAATTCTATGCTTATTATTAATTCTTAACAGCTTTCTGCATAATAAGCGTGCTGTTTACAGGGAAGTCAAAGGCCGCACCCAAGAAGCATGCCCGGGCTTTGGCTTGATACCTTTGGCTTGCACGTGTGTATATTTAAAAGAAAATCAAATAAAAACAATTAAAGAATATATACTGGTCGGGGACCATCAACCGGACACTTTTTGAACATTTTTCTGTACAGATTTCATAATTTTTAACCTAGAGACCCAAAAAATTGACAAGGTTCAGCTAGGTTCTTCTCCTAAATTACATACTAGTTTGTTTATTTCTGATTGTATTGACACTTATATCTGAGGCTCGACAAGGAGGGTATCAAAATTACCTCAATTGTCTACAGTACCATGTGTCTGGACATTTATGTACATGACGTGATTTAATTCAGATAAAAGCTTGGGTGTTTTGATTTTTAATTTTTAACATGATCGACAATATTTCAGCAACAAATGGTGAAGTTTTGGAAATTCTATTGATTACTCTGCAAATGATTATAGCTGGTATATGAGGTCAAGCATTTTTTCTTGACCCCCAAACTTCAACATCAACATTCTTGAAATAGCCATTAAAATCACAGACACTTGGGGTTTGGAGCTCAAAACGCATTTAAAATCCAAATAAAATGCATATTTGTCAATCCCAGCACATGTACTGATCATATATATCATAAAAACTTAATATAAGCCGTTTTGAAAAAATTTCATATTTCAACATCTATAATAATACATATAATAATATTAAATGTATTGGAAATTCTATTGATTACTCTGCAAATGATTATAGCTGGTATATGAGGTCAAGCATTTTTTAGATTTTTATAGATGTTGAAATATGAAATTTTTTCAAAACGGCTTATATTAAGTTTTTATGATATATATGATCAGTACATGTGCTGGGATTGACAAATATGCATTTTATTTGGATTTTAAAGGCGTTTTGAGGTCCAAACCCCAAGTGTCTGTGATTAAAATATTACCATTTACGGTGGTTGAAATAAATATATTTATTTATTTTTAGAGGAAACATGCATTTATTATTGATAAAAAAGTGACCGACAACCACTGAACAAAGAAAATACTAAATTAAGCATTTTCAGGGCCATCCGGGTTTGGTGGGAATGTCAGACGTTTCACTCCCAAGACGTTTCACTATTGAGACGTTTCACTCCCAAGACGGTTCACACCTAGACGTTTCACTCCCATTTTGTCAATTGTATGGACGTTTCACTCCCAATTTTTAGAGATGTTTACTAGAAAAGTTAACAAATTTTAATTTCATTTAATAATATCAAACAATGTAAAAAGGAAATTCAATTTTCATTTTGTTGATTTCAATGATATTGTTAATATGAATTATTAATTAGAATATTACTCATTTAATTATGGGTTGAGTGATAAGAGGGGTAAATGAAAGACAAATTTCTGAAATGTCACTTTTATTATAAATGTAACAACATGAGAAAACTCTATTTATAGTAAATTAAAAAAAAAAATAGAATAACATAGAAAGAACTACAAAGACATATTATAAGTATCAGTTTAAATATTGAAATCACTACCAGTAAAGTAATTAATATTATTCAAATAATAAAAAAAATCAATATATTAAATATATTGACTATATAATGATTATTTTTTGTAAGTCTTAAACAATGACATGCGAAACATGTGTATAAAATAAATTTTTTTTAAATTATTTTCTTCATCAATTTATTAAACAGTAGCCATTAAACAAACTTGTGGTGTTATCTCATCTCCTAATTAGTTGTATAAACACTGAGACAATCAACTAACAGTTTGACACCACTATTTAATCAGTTGTATAAACACTGCACTTAAGTTAAGCATCAACAGTTTACTAATCTTTTGTTTATTGGACCATTAAAATATTTTTTGACAACAGGCAATTTAAACACAGAAACTTCTCGGAAATCTCCATAAGTTTTGTTTATATAATAACGAATTTTAGTCACAAAAAATAATGATTATACATGACAAATATTGAAAAAGTCCCAATGCTTCTAATTTCATTTAAAGATATTTCTGATTTCATTTCAATGGCCATTAAAATTTTTGACATATATCGCAAAAGCACTATACTAGCATTAAATAATTTAACAAATTTTTATCCCATGTTTAAAAACAACATAAAAAAACAAACACATTACTCAAAGTTAATTGTTGTCACAAGAATGTTATGCTTTAAATCAAAATTGCCTAATGAGTCCATGTTTACAAAAGTTCTGCATCATCAAATAGTTAGTTATATTAAAGTGTTATTTAAATCAAAAATATTTTTTCTTTAAGTGAAATAATGTGATAATTGCACATATGGATCAAAGAATTGAAAAACACTTTTTTTCAAAACAACAATAAAGAAGATAAGATAACTGAAATGATAGAACTTAAAGTACTGAGTTTTAACTTTAAGTCATTGACAAAAAAGTAATATCCCCCTTTTTAATTTATTTTTTATTAAATTTAAGGTCTATTTTAGTTCAATGCAATTCAATATTTTAGGCCTATTTAAGTATTTATAAGTATCAAAATAAATTTGGGAGTGAAACGTCTTGGTGTGAACCGTCTTGGTGTGAATTGTCTCAATAGTGAAAGGTCTGTCTACCGTTTGGTGGTTGTCCGGTTTTGGTGGTCCGCAACCAGTATACAATAGAATTCTATACCTATCAATAAAATTTTCAGTGTCAGTTCTAGTCGGGCACCGCCATTTTCAATGTAATTTAATGAGTTTAGGAAGGGTATTCTGATAACGAACAATCACAACTTATCCGATGAATAATATTAATACGGAATGACATCTTTAAAATAGAAAAATAAACAATTTTTTTTAAACCGACTTCCCCGGTCATAGGCTTTGCCTAATTTCATATTATTATTATGTCATTGTGTTAACTTACTATCTTTGATATTTGGTCCAAACTGGTATACAACATGTGTTATTGAATCATCTGTAAAATCACGTTCTTGAGAAAGAAACTTCCCCGGAAAAAAGAACTGATAAGCCCCTAAATGGTTTAATGGCTCATTCTCCACCATGCAGCCACCTCCACGAAGGTTTATCCATTTCGGTTCAGCCAATGAAGTACACATAAGAACAATAGCGAGCATATTACAAACTGCTGCGGCAAAGTTTTTCTCTCCATGTTTTACTCTATTTCTACTCCTCGTTCTGTGGTGACGATGGTGATCTCGGTGACGACTTCGGTTGCGTCTGGATCTACTTCTCCTGGAACTTGACTCCCTTCCTTCAGTACGTGATGGCATTACATCTAATTATTTGATCAAAATGTCAAAAATTGTTTATTTTCTTTATTTTCTACTTCCTGTTTGTTACCGGAAGTCTGAGTTCGCATGCGTATAAACCGTCCTACCAATCGCATCTTCTCGGCCCTTTCCGTCAAACTTCGGATAAGGACTCCAACCCAACGCAGTCAATTGATCCTAAAGTAATTTTATCCTGCTTTAGTACAAAGGTCAACTCTTAGCCTAGGTATGTTAGTTTTAATAACATTTCAAATTTATATTTACAAGTGAATTGCTGATAAAGTCCGTGAAGTTTACATATATTTATACTCATTGTGGCTTGCATTCATATTGTATGAATAACATACTCACAAGTGAGCTGTATATAATAACTGATAAGCCTACATGTACCTGTGAAGACTAGCTTAAAATGGTAAAATAGCAGGAACGTATATGGGAAGGTTACTTGATTTAGATAATTGCCCTATTTTATGGATTGCCATATTTTATGTGTGTTTTTTTTTAAAGTTTAAATTTCGCACATTTACAATACTGTTCTAATTGTATACCTCACTCTAAGATTTAAAATTGATTTAACTTATTGATAACCTTGATTATTTTTCTTACCAGGAAGCTTTTCGATTTGATTTTCAACATTTACAATCCTTGTCATTTAGAGCCAGTCTTAATTGACATGTCATAATGACATTCTTGTTTACATTTAACTGTCTATTAATAGACACTGCATCACACCCTTAAATTGAGCTTTTTGTGCAGGTGCTCGTCTGTGCAAAAATAAATGTACAGGAGAAAATTTTGTATGCGAGAAATTCGGAACAAGTTGATAGTGTTAATATAAAAAGACGAGATATACAGTTAAAAAAATACAGTCTTAAACTTATCCAGGGTAGGGGCTTGTACAACATCCAGGGTAGGGGCTTGTACAACATTGGTCGGCAGAGAATTATAAAGTATGACGGTTGCTGGGTAAAATATGTCTCACCGTAGTTACTTGTATATATATAAGAAACATAGGTACGAGTATCGGACCTGGGAAGAAAATATGACCAGATTGTTAAAAAAATATCTGTGTTCATCCACGGATTTATATTACAATCCGGGGTTATCTTAAATGTGTCAAAAAATGTGAAATATGAGCCCCATTAAAAATATACTATAACTTACTGTATATTTTTAAGGGAGCTCATATTTCACATTTTTCTTTTTGACCCATTTAAGATGAACCAGGATTTTTATCAATCTGGTCATATTTTTTCTTCCCGTGTCCGATACTCGTGCCTGTGATAAGAAATAGGACGCATGTGTTTAGTACGTGAAACGGGTAGGAGTTGCAACATAAGTAGGTATTGGTACTGCAACCAGTCCATGAACAATCTTATAGAACATCATGCAGTAGCCCTGCATCTGTCATTCAGTTTCTAAGGGAACGCCACTGTAGTTGACTTATTAAAAAGTTTGCGACACTGCCGTAAGGGACCCAATAGAGCAGCTCTACGCTGTACCATCCCGATCAGTTGTATATTTGACACAGTATTTGAGCTGTGACCTAGGAAATCTGTTTGATTATTTCTTTGTTTTTGTTGGGACGTTTCATGTTATAAATTAAGAGTTTTGGTAGCTGTTGAGCAGACTTTGTTTATGTGCTTATTCAAGCAAATGTCAGAAATGATGGTAACACGCAAGTATTTGGCATCACCTACTTTTCCTAGTGTTTGACCATGTAACATGTAAGTTGACTGATGGGAGTGTTTTGATCAGGTGATACTATACACATTTCTAAAGATGGGTTGTATTACATATCCTATGTGTTTTCCCACTGTTGTAACCTATGACAAGATATGCTCTTGTGTACTGTTGTTTACTGTGATATACACAGCAGTGTCATGACACTGTCCTCAGCTATACTTTCAGACATGTACTTTATGTAGAATAAGAAAACAAGCTGGCCAAGGACAGAGCCCTATGTGACACCTGATGTGACGGATACCTTAATTATTACCACCATTGACTGGGACTGACTGTAGGCGTCCTATGAGAAAAGATTTGACCCATTGTCGGTCGTGCATACTTCCTGATCGGAAAACAAGGCGATTCTCCTTCAAGGCTTCCCGATCAGACAGCAAACGTCAAAATCTTTCTCGATCGGGAAGGGTTTTTTTTGGTCTTTTTTACGTAGTTCAGGAAAAATGGCCAGTGCATAACAGTTTTCAACCAACTTTAATATGAATATCACCATTTAGTATACATCAAAAATTCTACGGAGTCATTTTCTATTAAAATATCTGAAATTTAAATAATTTGAAAGTAAACTTCAGCAAATATTTTAGATTTTACCAAAAACTAGCCACTTCCCGTTTTGGAAACGTTGCTTCCTGATCAGGCATCTAGCAAAATATTCATCATTAAAAGTATTGCTTCTCAATCCGGAAGTACATTATATTTTTATTAGTACCTAAATTGATTGCAAATTATTAGATTAGAAATTGCCAAGCCTGGACAGTTTTCAAAGACATGTGGCACATAATTCAAACACGACGAGTGAAATATATTTGGTGATGGAAGCTTGTATAAGATACCTATCAAAACATAAGCTATACTTGACGTACAGTACATATATCATCATTATAATACAAAAGTTTCATATTGTTAAGATTGTATAGCACATGCTGAACAACATTGCACAGATGATTAAAATTGCCTGTTAACTTCGAAGATCAGGTGTTACGTACAATATTTCATGTTTTGTGCTAATAGTAGGGAAATGACAAAAACACATATCAATAAATAAAAGTATATAATTACATTGTCTTAATGCATGCACAAGTCAAGTTATTTTACTTAATATATAACATTTCAGGCTCAGTTTTTAATGTGAAGCCTGAAAGACTGTTTCTCTCCAGTATACTCGACTGTAAAAAGTAGACACAATGAAGTATGGCAGTACAAGAGGTGGGGTGAAGAATTTTACCTTTGAGCAAGCGTTATTTACGGGTTATGCCAGTGACGGGGGTATACTTCTCCCTGAGAGTATACCAGCTGTTCCGGTAGATACCTTAAAAAGTTGGAAGGACCTTTCATTCGTGGAACTGGCGAAGAAGATCGTTCCCTATTTTATATCCGAAGAAGAAATACCTGGAGCAGACCTTAACGGTATGTGATTCTTTATATCTAATTTTAGTACCCGTCTGTAACTCGTATCAAATACATTATATGCAACAGTTTTACACTTTATAATAACCATGTAATTGGTACATTCTGAACATTTAACATGTCCTTCTGTTTATTCGAGGAAACATTTATGGTTATAAACACTTGTATAAACAACATGTTTACTAAAGCTCGATTGTGGACCATGATACTTTCCAGATAAGCCAGTAATGATATCGATATCTCGGGATATGCATGATATAACTAGAAAAAGCTTTCAATCTTCTCAGATTTGTTGGATAAAGCATATAGTACGTTTTCCTGCCCTGAGATAGCACCACTCGCACGATTGAAAGATGACGTAACAATACTTGAATTGTTCCACGGGAAGACGTGGGCTTTCAAAGACTTGGCACTATCTTGTGTGGGGCAGTTTATCAACTACTTTTGTACGAGAAGTAAAACACATTACACAATAATTGTAGGTAAGAAATCCATAGTCCTTGATATGTCATTAGTAAACATAATTATTAATGAAAATCAATTATTGTCAGGGTACTAATACCTATATTTTTTATTTATCAATTAATTTAATTGTTTGTTTTCGACATTGTTAAGTATTGCTGTTCTTTCTTGAATATGATATTAATTTGCCTTTAATTAGACGAACATAGTCAGCGGATTTAAGGATATTTTTGTACTAGCCGGAATAAAGATGTGACAATATCTCATGAACTTTTATATTCCAAAGGAACATCCGGGGATACCGGAAGCGCCGCCATTGAAGCAGTTCGCGGGCTAAAATGGGTCGATATTGTTGTGTTATTACCTCGAGGACGTACTTCATTTGTTCAAGAAAAACAAATGACCACCGCTATAGCTGATAATGTACACGTTTATAGAGGTATTGTACATATGTATCAATATAATACTCAATTATTACCATCTTATGGTGCGGGGTTTCCGTGGCGGAATAAGTAAAGTCATTAACTTCAAGTCACTTGCTTCTCACCGCTGCGGGATCTACTAATGACTTTCAGCGTCGTTTGTTCTACTCGAGTATCAGCTTGTTCCTGAATAATGCACGAAGGGTCACCTGAGGTCTTCCTCCGTCAGTAAAGCTGGAAAGCCGCCATTTGATCTCTTCTGTGTTGCTTAGACGTAAAAACCAACACAAAAATAAATTATAGTTATTTACAAAGAGTTGATACATTTACCCAACTATTAAAGAATTAGCAGTTTTATTTTCTGGCAAATAATAATGCAATAACCAATTAAAGTATATCCATTTTATTTTGAACAGTTGATGGCACGTCGGACGACATTGACCTTATTATAAAGCCAGTTTTCATGGACGAAGATTTCCAGAAAAAATACCACCTAACAAGTATTAATTCAATCAACTGGTCGCGGATAATGGTGCAAATAGTTCATTATTTTTATGCATTTTTAAAGGTTAGTATTGCAAATAAGTATTTAGCTGTACAATTTAATTCCCTGCGGTCTCCATTCCATGCGGCCTGGAGACCGCAGGGTATTGGTACCGTTTAACTTTTGAGGCATGGAGGAGCACGTGACCAGTTTTCGGTACATGGAGGAGCATGTGATCTGTAAACCGTACACGATTGGTTAATTGACTTTTTCGAAAACCTGGCTAAATACCGTTTCTCGGTACGTTACCGAACTACCTCTAGGGAATTAGTCTGAATTAAACCTAATTAAGAACAAAAACCTATTACGTGATATTTCTAATTTTCTATAATTATTTTACCGTTTAAGGTGGAAAAACTTGAATGATTTATTTGAAAATTATCATTGTTTCTTTAATATATGTATCTCAAATTTCACAAACAATAAATTGTTTATACTGAAAATCTACAAAATTAAAATATTCGTAGTGGCATCTGCCATAATAAATAGAGATGTTTTCTTGTGTGTTTATACTCTTTCTTTTTTTTGCTTGGAATTATTCATAAAATGGTAGGCCTATTTAATCATTTTCTTAACAAGAAATAATTGTTTTATGTTCGACCAGGGTCTTTCAAATTTGAAAGACCCTGGTTCGACCTTCGCCGGCCATCAACGGTCACCAGTTTCGAAAGACCTTCTTCTATATTGATCGATTATTGTCAACTATATTCCAGATATAAACGTTTATTTATTCCCCTCTCCCAAAAAAAAATGTTGAAAATAGTTAAATGAAATATCTTTATATCATTAAAAATGTTCCCCGCAGGAAACCATTTTACTTGTACCTTTCTTAGCTACAACGAAAGTTTACAGACAGTGGTAAAGGGACTGTTTCGGACTTAATTTTAAGGTTCTTTATAACCGATTTTAAGCAAGCATGCAATAATTGAAGATTTAAGAATATGAAAAAGGTCAGTGACCTAACAAGAGTGTTTCTTATATCCGAGCGTGCGCGTTATCCGATTTCCCTATAAATGTATGTTTCGCTGTATTTTAGTAAACATTCGAGCTATGAATAAAATGTTCAACAAAATATATACGAGTAAACAATCAATATGAGTACAAAAAATTATTTCGTTTCTAGCCAACTTAATTTATAATCTGGTGCCATTTAGCAAATGTTGTCAGATCTTAAAAAAGTAAATCGGACTTGTATACATGTATATATTTTTTCTTCAGATGTGTGATGATAATTGTAGTCCGGTAGAAATTGTTGTTCCGACTGGGGCATGCGGGAATGTTACATGTATGTCCACTTTTCTAGACAGTTTTTATTTTATTATTAACTGTACTGTTTCCGTTCAGCAACCACTTTCAATAGATTTCTTTTTCATTTCTTCATAGTTATATAGTTAGGTTTCAGCAGTGTTATCATCATTACTTTTACTCTTTTAAAAATCGAAACAAATTTTACGTTAGCATTGTTTTTAGGAATTTATTATGTCATATCTTTCTTATTGATTTATTTTCTTTACTTAGCTGGTTGTATCGCAGCTAAAATGGGCCTGCCGATCCGGCTTGTATGCGCAGTCACGTGCAATGATATTGTGTCACGTGCTGTTTCTAATGGTGACTTTAGTATAACACCGGAAGTGACACCAACATTAGCACCAGCTATGGATATTCAGGTTAAAGTTTATAAAGATATATCTATGCAGCTTGCAGATTTTGTTGTTGTTTTTTTGAAGAAAAAAAATCAAAGTACGTGTATGAAATAGATATATGTTGGTATACTTCCATATGGGTGGCGCATGCACAGAATTATTGAAAAATAGTTAACAAAAGCTACATAATTAATATAGCTTAATAATATTTTGTTCCGGGATATTTTATTCTATTTACATGAATGATACATTGAGTTTTAATAAACAGACATATGCTTCGTCTTTTTCTTAGATACCTTATAATATGGAGCGAATCTGGTACATATTTAGTGAAGGGGACACAACTCTTGTATCAAACCTGATGAAGGAATTTGAAAAGAACGGCTCGATCAAAGTTCCCGAGGAACTTGCCAAGAAAGTATGATACTTTTTATATGCCCGAAAGAATTTCGGACATATTATGTTATACCCCCTGGCGTCCGTCTGCCCGTCCGTCCGAGCAAACATTTTGGGTTTAGGGGCTATATAACAGTAAAGTGAACAAAAGAGAACAATAGGTTCATTCCGTGATCAAAGGGTTTAGGGGCTAGTAGCCCTTAAGAAAACAAAGAAAATAACAAAGAAAATAGCCCCTAAAGCTAAAATGTTGGAATGTCCGTCCGTCCGTCCGTTAGCAATTTGGTTTCCGGAGCATAACTTAAGTTCCATTTGGCCTACAGTATTCAAACTTCATAGGATGATTGCCCATATTGGGTAGAAGGCCCCTATTGATTTTGGGGTCACAAGGTCAAAGGTCAAGGTCACTATAACCGTAAAACTGAAAATGGTTTCCGGAGCATAACTTAAGTTCCATTTGGCCCACAGTTTTCAAACTTCATAGGATGATTGCCCATATTGGGTAGAAGACCCCTATTGATTTTGGGGTCACAAGGTCAAAGGTCAAGGTCACTATTACCGTAAAACTGAAAATGGTTTCCGGAGCATAACTTAAGTTCCATTTGGCCCACAGTTTTCAAACTTCATAGGATGATTGCCCATATTGGGTAGAAGACCCCTATTGATTTTGGGGTCACAAGGTCAAAGGTCAAGGTCACTATAGCCGTAAAACTGAAAATGGTTTCCGGAGCATAACTTATGCTCCATTTGGCCCATAGTTTTCAATTTTCATAGGATGATTGTCCATATTGGGTAGAAGACCCCTATTGATTTTGGGGTCACAAAGTCAAAGGTAAGGTCACTATTACCCTAAAACTGAAAATGGTTTCCGGAGCATAACTTAAGTTCCATTTGGCCCACTGTTTTCAAACTTCAGAGTATGATTGCCCATATTGGGTAGAAGACCCCTATTGATTTTGGGGTCACAAGGTCAAAGGTCAAGGTCACTATTACCGAAAAACTGAAAATGGTTTTCGGAGCGTAACTTAAGTTCCATTTTGCCCACAGTTTTCAAACTTCATAGGATGATTGTCCATATTAAGTAGAAGACCCCTATTGATTTTTGGGTCACAAAGTCAAAGGTCAAGGTCACTATTACCCTAAAACTGAAAATGGTTTCAAGAGCATAACTTAAGTTCCATTTGGTCCACAGTATTCAAACTTTATAGGATGATTGTCCATATTGGGTTAAAGATCCCTATTGATTTTGGGGTCACAAGGTCAAAGATCAAGGTTACTATCACCTTTAAACTTGAAACAGTTTTCGCTCAATAATTCAAGCATTAATCAACCTACAGCTAAAGTACTTTCGGGCATATAATGCCCCGCCTAGCGGTGCTCTTGTTGTCTTTTATTCTAGTGACTTTATCTGGCGTAACTCGACTTTTAAATGCATGCTTATCTTAAATTAATGCTGGTCAGATTTTTTTTCGCAAAAAAAAAACAGAACAAAAAACGATTTAAACTCAAAATGATGGATCATAGCGACGCACTGTAGCTGTTTAATTAGAACGTTTGTTTTCTTCTTATAATTAAAGGTCTAACTTCTGTTCGTAGTTGGGGTGTTTATCCACTCTGCTAAGACAGTCTATGGGAAATATTCTGTTAGAAAATTTCAAATATAGGTATTTTTACTGGACGGAAAAGTAGCCAAAGGCAAAGACTAACTGTAAACTGTTATAAATGATAATAGCTAGAGTCGTCTTTACCTATAGCTGAACAACACAAGCCGACAGTTACGAAGTTTTCTTTGTAACAAATATAGATAGAAAGTTTGTAAGGACTGAACATTTACTCTGATGTTCTTGTTTATCTCAGATTTCGGATGTTATCGTTGATACCTTTGTGGCTTCCGATGATGACGTCAAAACAACCATGTTGAAGGTATGGAAGGATAACTCTTATCAAGTTTGTCCCCACACAGCCATTGCTGTAGCGTATCATCTTAAACAAAGGTAAGTCCCTAATTCTGGAGAAAAACGTATTTCACATATGTCTTGGTTCAGAACTGTGCACTATTTAGGGGAGAAGATGTGTAACCGGCCGGATAGCCCAATGAATGACGGCATATGAAAGGCAGGCCTTTGCAAGCATAACAGCCGTTTTCATACCGGGCTTTCGCCTCCTTTACATACTAGTATTGTCTCAGGTTATTGTTCATTTAGGTTCTTATTGGCCCTCATACAGTGACCTACATATGGCTCAAATTTCATATCTTTGTCTTATACTCCGTGGAAAGTTTGCACAATTATCCATGAATGAGATAAATTATCACCATTTTGTGCTTCCAAATTAAATCCTTTACGCGCTTAGTAGGTAGAGCCGCGGAACGGTGTTCCGAGGGTCCCTGGTTCGAGTCCTGGTCAGGCTGCATATTTTCTCACCCTGTAACATTTGACGCCCAACTGCATATAGCTCGGAATTAGTTCACATTGCTCTTTAACTATGAGAAATTCGAAGACAGAGTGTCGAGGGCCCCGGGTTCGAGACCCGTCAGACTGCACATTTTTCTCACCCTGAGACACGTACATAGATATTATGTACTAGTTATCTGCAGTATAAACGCAATAAAGAACTTCTCTGACTTGAAATGAAATTATTTCTATACATGCACATCTGAACATACATTTATTATGGATTGTGGGCAAATTAATGATTTTTTTTCCTTGCTTCAAATTTTCGTTAAATGGATTACCACTTTTATAACTATTTATTTTCAAATTTTTACTTTGGATCTACATTTTTTCAGAAGTAATTCAACATGTCCACGCATCTGTATAGCAACAGCGTCTGTAACGAAATTTCAAGAAGCAGTAAAGATTGCCGGTGTTCCTGTACAAAATGATGACAGAGTTATCGCCCTTCAGAACATGGAAACTAAATACGAAGATATGGAAAAGGGAGACGACTGGGGAAAGATTCTTAAAAACAAAATTGTTGAAATTAATGCTTAAATGCGTTCTGTTTCACTTGTAAGAATATAATCTACATGATATACATAGACCTGCCATATTAGGATCAGAATCACCGAGAAATGACGAAAACTAACAACTTAAGACCATGTTAATATAATAATTGATGATTATGATATAAAATATTATGATATATTTTTATTAAAATATTATAAATTATGAAACGTAAAATGCATGTAGATTGAAACACAAATATTATTAGTCTTTTCGAAACATTTTTCTTTGAAAAGTGTTTTAACAGGTGCCGACTGAAGTAAATGCTATAGGCATTTTATTGCATATTTTATTATACATATAATTAATGTAATACAAATACAATGAATGGAAATTGTAACAAGCAACAATTAAAAACATAAGTATCATTATGTCTCTGATATTGTTAACTAATCAATCTGTTGCTTTATTTCATGTATTAGTTTAAACACTTGACTGAGATATATGCGTATTAGACGGTATATATTGTTTACACTTACGGTACTAATTATAGTGTTATTTTTTGGGTAAAACAAATACATGTATAACTTTTTATAGCATTTTACTATTATAAATTATTACTAGCTATGATTATGTACTTTTTTGCTCATTTCAAACAACGGCGTAAACAATGGCGTTTGATATAAAACGTTTTTTGATGTCTTACAATATGTAAAATTTTCCACTGGTATCGTTCATGAAAATATGTTGATCTCTTATTACCTTTGTATTAATGATGCTATCTGGACGATTCATTCTCACATGTTTCACGCGCACTAATTTGAAGCAGTCTGCTTCCTTTGTCTTCAGACCTTCCCAGATTGCATTCTGCATCGCTTCCGTGACTTTTGTGGCAGAAATTCTAACTTGGTTTTTAAACTCACATGGTTTTGGCTTCTTTTCAAACCAGTGCGTGAACCCGGGAACATCAACTAGTTCCGCATTCAAGAAGCTTCTGATTATACCAGTGACGAAGACGTCTTCAATATTTAAATATGGCAAAAGTCCGGCAGTGTAGTATATTTGGGCAGCCATTTTACCGGAAATGACATACGTGTTACCACAAGTGTATGTTGGGTACACACTAAGTGGATATGCATGTTTAGATACAGCCCATCGTCCTTCCCTGAACACATCTGATTTCATGAGAGCATGACCAAAGATGACACCATGAATTTTCTTCTCTCGTTTAGATAGAAAGGTTACAAGGTTATGTACGTGCACAAATACATCTTCGTCCGCCTTGAGTATGTATTTAGCGTCTTGACAGTATTCGGCGACCCAACGGATTCCAGTTACAGTTTTATATGTCAGGTTAAAGTAGGAATCTTCAAAATCCGCTTGTACGATATCACCGTACATTTTACTCTCCTCTCTAGCAATCTTGTTACCTAATTCGTTTTTCGCATTGCCAAACAAAAATATAAGCTTCACCTTATGTTTTAAAACGCCAACTTTTGGCCAAACACCAGGGTCAACAGCTCGACCCCATGTATTTCGAATAGCTGAACGTGTGTCAATATGCGTATGTACGGAAAGGACCATGATAAGAAGGAATGGTGATGTATCTTTGCAGATTTCATGCCCGTCTATTGTAAATGGAAAATCGTATATGTCTGATCGTGTTTGATTTAATGTGTATTCATCACCAAATGCAGATTTATTAAATGGAATTTCTGACACATTGATTTTATTCAAAAACTCGTTTTTATAACTTGCTTGCATTTGTTTAGATGGTTCTTCGACTTGAGTCTGTTCAGTTTCAGCTGTATTTCTAATACTTTCTAACATTTTTTTGCCTAAGTAACCATCTCTGTGATAGGGAACGTTTCCCGAATACTGAAAATTCGCGCCAAATATCTTTTCATTTGCACCGCCATTTTGTACAACTAACTTCTGCTGCAGATTTCCGGTGAGATATAAAACATCTCGTCTGTCGCTTACTGACGGTAATATCATAAGACACATTGTATAAATCATGAAACTTCCCATGACCAGGAATAATGATAGACGTTTGGCGCAACATACCTTCCCAAATAGTTTACCACGGCGCAATCGGGTACATGCACTGAACTGTCGTCTGCAATAAGAAAACAATAAATGATTAGTTCAGATTTTTTTAGTGATAAGTGGCGTGTCAAGTTATGTCATGGCATTTTTCCACCTGTAATAATTGTTTACATGTATCTTGTCTGAGAATCGCGTAATTGAATCGTTTAAAATGAGCCGTGTCACGACAAAACCAACATAATGCGTTTGCGACCAGCATGGATCAAGTCCAGCCTGTGCATCCGCACAGTCTGATCAGGACCCATGCTGTTCGCTTACAAAGCCTATTACAAGTAGAGAAACTGATAGCGAACAGCATGGATCCTGCTGGTCTGAATCCATACTGGTCGCAAACCCATTATGTTGGTTGTGTCGTGACACGGCTCAAATAGTTTACCGTTATAAAAGTAGTCATTTGTAATGAAATATTTTCAAAAATGTCCCTCTTTTTGTTATTCAAATACCAACTATGAACATGTAACTAATGCTGTTATTGCGCAATGTTCACCAGGGTGTGCTATAATAGAATTGAACTGGATATCACATTGAAAACAACAATCAAGTTGAGCATTTAAGTCGTGCGTTTGATGTTAATAAAAAAGGATCCTTATTTGATTTTCATTTCTTTTGCGGCGATAATCGTACATTAGTTAAATCAGTACTATGTTTCCAAAAATAATTAAAGCGGTTTCGAACAATTATTGTTGAACAACTAGAACTCCGCAAGTCGGATGTGTCGCCTTGTGAACAATATAGTTTAGAAGAAATGGCCAGGACAAAAATGAAATATGAAAATTAACAAAGGGCAATAACTCAAAAAATAAGAAATGCAGAGCAGCAGTTTCTGTGCACTGCACTTCTTATCAATAAGATCTATCATCTTATGAAGTTTCAAGTCTATAGCTTTTATAATTTATGAGAAATGGCCTGGACAAAAATAAGGTATGAAAATTAACAAAGGGCAAAAACTCAAAAAATAAGAAATGCAGAGTACCAGTTCTTGAGCACTGCACTTCTTCTTAATGAGATCTATCATCCTATGAAGTTTCATGTCCATAGCTTTTATACTTTAGGAGAAATGGCCCGGACAAAAATAAAGTATGAAAATTAACAAAGGGCAATAACTCAAAAATTAAGAAGTGCAGAGTACCGGTTCTTGTGCACTGCACTTCGGGTCATTATAAGAAGCATGCATACCAAGTTTGAAGTCAATCCGACTTATAATGACTGACTTATGCTCCGGACAAGCTTAAGGGGACGCCGACACCGCCGACAAAAGTAACCCCTATATGTCGCCTTTTTCAAGGCGACACAAAAATGGTCAATAGTACATTACATCACGGAAGAAGTAAGGCCCCAGACATGTGTAGCTTTGGTCCCATCCCTACTGAAGTGTTGGAGGTAGTAGTCGAAATTAGTCTTAATTCGAGAGCGGCCGTGATTTCGACACGCTACTCCCAGCAGATGCGGTATGTAAGTAACATACATTATAAATGATGAAATGAAGAAATTTAAAAATGCAGCAATGTTCCTCTATTAAGTTAAACAGTTTTTTCTTCTTCTCAAGTTATTGAACTACCCATCTACTGGCCTTTGGCAATGCTTATCTTAATTCTTAACCTATTTATCGGACACAAATAACCGTCCGGTTACTGTCGGACTGTGAATCGGGCAACCCGTGTTCTATTCCCTGACGGTGCAGGCCATTTTCTCTATGATTGATCATAAAATCCTTTCTGTACCTCTTCTATGCAAGAAAGTTAACTGTTCCTTGCGAAAGTGATGGCAACTAGAACTGGTAAATATGATGGCTGATTTGGAACGCTTTTGTGTGTCGTGTTGGCGCTAGCGACAACCGTACAAAGCGTCAAACGGCGCGTTGTCGGACTTTCGTCTTGTCGTCCTGTCGCTAACGATGTACGCCAAACGACGCGTTGTCGTGCGGCGTGTTGTCGCGATGTCACGTTGTCCCTCGGTTCAAATCGAAGGATTGGCTTATAAGCCAAGCGACAGGACGACAACGCGCCGCACGACAACGCGCCGTTTGGTGTGCTTCGCTAGCGACAGGGCGACAAGGCGCCATTTGGCGCTTTGTGGTGTTGTCGCTAGCGACAAGACGAAAAAACGATAACAATATAGGTTGCGTTGTCGCTATCGACAACGCATCGCGCAATGTACCAAATCAGCCACCTGACAGCCTGCCCAGGAACGATGCGGTGCGGGTAAATTCAATGTGGCTTACTATCGTGATCCGAAGGGTACACTACCACCACCACCATCAGACTAGAAGTACAGGAAGAGCTTATGAATTGTTGGAAGGTCCCACACTTTTAAAGTGGGGGCAATAAAATTGAAAAGTAGCGAATTTATTTCACAATTAGTTTTGCAAAAGAGTTAATATCTAAATTGTATTCATTCCTGGTATAATAAGATTCAATAAATTTGATATTTAATTTTAAGCATTGATTGCGTGCTTCACTTAATTTGAATCCTCCTAAAATGTAATTCTTAGAAACATAGTATACCTTGATGGAATTTCAATGAAGTCATTTACATAAATAAAGTAGGCACTTAAAGCGGATAGATATTAAGAAGATAATAAAGAAACACACACGGAATGAAATATTGAAAATTGAATATTTCTGCGATTATTTGTCCGATTTGACTGGAAAGTGTTTAAACGTCTCAGTTTTGTGTCATTTTACGCAATTAAAATATATTTCTTTGAGAAAAAAATATTCAGAGAAAATTACCGAAATAGAAAACAAAGGAGGGAGCGAATGATAAAAAAATACACAAGTCATTGGTCAAGATCTACATCAAATTGAACTTTAATATAACCCGTCAAGTAAAGAAAGCAAATGGGAGTGACCAAAGACACTGGGCATTGTCATAAAAATAATCTTACATTTACCCTGCTGGCGATAATTTTATCTACATGTGACCACAAAACAATATCAGCTGGCACGTTCATGCCTTCATCCTGGTCTGCACTGTTCGTCATTATGGTAGTTACTTTAAACTTAACTATTACAGCTTTATATACAAAAACAATTATTTTTTCTTTCATATAATGTGGTACTTATTCAATCATGAGAGAGCTAAAACATCTTGATGAACAACGATTTTTGTTTATCTTATCATTCTTGTGATTTGTATTATACGGTGGTGAAATCCATTCAAGGAAAAGAACATAACTGGTTTAAAGAATAGTGAAAAATATCTAAATCTATATCAAAAAGAAAAGGGGCCGTGCGACCGAGTGGTAATGCCGCTGACTTTAAATTACTTGCCCTTTGTCTATGAAGTTCCTTCTCAGGTGCCCGTTCATGTCTGAATAAACACAAGGAGGCGCACCTGAAAATTTTCTCCACTAGTAAAGCTTGAACGTCATAGTTTTACAAAGTAAAGTTCACTAAAAGTAGACGGTAATTAAAGAAAATGTGTTATTCAAAATGAAAAAGTATTACTTACATTTTAGTCATGACTATTGTCTTTAAATCTCATTTTTATATTCCATGTAATTGTTCCACAGAGTACCAAGTAAAGGAATTCTCACATTCTATCTAATGTAAATAATCCTTGCCTATTTATAGAATATCAAAATATCCTTTGTTTATTGGTTTTATTTTATTTTGATAATAAATGCATCAGATAAACCAACCTGACGGATATATCATAGTTATAGAATCTAAACACGTCTAGTATTGAATAGATTTGCGATGGTATTACATTGAACAATAGAAATGTGGCAAGTCTTCGCATTGATCCAAGTATGTGTTTATAAACTAGGCTTGGTATAGATTGTTCATTTAACAGTGGGAAATAAAAAATCTGATTAATTATAGTATATATATATTATAAATTGTAAACAAAAGGTTAAATCATGATGGCATTCATTGTGGTAACACCTATCCCGCACGTATGCCGTTGATCGAGTCCTTGAAGCTATATGACTGTAAACAGTAATATTGCACAACCGAGCAACGTGCATTGTTAGAACTTCTGAAGTATGCTATTAATTTGCCCTCTACCAGAAGTTAACAGTTTCGTGTGAAGAAACTTTTTTGTGATGATTGAGTTGAACGCATATGCGATTTTGACTTCCGGTCGTCCTATATGACACCAGTACTGGTGCCGAGTTTTAGAAGCGGTGATGGGCTTCTTGGTTTACATGAAAGTCATATACTCGTACATCAACGTCATTAGCTTTAGATTATCAAAAGCAATATATAGACAGCTTTCGTAATGAATAAAATCTTTAAGTTTATAATCAAAACACATTTACATATTTACCAAAATTAAATCGAGTGTAAAGTCGTGACTATGTGCAAATTCATGGTCCTTATATATAAAACACATTTATTCAGATATTTATTACATAAGTAACTGCCATGGTTAATAATGCTGTTATTTCACAGAGAAAATAACGAGTGAAATGGGGTGGGGTGGGGGGCAGGTTGTTGTTAATAATCGGGCCTCTCCTCGCAAACTACATTCATCTACACCACATACATGTATCCACACATCAAAGTCCATTTTCATAATGACTACACAATTTATATTTAATTTGAAGCAGTTTTAATGTTTGGTATTTTATGTATTTCATTGTTTAAAAAGTATTTAAAACAAATAATTTTCTCTTGCTCTCGATGAATTACCAAACAATTTCGTATAGTTATCATTAAGAATGCGTTAAAATGAAGAACAGATGATACTGTTAATAGATATTTGTTAATAATAAGATACAAAATAATGTCTAAAATAAACCTATTGTTTATGTATAGGTAGATAAAGTTTTTGGAATTTATCAAATATTTTACATAGTTTTACATTGATCTATAGAATATAAAGTTTGAATATCTCTGTTAACAGGAAATGAGCAGGTTTTATACACAGTAAAACAATGGTCATTTTTCTAATAAAAAAAAATCATATGTCGAAAAAAAAACGAACGATTTTATTATATTCATTATTATCAGCGAGCTATTATGTAGTTCGAATGTTCAAAACAAATGTTGTAAATTTTATTTACCAAGATGCGTTTAATTACAACATTCTATTCATCTTTTACATTAAAAATCAAATTATTCACCATGTCACAGTTTCAATGTAACTGCATGTACAACAAAAGTAGAGAAAAATATTTTTAAAAGGGAGCTTTATTTTACAATGATAAAATTAATTAACAGAAGAAAAGTTAAAGTGCAATGTGTTATTAAAGTTTTATTTAATTTAAGCTGTCTGCATAATACGCTATTGGATGAAGAAAAATCAGGAAATTCTTCATATTGGTGAAAATAAAAGATAACTATCTCACATGATGTGCTCAAAATAGTTCTAAGGAAGTAATTCGGAAAACAAAAACAAAACAACAAAAAACTCTGCAACTTATTTTAAATAAAAGATAATAATGAAATTTCAATGAAATATGAACTGTCGTGTGGGCATTATATTTTGCCAATTTTGGTACCAAATATGCCAATATTTTTCTTAGGTAAATCACGGATTTATATTGCATAAATCCGTAGGTAAATATATAAACTTTCCCTGTAACCAAGTGCACAAAGCCCACATTATATATGAAAGATTTATAACTATATAAAATCTTTTGTTTCAATTCTACCTTACGTCTGTCTGTTTGTTCGGACAGTAATTTGGCTATGCATGGAGGAATTTCATTAAACTAGACAAAATATTTTAAACATCAGTGGCCGGTGACTGTCTCATACCAGACTAGCGTATTACCTCAAAGTTACAGGCATGTTTTTCTTGCATATCAGACAGGATTATCTGCCGTTATCACCGGTGCTAGAAAACCCTGTCTTACACCCCCCCCCCATGTAAGACTATAAGAATCTTACACTGTCTGGATTATCCAGCTCGAGGGTAGCCTCGTTACCGCCGTAAACAGTTACCCGAGAGCTAGATATTCCGGTCAGTACCGGCAGCCGGTGTAAGATCATTGGTACATCATGGCATACTCAGGTTGGAGGGGGGTGGGGGGATAGAACTTTACGGGGTATGGAGTTCTTCTGATTACTTGTCAGGAGTTCTTCTGAAAACTGTCGACCCAGTTGTTGTGCAAAGAATGAGCGTATTTCGTTTCATAATGATTTACACCCTTATTGAATAATGACAAGAGCTGTCGGTAGGAGAGCAACGCTCGACTATTCTTAGTGCTTGATAGTACAAGAGCCTTGATAATGTAAAATTTCTAAGTTTACAAAAGGGCAAAAATTTTCTTTAAATCCATGTTACAGTTATAGGCCTAAGATAGAGTTCTATTATGCTCTCAAAGAAGAGTATAAAATTTCAACTTGTTTCAAAGCCAGATGTCAATAAAATATGAAAATATCTGAGGTGGAATGTAAATTCTTAGTTGAAAAAGGGGCATTATTCTGTCAATATAAAATCTAAGGGAGTATGGACCCATGTTAAAACATTAGTTCTGTGTTTTTGCTTGAAATATTTTTTATGATTAATTTTAGTTAAAATAGTAATTTTAGTTACATTTGCAGAAACAATGTACATTATTGAGCTAAAAAGCAATATGACTACTACATGTAGTGAGATCAACGTAAGAAAATAGAGTTGTAACATTCACATTTTACCGTTTTTGTCACTTTGAAATCACGTATATGGGTGAAAACCAGAAAAAAATTGCAACTTAACGAACCAGACATCTTTAGTACTGTATATCTAATGTTAGAAGTCTGAGGGGTGTAAGTCAAAGGACATTTAAATTATGGCAAGGAAATGCAGTTTGGTAGACCGATGAACAGGTCTCCTTCAGATGGTTGTGGGCAATTAAAGATAGTTGTGATTATTGTATGTTGCATTTCCTTTCAATGTGGCTGACCATTTATGAAGTTTTATTGAATTACTCTGTAATAAATCCAGAAAGAGTTGAAAGAGCTCCTTCAGCACTGCACTTCCTCTCATTGCGCTTCACCATTGTATGAAGTTGCATTAAATTCTAAACATTAGTTTTATTTGTTTGGGTCGTTAGACCAAACAAATGATGGTAGCGAAATTTCAGACGCTGATGCTGTTAATTGCAAATGCCGAAAGTAGTCCGCTTTTTTGAAGCGAATACTTCCCTTTATATGTACACTAACGCCGAAAAATTCAGGGGAGATCACTGCGTAAAGATTGTCAAATGAAAGACGCATTCATTTTTTCAAGCAAAATAGTTCCCGAATGGTCGAAGATTTCTAATATTGTTTTATTCTTTATAGATATACATGCTTATAGTAAGCTCCATGATTATTTACATCTGTGTTAAACAACATGTTTAGCGTCGAAATAATAAGAGTTACAAACCCTAATTTAGAATAATATGGTTTTCTTCAAGCCGTTAACATATAACTTCACCGTGACCGAGGGGTTTGCACTCTCGCTTAGGAATCGAGAGGTATGGAGTTCAAATCCCAGTTGAGGCAACTCATTTTTTTTCCATTTTTTAAGTCAAATAAACATTGAATTGAATATCAGTGTTGCAATTAGTCTTATAGCCAATTTACTACAGTTAAAACACTGGAAAGCATTGGTGGCACTGTACAAAAACAAATTGGTTTATAATCTCAGAACCTTCACCTTTCTGACATTCTGAGACCAAACAAATTCAGCGCCTTCTGTGCTTTGATTAAGTTATGCACCCGACAAGGAAAAGGAACAAAGGGCAATAACTCTACAAATTCTGAAGATGGAGTTATGGTTATTGTACACTGCACTTCCTCTCATTGCGCTTGCCATTGTAAGAAGTTGTATTGAATTCCAACAACTAATTTTCAAGTTATGCACTGGACAAAAAAAGTAACAAAGGGCAATAACTGTAACTAGTCCAAAAAGAGAGTTATGGTTCTTATGCACTGTACTTCATCTTACTGCCCTTGACAATTGTATGAAGTTTAATTGAATTCCTAATTTTCAAGATATGCACTGGACAATAAAAAGTAACAAAGGGCAAAAACTCTTAAATGAGTCAAGAAAGAGTTATGGTTTATGTGCACTGCAATTCCTCTCAATATACTTGACCATTGAATGAAATTGTATTGAATTCCAACTAGTAGTTTTCAAGTTATGCTCTGGACAAGAAAAAAGCAATGGAAAAGTAACAAAGGGCATTAACTCTATAATTACTCTGGACAAAGTTATGGTTCTTGTGCACTGCACTTTCTCTCAATGTGCTTGACCATTGTATGAAGTTATATTGAATTCCAACAATTAGTCTTCAAGTTATGGTCGGGACAAAAAAAGCAATGGAAAAGTAACAAAGGGCAATAACTCTGTAATTACTTCAGATAGAGTTATGGTTCTTGTGCATTGCACTTCCTTTTATTTTGCTTGACCATTGTATGAAGTTGTTTTGAATTACATCCAGTAGTTTTCAAGTTATGCTCCGGACAAGGAAAAATAACAAAGGGCAATAACTCTGTAATTAGTGAAGATGGAGTTATGGTTCTTATGCACTGCACTTCCTCTCAATGTGATTGACCATTGTATGAAGTTGTATTGAATTCCAACCATTAGTCTTCAAGTTATGCTCCAGACAAGGAAAATGCAACAGACCGCTGGACCGACCGACCAACCAAAGGGCGACTTTTATATACCCCCCAAATTTCGTTTCGGGGTATAATTATCATTGGGAAATAATTTTTCTTCTTTTAGATAAGAAACAGTGACCTTTATCTTAGAGAGCCCAAAAACACTTGCAAGTGAGCTTTCTCTACAACAATTTGATGAAAACATCCCATTCCTAACTCTAGTTATTGACCAGAAACCAATTTCTACTTTTAGTTACAGTGAACTTGACCTGGACACTACAGAGTCCAACAGAAATCCCAAGGGTCAAGGTCTCCACATTAGCTTGATATATAACAAATTGGATTATGATATCTTATTATTGAATGGTAACCAGCTGTTTGACACTCACCTGCCTGAATGCATATCATTCACCAATCTAATGATCAGGATTTTCAAAATTGAAAACCTGGTTAACCAGTAATTAAGACAATAAGATCTAACTTTCAATTTCATTTTACTTTGTAGTTTTAACAAAATTAACAAACATGCAAACATACACCATTTATAAAGAAATACCCAATTCTTTCTTTAACTTGTGGTAATCATACTTAAGAGTATACTTTCTAAAAGTATGAGAAACATTACACTATACACATATGTACATGTATTTCTTTTTAACACAGTATATAAACATTCAAGTTAATGTAAAATACAATTTAAATAGTTCAACATAAAACACAATTTAAATGGTCCATGAAAAAAGGAATCCATAGATTGATTACATAGCCTGACAATATGCAAATGTAATTTTTTATGTTATATATGTAGTCCATGAGTAAACAAAATTGATTACAGGAATTCAAAAAAAATCACAAACTTCAAAATCAGAAATTGAAATGTAGATACAGTTTTATCTCCTCCTTGAATAGAAATCAACTTCTATATGTAAGCAAATTTCACACACCACAGCTGCTCTCACATGTTATTATTATTATAATTGTTGTCAATATTTTTAAAATTTTAATCCCACTTTGATGATTTCACTCTCCTGGTCAAAGTTCCATCATCACTAATACTTGTGTAAGTAGGAACATCTTTAAATTCATCTGTCAACCTTGTATACAGAATATATCCACAGCAGCCCAGGAATACAAACCCTCCTAGTCCCATCACATTTTTATTCTGAAATAAAATAATGACTAACATGTGACATGTGTAAAATTAATTAGGAGCATAATATAAGAAATAATAAAAATATCTAAAAACATACATGTATCTCTCTATACAAGAACATGCAAGTAAATAACAAAAAAAAAAAAAAGCTGTCACTGAAAAGTGACTAATGCCCCCTGAAAGAAAGCTTTGATATAAATTCAGCAATAAATGCCAAAATACCGGTATGCCCGTCCGCCTTTGATAACATCATTCCTAAAATTTCATTTATTCCATTAGAAACGTAGGAGAAATAGTCTAAAGAAATTTTACTAAAACAAGATGTTACTATTTATAGCTCTGGTGGCCATTTTGTGAAGAACGTGCCTGCAATATGCACAACTACGGATAGAACTGTTCACTTCTGTGAAGTTTCATTGAAATCCCACCAGCAGTTTGACCTGTGAAAGTAGGACAAGATTTTTCGATTTATAGCTCTGGCTGCCATTTTGTGCAGCGGGGCAGAATGTGCTGGCGATATGCACAACTAGGGATGGTACTGATCACTTCTGTGAAGTTTCATTGAAATCTGACCAGCAGAAGCCAGACAAGTTTTTTTCTATTTATAGCTCTGGTGGCCATTTTGTGCAGGCAAGTGGACTGTTATTTATTATGTATGGGCGATATTCACAATAAAGGATGCTACTGATCACTCCTGTGAAGTTTCATTGAAATCCTGCCAGTGGTTTGACCTGTGAAAGCTGGATAAGATTTTTTTATTGATAGCTCTGATGGCCATTTTGTGCAGCGGAGTGGAATATGCCAGCTATATGCACAACTTAGGTTTGACCTGTGAAAGCCTGACAAGATTTTACTATTTATAGCTCTGACTGTCATGTTGTGCAGCCAAGCGGAACGTTTGGGCAATATGCACAACCAGGGATGGTGCTGATAACTCCTGTGAAGTTTCACTGAATTTCCCCAGCAGTTTTGGAGATGAAGTGCAGACAAGATTACCGCCATACCGGACATACGGACAGACTTTATGACGCCCTGAGGGAGGCATAAAAAGACAATAAAAAACTAGAACTGTGTCCAAAGGACACGGATGCCCCACTGAAAACATATATATGGTATATAGTGAAAAAATCAACAAAGGGCCATAATTCTGTTAAATTTGGTCGCAGCAAAAATTCCTTCCTTTATTACCATCTACACATTAGTCATTAAGGTTGTTCATCCCTGGAAGTTTAAGCAAAATCTGCCATCCGGTTTAAGAGGAGTTGCGTTCACAAGATTTCGGGACGTACGGACAGACGGACAAGTGCAACGCTATATGCTCCCCACTTTGTGGGGGCATAAAAAAGAAAAGTAAAAAACAGAATACAAGGAATAACTAACTGGTTTTGCAAACAATTCAAAGTTCACTATTTTGAAGGCATTACTGGTTTTGACACCTCTTAACCCGGGTTCTTTGAACTCTGCTTTCGGTTTGTTCTGTTCTTCAGTCATTTTGTCGATATTCTGACTGTCAGACCGCAAAAATTTTGTTAGAAATGTCTCATTCGTCCTTGTTTACGGTAAGGGCGAAAGTCTATACAAATTACAAGGTTTTCGTCCATACAGATTTGAAAGTCGTAAAATGTGCATGATGTCGTGAAAGTAAATAGATATACTGTAAGGAATACATGTTTTTCTGAAACTTTTTCATTTTCATGAAAAATAAATTAGGTTTTTATAAGGAATATTTTGAACCAAACCAAACAAAAAAATGCATTACTGCATGTCCTGCAAAAGGTTCCTGACCACCAAATTTTACTCTGCTATTTTGTCTATACAGATTTCACTGGACCACATTGATATGATGTGTCTATACTAATTTGACTATATTTCATCCTATATAATGTGTCTATACAGATTTCAACCGACTTCATTAGGTACGACCTGTCTATACAGATTTCACTAGACTTCATTCAGTATGATCTGTCTATACAGATTTCACTAGACTTCATTCGGTATGATCTGTCTATACAGATTTCACTACACTTTATTTATTATGAACTGTCTATACAGATTTCACTAGATTTCATTCGGTATGATATGTCTATACAGATTTCACCATACTTCATTCGGTATGATCTGTCTATACAGATTTCACTAGATTGCATTCATTATGAACTGTCTATACAGATTTCACTAGACTTCATTCATTATAATCTGTCTATACAGATTTCACTAGACTTCATTCATTATAATCTGTCGATACAGATTTCACTACACTTTATTTATTATGAACTGTCTATACAGATGCCACTAGATTTCATTCGGTATGATCTGTCTATACAGATTTCACTAGACTTCATTCATTATGAACTGTCTATACAGATTTCACTATACTTCATTCGGTATGATCTGTCTATACAGATTTCACTAAGACTTCATTCGGTATGATCTGTCTATACAGATTTCATTAGACTTTATTCAGTATGATCTGTCTATACAGATTTCACCAGACTTCATTCATTATGATCTGTCTATACAGATTTCACCAGACTTCATTTCTTATGATCTGTCTATACAGATTTCACCAGACTTCATTCGTTATGATCTGTCTATACAGATTTCACTAGACTTCATTTGTTATGATCTGTCTATACAGATTTCACTAGACTTCATTCGTTATGATCTGTCTATACAGATTTCACCAGACTTCATTCATTATGATCTGTCTATACAGATTTCACTAGACTTCATTCGGTATGATCTGTCTATACAGATTTCACTAGACTTCATTCATTATGATCTGTCTATACAGATTTCACTAGATTTCATTCGGTATGATCTGTCTATACAGATTTCACCAGACTTCATTCGGTATGATCTGTCTATACAGATTTCACTAGACTTCATTTGTTATGATCTGTCTATACAGATTTCACCAGACTTTATTATGATCTGTCTATACAAATTTAACCAGACTTCATTCATTATGATCTGTCTATACAGATTTCAATCAGTATGATCTGTCTTTACAGGTTTCAGATTTCACTGGACATGATGTGTCTTTACCAATTTGACTTTATTCTATCTGTATGATGTTCTCATACACATTTTGCTTGACTTTGTTTTGTATGAATCTAAAAATTTACCATTTTCATAAGTAACATTTTTTTTTAAATATTTAATTGTTTAAGATATATAAGGTCATTTCCATAAAAGTACTGGTAGGAGCAAATCATGTTCATCTAAAATTGCAAGAACTTTTTCAAAACTACATTGCTACTACAGACCAAGACAATTTTAATTTCTTAGTGTCAACATAAAAGTGGACATTCCCTCTACACCAGTAATAACAGTTGTATATCTAAGTTCACTCCCTGAAAGAGTAAGTCATAGCAGTACCAAACCTTGAGCACAGGAAAGAAAAGACAAAACAATTAACAGCTGTAATATAGTTTTATTTTGTACTTTATGGTCTTAAAAGTAACTCATGACACTCATTGATACATGTATTGCTAATAGATGCTCACACAGGACATCAATATATCAAGCGAAAAGCCAAAAATGGAAATTACATTTAATGATATTAATGAGGAAAAAAAAAACAATTGTGAAGCAGCACCTGGTCTTTCCACAGAAAAGAACATCATCCAAAAAAGTAATTTAACCTTGTACATTGTAACTACTCATTGGAAAACGATAAGCAAAAACATTTTCCCAGCCAGCACGACTATATCGGGCCGATGTACGGTTAATGTCGGCATGTCGGCAAAGTGTGCCGATTTGGGGCCGACGTCGGACCGCTGCAGTGCCGACATGCTCAATATTTTGAAAAATTCTAAATGCAATGGTATTGTTTACTTAATTATGTTAATAAATAGTCCTGTGTATGATTTCAATTACTAGAACCACATTAACCACATTTCATGTTACATCAAAAAAAGGACATCGGGTCTGCGTCGGGCCTACATGATAAATAAATGCAACTATTTTGTATATCGGATTGACATCGGTACGATATTGCGTTTTCTGTCACATATCCATATTTTGTTAAATCGTTGAAATATTATGAAATAAATTAATTCCAATGAAACACCGTTGTTCTTTACTTATTATATTTACGTACTGTCTTACTGTCCGGTTTTTTGTAGTAGACAAGGGAGGGAATTCTGTTAGGTTTATTCCCTCCCTTGATTACCATGCAGCAAATAATTGTACATTTTGATATGAATTTATAAAATAATTTTAGCTGAGTTTTAAAATGATATGTTGTTTGTAATTGAATTCAATATTTATTTTCTAAGCACATAAAAAACACTCTTCAATTATAATTTAAATGCAAATCTGGCAAATATTCACTGCATTTCTACTTTCAACAGAACAAGCGCCAAAAAGCTAATCAAAGGAAGGTGATGAAATTATATATATTTTAAAGTAATGATGATTTATCAAATGTGTAAACATTGTTAATTATTTGATTTTAACACTTTAAGTGATTGGAAAAATAAACCATTTATTTGTTTGTCTGATTTTAATGTAAAATCAAGGTTGAAAATATTTGTTACATATTTTCGCGACATGCATTAACAGGGCAGTGATAATTTATCATTTGCACATCAAAGTTAGAATGTACTAAATATTCGCTTTTATAATCTTATTTTGTAAAAAAAAATATGTTTGTGTTTTGCATACTTGCTGTTAATTTTCACTTTCACAATTTATTAATGTGCATGTACATGCTTTCCCTTCTACTGGATTTTTTTCTTTAATTGATATGAATATGAGCAGGGAAGTTGGTTAAAATAATCATTCATTTTTTTATTTTTCATTTTCTGTTTTAAAGGTGATAGTGCTGGGTATACAGTTAGTGTAGGCAATTAGAATCACCTTTATATCGAAAGCTATATTTTATTTAAATGACATAATCTGAAAGGAACTGGTGTCATTTCTTTCTTCTTAAACATCACATTATTACCATCTGTTATAGATCTACTGTTGCAGTAAAAATAGAAAAACAACGCGAAAATTTATTAATTGATTACCCTACAACATGAGAAAAGAAATGTAAAATATACACTGCAGATCAAAATTTTAAAGCCTTCATTTAAAACAAAGGTTATCTGAAAAACTTGTCATTCAAGTACTTCTGGATCACACGAAACATATATTTCCCTACACACAGGTGCTAAATTTTGTATACTTATATGCATTGATTCTTTGAATTCATTGAAACATTTGGAACATCATTTTGTTTTTGTTGGATTAAAAAGAAATTAAATGAAGTGATTCGGATTACCCTAGATTTGGATTGCCTACACATACGTAGTCTATAGCTTGGCAAACCAAATAATCCTTGTACTAATTGTAAGCAAGTATGTCCTATTGGAGGTCTTACCGAGAAATTAGATCCAATGTTAGGGAGCACATGGATTTTGTTTACAATGACACAAGTGAAAATGACCAGAATAATTGTAGTGAGGGTAATCAATCGAACGTAACTTCTGATGACATAGTGGGAGAAGCTGCATGTGATAGACAGCACAATGAAATTTTGCAAATTAATTTTGATCAGAACTTAGATGATTCAACATTGAGTTTTGATGATATATCTGATACTTCCTCATCAGAAGAAAGCATATTGCCTGCTGCACAGTAAATGGGCCAATTTTTCAAAAATACATGTAATGCAGGCTTTTTCAAAAAATATATTGCATTTTCTATTATTTTTTTGTGTTTTTACAAAGGACTTACTATAAAGCAAATGTGCCCAAAATTTTTTTGGGATAGCATTACCCAAAATAAAGATACAGACGTTTTTATACCCTAAAAATGTCCATTTTTACATGTAATGTGTTAGCATCTGTTTTTTTGGTGTTTTTAGAATTAACACCACTATTATCTGTTTTAATTTATCACTTAAATTTTTTTACATGCACATAGAAAATTTAATAACCTTTCCAGTGATATATAATACTTGGTATACATCATCCTGGTTTTTATCGTTAAGATGATTTTAGTAAAATCAGACTTTTGTAATGCATCAGTTTTTTCAAAATTCAGTTGTTAAGTAAACAAGTATACCTTTAAGCAGTTACAAATAAAATAGTACTTTATTGTCTCAATCTAATGAAATATGAATTAAAAACATATGTTAAGTGCTTTCAATTCAAATTTTCAAACAATTTTACCATAGTAGGCATTATAGTGGTAAAAAAAATTTTGTGATGAAAAAACTGTAACATCCGTCCCCCTCTCATAAAATATCTAATTTTAAAACAAAACTCATAAAAAACAATGTTTCTGGTGCTTAATGATAGCCTTACAATGGAAATGTTACAAAAATTGCCAATTTCTATGTTTATGAGAAAAAAAATACAATAATGTAAAAGTTGTCTGTAACATCTGTCCCCGTAACATCCGTCCCCCTATTTAAGGTTCTTATTAAATCTCATATAAACTGTAACTGAAAAGGGAATTTTACACTTAAACACCAAAGTTACATTGAAAAATGAAGAAATAACAGAAATAAAGCACTGAAATGATGTATTTATAAAAAAAAAAAATTTGTGAACACTATATTCCTTAATTTTGAAAAAAAATCAGTATTTTTTGCTCTGAAATCAAAAATATTTACTTGGAAATAAAATTTATATGTTATTTTTTAACCTCAAGTGGACCAATGAGTTTATTAAGATAATATTTAAGATTATATAAATTTATAACAAATATAATTTTTTGTCATGCTATGTTTACAAACTAAGAGTACAGAAGGGGACGGATGTTACAGAATTGAACTAAAAATTCTTTTTACAGTAATACAAAATTTATCTTGTTCTTATGATGCATGATAGAGAAGTTAGTAAGCTTTGCAACTGTAGGAATGTTTCACACAACAAATAAAATACAATTAAAAAAAAAACTAGAGGAAACAAACACAAAATCCATAACAGGATATATAGAAAAAGGTGCAAACGATAGAGATGTTGAAAGTATCTTTGTGATTAAAATTGGTCAATTGTTTAAACATAAATTCTTTAGCCTTAAATAGTTAACAAACCATGTATCCCAGCCCCTCATAAAACAGTGGGATATGGATCCTAACTCTATACACACAGAAGGGGCTGGCACTTTATTGGAAGTTAACGAGCTGTATATTGGGAGCTGTGTATATTGTATATTGGGAAGTATGATATATTACAAAACAGTAGGAGTGCATATTAAGGGTGATATATATTATGCTTAAAAACAGTGGGAGGGACTACCATATCTTATTCAAGAATGTCTGTCATTAAGTATTTAAGTTGAAGATCAATTAAGTCAAAGGATTTATTGAACTTCAAAAATTTATAGGCTAAATATGTAGTCAATGAAAATTAAACAAAGAAATATAATTCAACACCCTGATTAAAATTTTTAGATTTTTTTCCCCATAAAAACTCAAGCACATTTTCTTACAATTTGACCCATTTAATTATTGTTAATAAAGTGAAAGAAACTTGTAAGTAAAGGATATGGTAAGGATTCCTGTAATGAAAAAGTTGGGATAATTGTGAAAATTATTCTGTAAATAAACCCTTGGCAAATTATTTTGCACCTATAAATTTTATTGAATGACAAATTAGTTCATTAAGTTAAGCAGTTCATGTACACTGAAATATTTACAAAGACAATTATTAAAAGTTAGAAATAATGAGATTATGATACTGAATCATAATGAAATCTTTGGATAATGCTGCTAACATTCCACATTAATTTACTTAAAATTTCATCAAATCGATAGAACTTAATTGCAACAATTTAAAATCTTATAATTTTTAATGAAAATTTTTAATTGTGTATAATTTATGTATTTAGTAATGAGAAATTCAAGCTTGCATATGTTTCAATCTGAAAACTTCTTATTTACTTCACACTGTATCATATCTTTTAAAAATATAAATCTTATTAATATTTAACTAAAGTATTTTGTAAATAATTTCATGTATAGAAAGGTACCGTTGGTATGACATTCTCTCTTTAACGTTAATGCATTATCTGGAAACAAAGATTCTTTTATTTAATTAGCAATGTTTTTATTTTATTCCAAACATTTCAATGTTCATTCAAATGTAAGATAATAAGTGTAAGAAAACTAAGTCAATGCAACTTTTCATTGTGAAACACAAATAGTAAGAAACTTCATAATTGTCAGGTATATTTCTACAATTTTCTCATAATTTGTTCAGTTATTTTACATTTATTGTACTGTACAAAGCATATACTCTTATAAATTTCATTACTTTAAAATAAAAACAAAAAAAGTATGAACTATGAGCTTAAAACATCGAATGTAACATCCGTCCCCCCAAAAATGTAACATCCGTCCCCCAGATACAATTCATTTTTGGATTATCTGACAAGAAATATACATAAGCAAGTCCTATAATTTCTACTGTTTTATAAGAAATGTGATTGCATATTTGATTTAAGTATGATTTGGTGTACCTATCCTTGTTTTTTTCTCTCTGTTTCTAAAATGTTTGAAAATTTAATTTTGTGTGAAAAATACTGAAAATTTGAAAGCAAATATTTTTATATCTAAGATGAATTTTCTGGATTTTTTTGTAACATTTATCAGAACACATAATATTTTAATAAAATAAAGAGAAATAATACAACTTTTATTATAAACTGTAAGATATTCAGACTTTAAGTATATCTTTGTAACATCCGTCCCCTACCCGCACAGTCTGCAAAAGATGTAATATTTTGAAAAAGGTATCCAAAACGTTATCCTTTCTTTCCAAAAATATTGTTATAGACACCCTAAGGTACTTAAAAAGAGCAAATATTGTCTTGTATGTTTAACTTTATTTTTTGACTTAGATGCTAACACAATTGGCCCATTTACTGTGCAGCAGGCAATAGATGATATTGAAATTGATCTGAAGGACAAGTTGGCAGGTTGGGTAACAAAGTTCAGCATTCCACACACTGCAGTGTATGAACTTTTACATATTTTAAGTACCTACCATGACTTTCTCCCCAAAGATCCACGAACTTTGTTGAGGACGAAAAAAGTGTATGAAATCAGTGAAATGAATGGCGGATCTTACCACCACTTTGGCATCTCTGCAGGCTTAAAAAAAATTTTGTTGAAAGAGCCAACATATTCTTTTTGTGCAGCTGACAGTTTGTCTATTCAGATTAATATAGATGGTTTGCCTTTATTCAAGAGTTCCAACACTCAATTTTGGCCAATTTTAGGTAGACTTGTTGAGCCATTTTCATCTGAGCCATTTGTAATTGGACTTTATGTAGGCAATTCAAAGCCAGGGGATGTAAATGCATTCTTGCATGACTTTGTTGAAGAAATGCAGTATCTTGAACAGAATCTTTTGCATGTAGAAGAAACAAATCAGTATTTGAAAGTGAATTTATCAGCCATTATATGTGATGCCCCTGCTAAGGCATATGTTAAGCAGATTAAGGGTCACAGTGGTTACCATGGATGTGATAAGTGTATGCAAAAAGGTTGTTGGAAAGGCAAAATGACATTTCCTTTAATTGATTCCCCTTTGAGAACTGATTTTCAGTTCAATGAATTGTCTTCTGAAGGACACCATCTAGGTCGCTCACCATTAATGAATCTTTCCATTGGTATGGTCTCACAATTCCCATTGGATTATATGCACTTAGTATGTTTAGGCGTTGTTAAACGTTTGCTTCTGTTATGGATGAGAGGCCCCCTGGAATCTAATTGTAGGATTGCCGCCAGGTCTGTAGCCTTAATTTCAGAGAAACTGATAGGTTTACAGAAGTACCTTCCACGAGAGTTCCTGAGGAAAGGGAGACCTTTGAATGAGATTGATAGATGGAAAGCAACAGAACTCAGACAGTTTTTACTCTATACCGGTCCTTGCGTCCTGTTCAGCACTATTTCACGCTCAACCTATAAGCACTTTATGTTGTTGTTTGTTGCTATATATTGTCTCTCCAGCCCATTTTATTGTAGTGTGTATTGTAATTATGCAAACGACCTTCTACGCTTGTTTGTGCATGACTTTGCAAGGATATATGGTCAAGACACAGTTGTCTATAATGTTCATAATTTAGTCCACTTGGCAGGTGATGTAGAAAAACATGGTGTTCTGGATAATTTTTCAGCGTTCATATTTGAGAGTTTCCTAGGGAAGTTGAAACGACTTGTAAGAAAACCAAATTTTCCACTTCAACAAGTAATACGAAGACTGTCTGAAAATAGTAATTGGCAACCAAATAAAAGACAAAAAGTTGAAACATCTGGTGTTGTTAAAAAAAATCACATTAATGGACCAATCAGTCCGCAGGTTAGGCTTCAAAAACAATACAAAGAACTGCAGTTAAAAGAAGTGTACTTTTCTGTAAAAACTGGTGACAATTGCATTTTAGTTGGAGATAAAGTTGGTCTTATAAGAAACATAGTTTGTGAAAGTACTGACAAAGAAAAGTCACTAATATATGAGGAATTTGGAGATGTCTCTAACTTCTTTGATATTCCTTTACTTTCATCTGACCTTAGAATTTTTGTAGTTTCTGGTCTAACTGGAGAAATGAAAGTTACCAAAGCTTGTGAGGTTTTCAAGTGTGTTCTCTTACCTTTCCAGGAAAAGTTTTTGACCATTCCCCTTCTGCACACATTATAAAGTAATTTTTACACATTAATTAAGCCTTAGAATTAAATAAATTTTTACTTCTTTAAAAAAGGAAAACATTCATTTTTATAATGGTTAAACAGTGGTTTTACAGAGATATTACATTTTTGTAAATGCTTAATTATTACCTGAAAAGTAGCGATAAATGTGAAGTTATTTGTCACAAAGTATTATTTTGACTTCGATACAAAATACTTAGTCACTGTAAGTTAAATTATTTCCAAAAAGCAACAGATGAAAAAGATGGTTCCAGTAATTGGCCAAAGAGTAACTTTTTGGATACTATAAATACACCAAAATTAAAATGATTATGAGAAATAAAGGCATTTTGGAGGCCTTTTATGTGTTTCCTAAGAAGCTAAACAAGTTAAATTGATGTTTTTTCCTTATATTTTACAACTGATTAAAGGTTTTTTCCTTATGCAAAAATATCCTAAAGTAAAAGATATAAAAAAATTTCTATTGAATCTCCTGTGCATTTTACAACATGGTTTTACAGTATTTTTTATTTGAGATATTCGGCCCCTTTCTCATCCGTAGGAGTATAACAAACAACCTATATGGAACAGTGGTTTAGTTTCCCTGCATTTGGAATAGTGCCAGTACTTGACATGGGTTTTACTGAAATTTGGAATTTTACAAAAGATGCAAAATATTCATTAATCTAAGTAAAATATACACTCTTAAACCATGTATGATTTCTTAAGGTTGAAAAAAAAATTGATAAAATTTTATATAAATGATGTTGAAAGTACGAAATGAATTGGGTACGAATATTACTCATGTGGTTATACTTGGTTTTTATTGTAAATCACTAATAAATATGGAGGCATCCATTACTGTTTTTTTGGGGGTTTTTTTTACCTTGAATTTTGCCAATTTTTGTGGTAAATTTCAGTTTTGTTTAGGGAGTTTACCAGTCATGATTCAGGATATTTGCTGTTTATTTTCTATTGGGAAGGGTGCCGTTTGCAGGTATCAGTTATTTACGGGGGAAAAACGCTGTGGAAAAAACCTTAAGAGAAATTTTAGCAATTCAGAATGTAGTTATGTTTGACCTAATTTATATGTTTCGTTAGGTCTCTTTCTGGAAAGGGAAAGTATGTACATGTACAATCATTAAAAATTGTTGTAAAAGTTTAGATATTAGCAAACAAAACCGTGTCATGAAATAGGTAGATATGTGCTGACATTTTATAGTTTAAGAAAATCACAGCCCTGTATATGTATAAAAAAAATCTGCAAATGTGAATCCATTTGTCTAAGCAATAAAGACTTATATTGTAAAATATTGGTACATTTTCATCACTTTCTTTTGAAAGTTTGTTGGAATGTTTGTGTTACTACATTTAGAATGTACGTGCTAGTTGAATTCACTGATGAAAAATGTTTAGCTGTAATTCCGGACAAATGGCGTGATGGAACAAAATGTGCTTTATGGCCAAGCTGGAAGGTATCTTCTAAAATTACTAAAGCTGCAATGAAGAAGATGGAGCCGCAGGATGATTGGCAATCCTTCCCAATCCGTGAATTGTACGAACATGGTAAATTGTGTTAATTTGATTATTTTGATTTACTTTCAACCAGATTTGTATGTTTGTATTTATATGTAAATATATCCTTTTGTGTAAGTAAGGATTATTGCAAATACTGAATACATGTAATTTTAAAAGAAAATTTCAATTGAATCAGGCTTGTCTTAAAAAATGTAAAATTACACTTTCTTTGTCATGCTTATAAATATTGATTGAATTACATTGTTAATATCACATTGTGGTCAAAATTGGCTTAAACTACTTAAAATTAATATATTTAAATTATTGCTGTTGTAGAATCATATGATAAGGTACGAAAGAAGCTGCGTGAAGCAGAAGATGAATCTGACCTAGCAACTGCCTTAGAGGCTAGTGAAGATGAGGCAGATTCATACCGCCGATCAAAGAGAAAAATCAGGTAGCTGTTTTTTCTTGGCTAGAAGTTAATTGTGAAATGTTAAAAAACATTCTCTAGTATCTTTCAGTCACCATCAGTGATGACACTCACAATTATTATAATTTTTTTTATATCATGTAAAAAAATCAAATAGCTTTCAAATGCTCAATGACTAGGGTCATGTAGCTGATATCTGGCCACTTGTAGAATTAATTATACTAAAATAAATGCATATGGAATACAGTACATTGATTAAAGGTACTGTCAACAACATCCCTACTAAAGTCTTTAAAGCAGCATGCCATCAGAATCATGCTTATTTTCATGAAAATTTTAAAAATGTATTTTAAAGTAAATACTATGAATTGAACAAAGAAGAAATAATTGCAAACGGCAATTACAGTTTATGTAAATTAAAAAAAAAATGATCCAAATATACATAAATACGTCTTTACTCTTACTGCATTAGTAACGTCTACGCGTTAGTAACGCAGTAAAATTATAGTGATTGATACTGTTAAATCAGTCATATATCCCACATAACATGTAAATAATTAAATATTGAATATTTTCCCTTGATTAGAGCATTATTATGTTAAATTAATACAGGGGTTATGTTTTTAACTATTTTAGAAAAACAGTATTTTCTTCATCTGATGAAGATGAGGACAGGCATGATTTTACTGCTGTTTCACGCAGTAAGATAACAGAGGAAGGGTCTCAGGAAGAAGTTCAATCAATGCTTTTGACAGTTTCTAAATCATCACCACCGTCTTCCATCTCACCACCGTCTTCCATCTCATCACCACTGTCTTCCATCTCATCACCACTGCCTTCAACAAAATCGCCATCTCTTCCTAAACCACCGCCACGTATCCCATTGGCAACCACTCCAAATGTGAAAGTTGGCTCAAAGACGCAAGAAACAGCAGCTCCAGATGCAAGTATGTTTTGGCCTTTTTAGTTATACATACCTTTTTTTGTATTTTGTTGATAATTAGCTTTGCATTTATGTAATTGAGGTTGACTTCTCTTCATAATTTGCTCCAAAAAAAAAGGTCAGGGTAATTTCTTAAAAAACAATGGGTGCTAATATAAGATTAATTGCGTAAAAGTTTAATGTTGTTTATATCAAGCTAGGACTTGTCATCTTTCTTAAGGATGAACATTTAGCCTTGAGAACCATGACATTACTGTGATTTTTTTCCTGATTTTGTGTAATAACATTTTTTTTCTTGCCAAATTTTAGATAGAGATCATGTTCGCTTCTCAAGAGAAGTGTTCACTAGTATCGAAAAAATCAGAATCGAACAAAACCAGCAACGCAGAATGCTTGAAACTCTTCTAGATATGGTTCAGGAGCTAGGAGCGTCAAAAGCGAGCAGCTCCAGTACCTTCAGTCTGCTTGAAGGTATTACCCGTCCCCTCCAATCTTTGGAGAATGTTGAAGGGTTAGAAAAAGAGTTGAGACAACAGGCTGTTCTTAACAACATGGTAAGAAAACCTGTCTCTACAAGCGTATTTTTTCTCTATCAGTATATATACATGTACTGTCTCAATGCCCTTTAATAAGTGCCTCTGAAAGCAAATGCTTGTTTTTGGCCAATTCATTATACAATGATAAATTTATCGAATTTTGTTCTTTTTTTGTAAATTTTAAAACATGTAATTTTAGCTGTAAAAGCTGAAGGATACAGTAAAAACCATTAAATACATGTACTATGAAAACAGATAATGAGATTTGTTTTTTAAAAAATTATTTCTTCATATTCATAGTTCTTTTCATTACAGTTCTTTTCAAAAATTGAAATTTTGTTATGTTTAAATACTGTTTTAGTGTTAAGCCTTAATGACACTTAACATTTCAGGTCAACTACCTGTCTTTGATTGGCGGGAAAAACACACCAGATATGGTCAGGCGAATTCTGAGCCATGTAATCAAAAGCCGTTTGGCAGAGAGTTACAACTGGTACGGAAAGAAAGGAAAGCTTAAATTTGGATCGTTGAAAATAGCGGAAGTGATTTGTAGTAAGTCATAAAGTTTTTTTGCATTTTTTTTGCATAAATGTACTGTTTTGGATTGGTTTTCTGATTAATCTTGTTTTAGATTGGCTTTCTGAGTAATCTATCAATTAAAATGAAAAAAAAGCAGACAAACTTTTATGTTTGTTATTTATTCAGAAATTCAAAATCTATTAAAGTATAAAGCCCATTATTTGTTACTCAAACGTTTTGAAGGTATGTACATTTCAGTTGTCATAACAATGAAGAGCAGGTGAACTTATTCAAATAATTTCCTTAACTTGCAAAAATTTAAACAAGACGTACAGAGAATATCACTGTAAAAAAGTCAAATGAACATTGCGTTTTTTATGTAATTTACAGAGGCAGTGCAGAAGACCACACCAGGAACAACCACAGCAGAGGTCGAATTTATAACCAGAGAATGGTTGAGGACAGCCAAAGACCGTGAGGGAGGTCGTAAAAATAGAAAGGCAGCCACAAATACCTCAAGTGAAAATTTAGAAAACTGAGATTTCAAAACTGTCCTCCAAAAAAGATACATAATTATACTTACATGGACTGATAAAACATGAGAACTTTCATTAGCATTTAAATACTGTTTTACTAGTTATGCACCATTTATTTTCTCTCTTTTTTTCTGTAAATCACCAATGTGAAAGCTTTGATAAAGCATGGGGAAAAATCATTGATTTAAAAATGTCAGTATCATGAAATTTAGTGGGTCCCTTGCACTGACAGAAGTTGAAGTAATTTTTTTATTTTTAAGTATTTTCCCTTGATATATAGAGGATATTGAATGAATAGGTTTAATACTAAATTTATTGAACAAGTTGAATAAAATCACATAATATTGTTTTATTCAACAATTTAAATAAATGAAGTATTAAATCTAGACAAATATTATACTCTATTTATCACATATTCAAAAAAAGAAAAGTTTATTGTAGTGCTGTCATAGATTCAGTGCAAAGCATATTGACGATACATTGATATCGGCTGACTAAATATTGGCATTACACCAATATATCTAAAAATACTCTTATTTTCTTGTATATAATACTTCTATTTCATACCTGTTTAAATGATTTAAGTAAAATAGATAGGTTGTGTACCTTTGCATGATTTTTTTCCGGTTATATTTTGTCATAACTGCTATGAAATGTGTCCATTATGGAGCAACAGCTTAGTGTTAGACACGGCCATCTGCTTTTGTGTATCTTTTTAGTGAATTTTCATTTTTTATAGACCTTTAAACAATCAATTTTTTTCAATTTTGTATTGATTATTGTTAGACAGAAAAATATCAATGATATTGTCTCTATCGATGACTGCTCTAGTTTACAGTTGCTTTAAGGCCATGTTTATAGATAGTGCAAATGTGTCCCATAAAATTGTTATTACACTAGTGTAATATCGGTTTTATTAAATGGCTTTATTACACTCCTGTGCCGCGGTTTATGTAATAAGAGACAAGAGGTTCGGTATTTAAACTTTATTTTTGTACTTGGACACACACACAAATAGTTATTTTGCAGCAAGTAACTATATAGCTTTTTTTGTTCCAGCTTGTTTTTCATTTGAGTCAAATATTTATGCATTTGTTTTCATAATGTAATAATTATTACCATGTTTTTTATAGCTTAAAATGCCAACCAGTATTAAATTTTACAATGATTAACTTGTTTGACACTCTCTATATATTTTATTTTGTTGATGATTTAATATGTTTTACATCAGTCTTGTGCCAAATTTATTATATGTTATTCTTTGTGCCAATTAAACTCATTATTATTCAATTTGAAAGTCATTGATTTTTACATTCAATGTTTCTCCAGATACAAATTAAATAACAACCATAAATTAATTGTAAGGTTTGAAGATATTTATTTTTCAAGTTTTTAAATTCAGTATTTTACCATCTTGCTTGGAAATTACACTCTTACATAAATAGTCTAATCACAAGTTCATATTGATGTATTTTTATCTTACGGATATAAATATTTGTAAAATCTGCATAATTGAATTATATATTTGCATGACATATCTTTTTTTAATGTTAGCAGTTTGTTGAGGTTGTTTATATTCATTAACAATTTTGTTTTATTTTAGTCATGTTTGTTGTCCAATTCGTTTAAATAAGTCAGTTATATTTTACTGTTTTTTAGCTCGACTATTCGATAAGAATAAGTAGAGCTATTGTAGTCACCCGAGCGTCAGCGTCCGCGTCGGCGTAGCCACTTATGTTAAAGTTTTTGTAATAGTTCAAATATTTTCAAAGTCCATTGACATATGGCTTTGAAACTTTGCACACTTGTTCACCATCATGACCCCAACCTGTAGACAGGAGGAGGTAACTCTGTCAAGCATTTTGACAGAATTATGCCCCTTTTTCAACTTAAAATTTATGTTAAAGTTTTTGTAATACCTCTAATATTTTCAAAGTCCATTGACATATGGCTTTGAAACTTTGGACACTTGTTCACCATCATGACCCCCACCTGTAGACAGGAGGAGGTAACTGTATCAAGCATTTTGACAGAATTATGCCCCTTTTTCGACTTAGAATTTATGTTAAAGTTTTTGTAATAGTTCAAATATTTTCAAAGTCCATTGACATATGGCTTTGAAACTTTGCACACTTGTTCACCATCATGACACCAACCTGTAGACAGGAGGAGGTAACTGTATCAAGCATTTTGACAGAATTATGCCCCTTTTTCGACTTAGAATTTACGTTAAAGTTTTTTGTAATAACTCAAATATTTTCAAAGTCCATTGACATATGGCTTTGAAACTTTGCATACTTGTTCACCATCATGACACCAACCTGTAAACAGGAGTAGGTAACTCTATCAAGCATTATTTTTTACTATCAAGCACTAGAATAGTCGAGCGTTGCTGTCCTACCGACAGCTCTTGTTTGTGTTCCTTGTTAATTATTTTATGATTTCATAATTTTTTTCAAATAAACAGTTCTTTTCATTATTTGTAAACATGTATATATATTGTTACTCTAGTCTTAAGGTAATATATGTATAAATTGCTATTTCTCTCCAATTTTCAAAGGAAAAAAAAGATTAATTGATAAGATCTTTAAAGCATCTCTAGTGTCTTTAACCTTTGTTTTGGGGCATGTTTCTTTTGATTGATGCCAACAAATAGGTATACAAACTTCTTTCATTTTAGGTATTCTGTATCTGTTGTAATCAGAATATAAACAAAGATTCATTGCATTCAAAGTACTTAAAATACATTGCTTTAAACACTTAAAAATCAAATTTTGTCATTTCCATGCCCTTAATTTTCAAATTAAAACTGTTGATATCTCAATAAAACATGCATTTTTCTTATATCAAAGTTGTCTTTCAACCAATGTGATTTTAATGATAATAATGTGATCAAATTTTGTCATTGTTTAGAATTATTAAAATTGATTATTGAATTTAGTTCATTTGTTGTGATTTTGTTTCTCCTTTAAGGAAGTTAACAACAAGAAATGTTTAAATTGCAGGCTATGCCAAATGCCTGTTGCTTGTCAGAATCAACAGGCTAGCCTAAGGATCATACGTGGTCAATGTAGGGCTGATATCTTCTGTTGGCTGACATCGCACCGCTATTGTTTTGATGTTGGCCCGATGTAGGTAAGAAATATCAGGTTGATGTTGGCCCGATGTAGGCAAGAAATATTGGGCCGATGTTGATTTGATGTTGGCCCGATGTAGGCAACAAATATTGGGCCGATGTTGATTTGATGTTGGCCCGATGTAGGCAAGAAATATCGGGCCGATATTGTTAAGACATCGGCCCGATATTGTACTACCGATGTCGGGCCGACATCATTCCTATTTGCAGCCGAGATTTAATCCGATGTCGGGCCGTTATAGAAAACCATATAGGTTTGATGTCGGGCCGATATAGAATGTTGGCTGGGTTGTACTTTCATTAAGCCAAACATCTGTTTCTTCTCCCAGTATGTTTGTGTACATGCTACATGACAAGTTAACATATTGATCGCTGAAGCAACACTGGTCTAACTTTAAAAAAAAATTTCTTCAAAAATTACTTTTTTTACATTTTTAGCCTCATTGCATGAAATACACAAGTAAATAAAATATCATAAATAATTGTGAAATTTTATTGTTTTTATTTACCACTTGGAAAATATTAAATACAAAAACTAAGAATGATAGAGGAAAGAGAAATGTAACAAATTACTGTACTAGGAATATGGGGGAAAATATATTAAAAAACGTCACAAAATTTGAGTACATGTATAACTTGGATGGTGAACAAAGCCATAGATACAAGTGCCATGCCATGTTTAATTATAAAGAGCTGCAAAAGCTTTTCTTTGACAACTTAGAGATATCACCTTACTTTATGCAAAATGTTCTAAAAGTTAATTAGGATTTTACTTGAAAACCTGACTTGCACTATGTTTTCAGATTATCAATTTATTGATGCTATAAACATTAAATAAAAACATATAATTCTATGAAAGTATTGGATTTAATTGCAACCAACATAGACTGATATCAACTGATACACAACTGTGCCAGCTAGTTTATAAGGGCATACACTCTTTGCAGCTTGGACAATAAGACCCTTCCAACCATGTTGGCAATTAAGTGTGTGGTTCGATCAACTCGCAACTTATATGATAAATTCAATATGAAAATACAATTATGTCATATCCTCCATGTAAATGCATAACTACTTGAATGTTACTTATGTGTCTGATAATTTTGTGCTGTGGCACAAACGACTAGATTCTCTTTATCTTAATAGGACGCTTCAGGGTAAAAATGTCACTCCATTCAATCGACCCTTTCTTGTTTGTAGATTGGTTTTCTTTGAATCACCTGTAAAAAATGACAAAAGTTAACTTTACTCTGCATTGAAAGCAACATTTATAACATTGTTTCTACCAAAATTGTGATCACCTAAATAAATACACAAATTTTAAACTTAAATTCGGGCACTAAGTGTTCAATTTTGGTTAAGGCTTTCTTCCAAAGCATGTAGTGCTTTGATATTTTTAGATTTTATGTACAGTTAAACCTGTAAGTAAAGACCACTCATGGGAATGGCAAAATGTGGTATTTATTTACTTGTCAGTTTTTATCACTTAAGGACGTTTTTGGAAGTTTTCATATAGACATATTGGCAAAATTAAAACTGTTCAATAGAATTTCTTTAAACTTGGCATGTAAGATGTTGTTAGAATATGATAACAGAAACATTTTTAGCGAAAAAAAAATTTGGGTCACCATTCTCGTTTTTGAGTCATCTGCCTTTGAATTGGACTTTTTTGTTAAATTCAAGTGCAGATAATTTACAATGAAGGGAATAAATACATTTTTTTTTCTTATTTTCATCAAGCTTACCTTCATTTTAGTTGATATGCAAAATTGCAAGAACAAATTTAGAGGGGGTAGTTTTTATTCCCACTTCTTCTTTTAACCTGTGCATTTTTTCTTTAAAAAAATGGCCTGTTTTTTAAGGATTTAAAGTACCTTTATTTTCATTGAAAAAAAGTTAATGGAAACGATGTAAAGAATTGCATATTATTATGTATTGTACTCAACAATAAAAGAAAAACATAATCCAGAAGTAAAAACAAGAATTCATTTGAGTATGTATAAGTTATCTGCCCTTGAAATGACCCCAAATAAGTAGAAAAGTCTGACAATTCCCTTGAGACATTTTAGGAAAGCATTTTTTTTAGGGAAGGTTCTGTTGAAATAATTAATTTGTGAAATGCTATTTAGTTTGGTCTTTTAAGTAAAATATGTCTCAAAATTTATTGTCACTGAATAGGGACATCACTGAGGTGGCAGGATGACTGACTAAATTGACTACACATCTAATAATGTTTCTAAGTTCTGACATTCTGAAGTTGGTCGGTAAGATATAATTCAACCTTTAAAATAAGTATTCAGAAACGTGCAGACTTTGTGCTATATGTATGAAGTTAATGAAAAATACATACTTAGTTGTATGTTACACGGCTTTGTTTTTGGATTTGTTAAGAAATTGTGTACAGAAGTCTTCAATTGCAAGCCTCGCTGTAATCACTGTCTGGAAAAACTTGTAAAATTGCACATTGGAGTACCTCTGTGTTGCACTGCTCTACTACGCTTGAATGGAAGAGAAAAATATTGTTTAAACAATTTATTATGGGTAAAGGGTTTGATGCTGCTTCCAACAATAATTCAGTCATATCACGACAGCAGTAAATACTTGCCCTCCTACGAAGTTTACCAGGTATACTAGTAAATGTTAACTTGCACTACAGGATTTTAATATAAGTTAATGTCACATATAATAATGCAATACATGGCACCAAAGTAAATATTAAAGGCCAGGAGGTCTTCTGCACAAAAAAGCATTTAGCCATCCCAACAGTAGAGACTTGTGAAGAATTCCATTGTTCAAATTGAATATTATATTAAAGTCATGAAAATGTGGACTTCTTCATGTTTCCAATGATTTTTTAAAAATATTTCTGACTGTATTGTTATTTAAAAACAATTATGGAATCCTATCAAGTTATATTCATTGATAGACATGACAATATGTATAATATTAATTTAGTATCAAATCTGAAGAATCCATTACATATATAAACATGTGTATACATGTACCTTGTTAGAACCTGAGCTCCTTAATTTCACTGAAGCATTCATACTATTCCTCTGTCCACCTGCAACACATGGGAGATAAATGCTATAACACTTCAATAGTAAGTAAATAATAAATATTTACATTAAAATAAGCAACTTTTTATTTCATATATGAATAAAACAGAGACACTATTCCCTGGGTTTTAAATCAAGCTAAAAATGATTATGTCACTTAAAATATGGACTTTAAAATTGCATACACAACCCTAACCAAGTCTAGCACTGCTGCAAACAAAGACTTGCAAAGGATAAAAGTCCTCCAGTTATTCAAATAATCTTAAGTTCGAATACATTTAATATGAATACAAACTTTTAGATTTGTCCTCAGCTGTAGAGGTGTGAGAGGTTCTAGAGGTATGACCTTGTAGACATGGTGTTGGCTTACTTGATGGGTTTGATCTGCATACATCTCTCTGAAAGCAGTACAAATTTATTTACAGATAATCTAAATTTGCATTCTGTAGGCCTACATATGATTGATACAGATAAATACAATTATTCACAAAAAGTAACAAAAATACAATGTATGTGTGAAATGTAATCTATTATAGCTCATATGATTTATTAACTATATTGCCTTATGTGGCATCAGAAGGTAACAATCTGTAATGTCCCATGCAAACATCTTATATGGCACCAGACAGTATTGAACAAGATATAACAATGGTCGTAGGGGCAGGGGGGACCGTGAGACAGGGCAAACCATACCAGGATGGACCATATGTTTGGAAATGGCGGACCATGACTCGAGATGAGGCCGACCGTGATTAATTTCAAATTTAATACTGCTATTTCATTGATTTATTTTTTTATCTTTTGATATCAATATTATCAAAAACAAAAAAAAATTTAAAAAAATAAATTAATATAATTTTATACTAGTACATGTATACAATGTATACTTAGAGTATTAACATTTACAGTACCCTTGCAATTATAAGTATAAAATAGGTAGCGTAAGATAGTGGGAATGGATTGAAAAAATCTTATAAGTAAAACATATTTTCCTTCTGCACTGAAGTTAATAAACTTGACAAAATTACTTTAATTGTAATATTTTTTTATATAATCCATTCATAACATTTAAGTTGTATAAAGGAAAAATGATTATTTATATTAGTTAATTCCTTACTAACTATAGGACAACCAAGAATAGTTTATATACAATGTATATCAATTCGCTAAACAGACAGCATCTTAAAGTTTATGATGTAAACTTACACTTGTCAAAGGAATCAAAATTGAAGGAAGTCAACCAGGAGAAAGCAGTCAAAAAAGATAAAATATTCCATCAAGACACTTTCCACCAAAAAAATAAATAAATTCTGGATAGGTGCGCAATTTTGTAATGTCACTCATCATCATTTTATGCTATTGTGTTGTATGTCAGATGTGAATAACAGCCCTTTTCTTTATGTGTTGTTAAATGAAGTTTTACCCTCTTATTATTTATATCTGCTGTCTGTCATATTTAAAAAACAATGACTTGTAATATCTCTGTAATTGGTCAATAATCACCTGCATAATGCCCAACTCGATGCGTTATTAATAATTTCATTAAACAAATTTATTATGAATTAATAAACTGCATTAATGTATGTACAGTGCACTCCAGATATAACGAGATCGTTGGGACTTCGGATGATTCCTTGTTATAACCGAGTCTCGTTATAACCGGGACAGAACAAATTGGGGAAATCCGACACTGTCCAGCATCATTAATTTCTACTTTTGTGTGCATCCTTTTTGAAAAGTATATAATGGGAGGTAACTCTTTGCAATCAGAAGTTTTTGTTTTATTTAAATATGCATGTATATAAATATATCTAGCTATCATCGAATTTCAACAAAACATGAAAACACAACCTACGTCTAACCGCGTGTGTTTTTTCATTAATATGTACATTTTAAAATTTGTTTCCAAAACGTTGCATTTCTCACGAACAGCGAATAACACCGCAAGACATTAACCGCTTCCTTTCTTGTGACAATTTAGCCCGGAGCGCAGACAAAACAAGGCTGACACATTTGATTTCTAATTGCTTGACCCATTATCTCGTCCCACATCAATAATTTCTTCCTTAATTGACCTTTATTATTGGTCATCATGGTTTTTCTCAAGGTGACAAACTGATGCAGACGAAGTGCAAATGAAGTGCAAATGAAGTGACCTCGTTAAAATTCTGAAAAATATGCATGGGACAGTGAAATTTTGTACGTTGTAACCGATATCTCACTAAAACCGAAACGATCTCATTATAAACGATAAAAAATGAAAGGAAAATAGATGGAAAAAGGCCGGGACACAGTAGAATGTACGTTGTAAGCGGTACCTTGTCCTTGTTAAAACTGTTCTCATTGTTAAATGGAGTAGACTGTATAAACAGTATATGTTTATAATGATATTAAAAGAAAAAAAAGAAAATGAATTGACACTATTTAGATATTTTTATAACATTTAATTCCGAACCGCCTCGTCTTGAGTCAGGGTCCGCCCTGTCCCAAAATATGGTCCACCCCATCCAAACATACGGTCTGCCCTGTCTCACGGTCCGCCCTGTCCGTAATTCATAACATTAAAACAATATAACACAAATCCATTTTTTTCCATTTTCATCTTTTCTATATTTTGATATTAAATGAATAACAAGATTAAACAAATGTTTATGTCAAATCAATCATTCAATGCGACTAACACTTTTGTTTCACTCATTCGCAAAAATCATTAGAGAGGGTATCATGTTGCCCTAAGCCGCTTTTTTTTAGTATAATATCGGAAAAATGGCGAATTTAGAATAGAGACATCTACGTTAAAAAATTGTTACATTCAATCAAATTTGAGTTCTACATACCGTTCAAAAGGCTTTTTTAAAGTTTTTATCCCGAAACCAAGTGCCTATGGTTTTAACTGCAAATTGCATATAAGAAAGTGAAACTAAGGCCGTAAGGGAAGTAACTCATACTATCTGAACCCCATCTGCGAATTATGATGAACGTTGATTGTCATGATTATGACAAGTAAGAGATTCAACAATGTTATTTTATCACAAAAGACTGTCTATGCGCATTCGGCTCAAAGATATAAACTGATAAAGATGTTAGCTTTAATCTTGTAAAATAACCATACCAAGACTTCTGAAACCCTTTGGTCACATATCCTCGATGATATCTAACACTGTATTCCCTTTCATACTCGTCTAGTTGAAAACATCGGCTGACGGACGCATTTTCCCGATGTTTCCCGATGTTTTGCTGAAAATCGTTCTGTCAGACGGTTTACGGCAGATAAATTTGTATAGACAAGGGGCATGAAATCTGTATAGACTTTCGCTTTAACGCTTGTTTACGGGCGCAGACATTTTGTGTTACATTTTCATTATTACATCGTAGCAATTACTTACGTCAAGGGTTCATACCACTAAATAGATTACGCTGCCTACAATAGCAATTTAGTACTATTAGACCTTTTCACACTAAATGTGGTATGACTACGTAACAAAACCAAAAAATAAGACTCTCTGTCTATTTAGGAGGAAAAAGGGTCGATACCGTCTGCAGGTTAACTTTCGATCACCATTATAATTTTATCGGGAGAATTACTCTTCGTTTTTAGGACAATAGCAGGATCTAAATTTCTTGAAAATAAGTGGGATATTTTCTGTATTAATTCAAACACGACAGGATGTTATGTTATAAGTCTAAGTACTAACTTATTCTGAACATTTAGGAAGAACTGGTGACTCCTTTCTTGAAAGATAGCTGGGAGTGATTGTTAAACTTAGAGATGCTAGCATGCCACAGAACATTAAATTAAATAGGCAGATATAATGGGGGTGTTAAATTTCATTTCAATAAATAATTACATTAACATTTTTTGTCGTAAAACATTTATATTAACATCCATATGATTTTGTGATAACTTTAGAATGGATGGTTTCAAATTTGGTACAAACTAGAATATATATACATGTATATACATACAGCGTACGACTTCTTCTCTTGACACAGGCGGTTGTCTCTATCCTATGACAAGTAACATTGTTATTGATCTAATCGTCAGATATGACAATATAAAAATTAGTAAAAGCTCATACATTTTTAAAAAAATGTCATGATTTTATCCAGTTGTGATAAAACAATCTGACACGTCGCCTCCCATTTTTCAAACGTCTCGGGGGAAACTGTTGAATGTAGACCTCGAGCTGTCATATCTTCATATAATTCTAAAAATATATTATGAATAAATATTGGAAAAATATAGATCTAGATCAAATTTATTGGTTTTTCTCAAATTCAAAACACTATAAATATGTATGTATAAATGGTGTGTGAATTCACAATGTAAGGGATGCGGTAGACTCTTGCATGATTGAATTGTCTTGGACCGTTGATTCAAACACCACTCGGGACTCGGCCATTTATCCTCGTAAGAAATAAAAGGGACTAAAAAGGATTAGTAATAGTTTCAAAAAATTGTTTCACAAATGAATTAAAACTGTATCAGTATACATTATCTACTTGATTAATGTATAATATCAAACATTGCTCAGCCTTTTATTTTTACAAATACTCTTTAAATATGTTGCATGAGATGTCAAAATAGAAACTTTAGCTAATCTCTTATCTCAGGTAACTGCTGCGGAAAAAAATGTATGATATGCAATTTCACTCTAGAGCTTATGCCTTCTTCCATGTTTGAACACGTGATAAAATCATGGTATTCGTCTTATCTATTTTAGTGGCATACATTGGTGTTTGGGAAATATGAATTACATGTATTTAATTTTGTCACAATATGACATTATTTATCTTCATTTACTTTATAAATTGTTTGTCGATTGTCATTTTTTTATACAACAGGGCATACCTGACACATAACATTGAACACACATTATCTGTGTGATTAAATCCCGTAAAACACATATTTAAGCTCTGAATTTCAATTAACTGGCCTCCAAGCGCTACAATAAAATTTGAATATTTAAAAAATGCACATCGACAGAAGCCTTGGATTTAGGCGTTGACTGTTTTTGTTAATATATAATATACGCGCTATTTCGTGTTTTTTATAGCTAGTATCAATTTAATTTGCCGAACAGAAGTACATACAAAAATCGACAGAATGTGACACAGGCTAGATCAGGATGTGCAGTAAAAATGTGATCAAATCTAAAGGCCCATTAAGCCTCAGAAATGCTATAATTTGTATTCCTCAAAAACGTTTTGGTATCTGCTAGGCTGCTTACTTCACAAATTTCGAAGCGTCAAAAAAAAAACAAAGACAAAGTTCAATATTTAAAAAAAATTAGATCGCGATACTGAAATAAGACGTGGAATTGTCTAAGTATGTGCTACCGATTCATTTCCGACGGTTTTCATGTTTGTACTATCCTGCTAGGCTGCTAACTTCACAAATTTCGAAGCGTCAGAATGAAAAAAATATGTTAAGATAAAGTTCAACATTTTAAAAAATAAAGAACACGATATTGAAAATAGGCGTGGAGTGATCTAACGGAGTGCTACTTATGTATTTCCGACTGTTTTCATGTTTGAACTATTCTTAGTTTTCTTAATAGAATGCTAGGCTGCCACGCTGCTAGACTGCCAACTTCAGGCTGCTAGGCTGCTAGGCTCCTAGGCTGCCAACTTCACGAACATATTTCTGAGGCATAATGTGCCTTTAAATATAAACCCGAAAAATAGAACTAATAATTGTTTCAGTATTAGCTATGCTACATTTTTCTTCGTTTGAAAGTTTTACATATAATCTGTATTATATTTCTCATCGAAATTCTCTTTATTTGATTTTCATTTCCTTTTTTTATTTCGAAAGAATATATTTTTCAGTCATATACCGACGGGTAAGTAGCATAATTATGTGTGATACTTTACCAGTCCCCTACAAATACATTGTAATCAAATTTTTCTATTCCGAAACAAGATAGTGAAATGTTCTGTCAACGATGTAACGAATTTATTTTAATACTTCTTTCGTCATCACACACATATATATATTCTTCTATCGTCATCTTCTTTCATCATCACAAATACGTACGTCTATCGTCATCACACGTGTCTATTTCCATCTTCTTCACATATATCCATGTCTGTCATCATCACATATATGAACGTCTATCGTCATCGCATATATGTACGTCTACCGCACGTCATTACATATATGAACGTCTATCGTCATAACGCATATTTCCGTCTTTCGTCAACATACAAACAAACAGGAAAGAACAAATATAAAAGATATGCCGAGCTTCCTTCTTGAGACAAATAGACCATCAGAACTGCGTATCAGACGTACATAAAGTTATAATGTCACATTTCTATAATGTGAGCTCTTTATGACGTTTTGTTATTACAATATGACATGACAACGGGTCATTATACGTATCTTCATCCGCTTTTACGATATAATAATTGTAGTAGCCATCGTGATCAATGATTGATAATTACTGGTAGTGCTAGTGGTATACCAGGCAGAATTCTGTTTCGAAACGATTTATAACAATTATGTTTGCATTTGTGAACTACGGCCATTGACCATACATATTATTACCATTATTATGTTTTAATAGTCTCTTATAATTCACTAATTGAATGGTCATGTACTATTTTGTGTTTCATTTTTGCTTATGAATTTTACTTGTGTATATATATGAATGAGACTTAAATACATAAAATTATCATAGAATTATATTACATATAGATATTGCGAAACAATAAATGACGCTAACCAACTTGCAAAGTTATGCTTATGGATTTGGACATGGTATTAGATTTTTCCTCATGTGTATGCTGGGACTTTAATTAAACCAAGTTTATGCGAAGCCTTTATTGGTTCATACTTTGTGCTCATGTGTGTTTATTTATAAAAATGATATATTGATTTAGGTTATTTATGCAAATTTTCTGTGTGTTGCCTTGTATGATAATTAGAATTTACATTTATTTACACTCGTACTTTGTGTATTCTGAAATGAAGAATGCACAATATCATATTAAGTCCATGATTGCTCTGGTCGAGGAGTACATGTTATCACTGGACGATAAACTCCATCTTTTGACTTAAGATTAAAATTTTACAGTCAGTTTGACGGATGATTTGTATACAAAAGAATATTTCCTGCCTGTATCTATGATGCCAGTCATCACATAAATAGAAAACTTGTAACCCGTATTAAACGGGCAATAAAGTAAACTTGTAACATAACGATTACCCGTATTCTACCGGCAATAAAGTAAACGTGTTACATAGTGATTACCCGTATTAAACGGGCAGTGAAATATACTTGTTACATAGCGATTACCCGTATTCTACGGGCAATGAAGTAAACTTGTTAATGCGATTACCCGTATTCTACGGGCAATAAAGTAAACGTGTTACATAGCGATTACCCGTATTAAACGGGAAATAAAGTAAACTTGTTACATAATAGATTACCCGTATTAAACAGATGCTTTGTCATATACATTCAGTGTTTTTTATCCTTTCCATTTATTATATGTTCATAAATCACAATTAAGTAAAAAAAAATGACAACCGATAATCATTTATAAGTCCCGCTCATTGTGATGAAAATGTAACTTAATTTTATCTCTTCAATGTTATGATTTAGATCTATACAAAAATGAAAAAAATCGACAAATTTTATATTTTGTAACCCCAACCTCTGGCAATTGTTACAATTTCCATATTGTCGTCTTGGCTTTGAAGGAGGTTATAATGTTTAAATAAAAATCAAGTATTCACTGTATTGTAATCTCTTCTATCATAAACAGTTTCAAAGAGTGTTTAACATATCTAACGCATCTGCGGCATGAATATTTATATCCTACAAACATAACTTGATAATACATTCCGTATATTAACAGACTCTTTTGTAACAAAAAGTAAAACATATGAACTATAGACAAAGACAAGTTTCGTTGTATACCCCACCAACTCTAGACATTCTGTGCGTAAACATATGTTAATTAGAATACAGTTAAAAGGTTATGAGTACAATGTATATGTATTTAAGACACTAATGAAAATGTTATATTTCTAAACCAATACACAACGCGATTTAAATGTTGTTATTTTTTAAAGAAAACACCTGTAATATCTTTTATATATTTCTTTTATCAAATAGTACAAAATCGTTTTAAGAGACGTACCAACAGAGCAGGACATTATATATTTGAAATTCTCATACCCCTGAAAAAAAAACTTGACGGAAA